GGAGGGGCCACCGTCAGCTGTCATCAGCAGGTTGTTTTGGGACTCTGACCGGGACGTTTTTTGTGCTGTTGGCAAAGTGGAAACTAAACTATTATATCATTCTGCTGTCTTTTAGCGGATACACTCATGACTTCTTCTCACTAATGATCTGATTTGCATTTGTGGGTCAAGCATCAGAGTATGTTTCAGTCATTTTCGTAACTCCTCAGTGGATCTGTAATGATTAACCATACGAATAAAAGTGGATTACATGTTATCTTTGCAATCATCAATCACATGGTTTTTGGCATCAGTTATACCTGATGTTTGCCTCTTTGAAATATTATTTTCTCTTTTTGGTCTATAAATGGATCAAACCCTAGCTTTTGATGTTTTATTTTTGAACTTCCTCCATGTTAAGTTCTTTAAAGGCATTTGGAGCCTTTTCATCCTCACTTTAAAGAGAATAAATTTGATATGAAATAAATTAATCAGCAGTAACCTTAACTAATCCAACAAGGATAAAAGGATTCATAGCTCTGACTCATCAGACATACAGTAACATTTTTTATTAGATTACTGCGGTCAATCATTAGAGATAAAAGACTGAAATGTTTTTCTTTTTTCAACCAGAACACCCTGTAAGCTCCCTGACCTAAACAGACGATCGTCTTTTCTTTTTTTCTTGCTGTGCCTCATCTTCTCTAAGTAGGTCTCTGTCTGTAAATCAGCAATTATGACTGAGAAAGGATTAAAAACATGCAGAACAGACATGATTAAAAGTTGGGAGGAGGATTTGGTTCAGTGGTGGTGCAATGCTGTGACATTATATTGCCATCTTGTGGTGAAAAGTGAAACTAAATCAGTATCTTGATCTGTAAAAGCCTAAGTCCCTGCAAAAGCAGCACATATCAGTGCTGTATAAGTCATATATCTCTGTAGCTGCTGTGACCACAATGTCTCTGGTTCAGCCTCTGCAACAGCTGAGGTTTTGTTGGAATCAGCAGAGTATGGTGTAAAATGCTGACAAAAATATGTCCCATAACCATATGCCATAGCGCTGTCTGGGATGGCTCACCTCAACACATAGCGGATCTTCCTTGGCAGCTTTAGTGAAGGACCTGACACTTCACTATACTGTATGATTGCACTGCAACAGCATTTACCATGAAGAAAAAATATGTACACCAGATAAATTTTTCTTTCTTTTTTCACGTATATAAGCAAAATTTTGTTTGGTTAATCTCAAAGCTGGGTTGTAATTGACGTAGCAGCCTCTGCCTTTGTAAGTAAAATGGCAATGATGTTCACAAAACACTCACCGCTATTTTTGGAGGCCTACTAACCACTGACACTATAATTTTCATACTGCATGCTTTATGGACCCCCACTATCCCTTCGGGTGGTTATACTTTATTGCCTATAGATGCCAGGAATGACTAATGGGCCAATTCAAAAATAAGATAAAAACGCAACAGATGAAGAACTATAACGTGACTTTTTTAGTCATTTTAAAGAGGCAGGAATTAAAAATTCCCTCTTATGTTTAGACATATGGTGTGTAATAAGCAGACACTCAGATAATGTCTGAGTGTCTGCTTCTAATTAGCTTAACTGTGTACACAGACTGCTGTGTTTCCTGTGCTGCTGGAGTTTCACATGCTGCGAATGACACTGCCCCTGCTGTACACACGTCAGGGATCATATGGCAACAAAGAAACACAGACACAGTTGTGCCACAGTTATTTCAGCTGCATAGTAGTACCACTGTCACCTTACAGCAAGAAAGTAAGAAAGTCCTTTGTACAAATCTGGTCTGGGGCCTTTCTGTGTGGGGTTATTATTAACTATTTTTTTGGAAGGCATAAGACCTACTGGTGTCTTGCAAGTCACTGATTTTAGGGACTGTGTAATTGAATGCATCAGATTGATGTTTGATTTATAGTCTAGTAGACATTTCAGTGGTAAACTACATGGATGTTTAGATGAGATTATTCTCACTCTGAATCTTTTAGAGCTCATTAAAATATTCATGCTGCATTCAGTGCACAAAATCAGGTAGAAGTTGTTTGATTTTGATTTGATGAGGACTAAGACAAACCTTCATAGAGAGGAGCTGTTGGTACACACTAGCGAGAGTTCAGACTACCTACCATTTAAGTTGATCCAAAGACGTGTGTAGTGGTAGAATATTTAAAGTATTAGTGTAGCCTTTGGATGGAGGGTCTGGGGTGGATTTGGTTTTGGATTGGATGCAATTACACACTTTGGTAGTTGTAGACCCCTGCTCGGCTGCATGTGGTGATTCCTGCATGTGTCCTAAGCTCACTGGAGGATTAGAGTGAGCAAAGTCTGGGAGATGAGACTGTCATGACTGAATTGAAAAAAACAAGGTTCCCAACATGGCTCCTTGATATTTTAGCAATAAATAACAAAAATAAATTTGTACTTTTATGTCTTTATTTTTAAATACAGTTCTTTCTGTTTCTTACAACATGTGAAGGTGGTGGTTTTAGCTTTCTGTTACTATGATTTATTGCTAAAGGGTGGACAACATTTACTTTTTACAATACAATTCATCAAGTAGCCTTTAGCCAATAACACAGTCAAACTTGAAAGGACTTAGGTTTTCATTCAATCAGTTTTTCCTTCACTTTCAGTCACTTCCATGTTATATAGTCAATTTCATTCAAACAACTGGATTCTATTTTACCCTGCATACTTTACTTTTGGTTTTACTTTGTCACATTTTCAAATATATTCTCTGGCTGCTCAGCATTTATTCCTACATGATGGAAAATAAGGCTCCACAGACCCATGCCCTATGTGCCTGATGAGAGAACAACTACCCTGTAAAAAGACTTCCCTGTCTGGTGTCTTAAATAGCCCTGTTGTTGTAAAGAAGTCATATATTAGGAACAGTTTTGCAAGTGGAAACACTATGGAAGTCTGAAAGCAGGGAAGTGTTACAGTACTGCACCCAAAATTTATGTGGACATTAAATTTCTAAAATTGGTGTATTTAACTTGAACTCCTCTTACTAGTTAAAATGATAATTCTGTCTGTAATAATTAAAAGAGAACACTGACAAATACTTCTGCAAAAACCCAACATATTTCATCTTTCCTCTAAATAATTTCTTCAAAAAAACTGAGGTCATTTGGTAAGTTATTAAAAATCTCATGTATTAGAAAGTATTTTAAAATTGTTAGTGAAATGTGGAATGAACATCTGCAAGGCATTCTCCATATCTCACAGTCTCTGTGGAGGCTGTGCACCCTGAAAGGTCAGATCCTAAATTCACCCCTGCATGTAAGTTTATTATCAGCAGTTAAATGCCTTTCTTGTGGTGATTCAGTGAATTTACATTCTGGGAAAGCATATTTTATAGTTTGTCCAAAGTTTTTGGAAAAGTGTCAGACACCTGGTCCTCTCATAGCTACAAGCTCCTTATCTTTTGCCATTAAGTATGACAAGGATGCTGTTTTCAATGTACTTGTAATTGCCAAAAAAGAAAAGGTGCATCTGAAAGGTATTTGTGATGTGTTTAGATTACTGTATCATCACCTGAATATAAAATCCCTCTGTTTTGTCGACTCAGGGTGAGCCTTTAATATCCCCTTCCATCCTGAACCACCATAGTTCTACAACAGCGCACAATGAACTAAGTAACATATTAATCTTTGTATTCAGTAGGTTGCTTCACAAAATGCCCCATTTAAAGGTCAAATGAGAAGAGATCATACTTGATGGCCACCTTTGCTTCACTGACAGGAGCAGTGAGTAAAGAAGCATTTCAATATAGAATCTATAGATATGGTTCATATCTATAGATTCAGCCACCAGGCTGTTAAACAACAATATGTGCAATATATGAATGATGTGTGGATGAGAGGAAGGTTCAGTTTTCTTTTAGGATGGTATATTTTATTATTCAAAGTTTTTTAGTAGGCTGTATAATTTTTTTTATACTGTGTGCTTTTACACTTATTGTTTTTCTTATCTGTCAGACAGGGACCCACATCTGTCTGCTGTATAGTCCAGTTTTAAAACTCCTACCACATCACATTACTGAGCACCTTAATTTGTCTGTTTATTTATCATCTCATCTGTATATTTCGCATTTCATATTTATTACCCATTTCATATTTATTACTCATTTCAATAGCCCACGTTCTTCATATCTCACTTTTTTCTCTTAGGATGTTTAGTATATTTGGTCTGTATTTATTGTATATACTTAGTATTTTTAGTCTGTATTGTACATACTTCTTATATTTAATTTAATTTTGTATTTTTTGCTGCTGTAACGTGAATTTCCCAGTTTGGGATCAATAAAGTATATCCATCTATCTATCTATTTTTATATTTATTGTTCTTATATTTAATGCTTTTGTTGACCACTGGGAAGCGCATCCTAAACTAATTTCATTGTAACTTGGTGTAGAATGACAATAAAATCTGAATCTGAATCTATAAACAAAAAACAATTTCATACCTACAGTTAGAAAACTTAAAGAGGCAGAGATTTCATAATGAAGGCAGGGGACGTGTGTTTAGTACGATCTGTGAGTTGTCTGTAATTTTTTTTTTACTGTAATGACCAATGTTTGAGTCTCTGATAACAACTTTCACAACTTTTTCCACCCTTAAAGAGAGCTACTTTGTACCTGGCCTTAGTATATTATGATTGCCATAACAAGGTTTTTTTTTCTATCTAGGATGTCTTTTCCGTTTTGTAGAAGGTGGGTAGGCCTTTGCTTTTTCATTTTTTTAAAACTAGTTCTTTTTGTCCGTACAAGCAACATATTTTCACCCAAAAAAACGCTGTTGTCACACTTGTAATTCATGTGGTTGTGTGTGGCGAAGCTCTTCCTCTATAATCTGAAGAGGGGTGTGAGCTGAATGGGGTGTTGTGTCTGGCGGGGGTGGGAAGAAAAATCCAAAATAAAGATCACGTGTAAACTCAAGCTTGATACAGCTGAGAAACACCGCCCTCTGTCGGAGCACAGCAGTATGGCAAAAATAACAGCACTTTGGGACTGAACCATTCACTTTTCAACCAGGTGATGCAATCACAGACCACGCTTCAAACCTGAGTGAAAACAGCACAAAAGCCTAAATGGTTTAATAAATAAAACCATTTTCGTTACAAGAAGGAATAAAGATAAGTTTCTCACAAATTAGATTTTTGAACGACAGTCAGTGCTCATTGTTTGATTCCCCGGGCATTATATAGGAGTGGTTCGATCCAATACTATTGAAGGGAAGGCTGAAACTGTTTGTTTTCGACGCAGGACAGAAGCGTTGCTTAGACTCTCCACCGCAGCATCAATCTGCCGTAACGGTTTCTCACATTTGTGTACTGTCTGGTCGGTTTCTTAGCTTTTTTGGCTCGCCATGGCTCTGTGCGAGGGTGTAGGAGCCATGGCTTTACCCAGCGAGCTCATCGTTCACATATTTTCCTTTCTATCCGACCGAGACAAGCTCCGGGCCTCGGCTGTTTGTTCTCGATGGAGGGAGTGTCTCTTCTACCCAGCGCTGTGGACCGAGCTCAAGCTGCGGGTAGGTGGCGGTTGTAACGGCGGCTCCAGCTCCGAGGACGCCCCGAGACTGGAGTTTCTCATGCGGAAGTTCGGTTCTTTCGTGCGGGAGCTGCAGCTTGAACTTGCACCGGTGGAAGGCTACCTCAGTCCTTTAAACAGCGACTCATCGTCTTCCAGGATGGACCAGCCTCCCGGACCCGATAACGATTCGCAGCTCTCCGAGCGATGGAGAGACGCCATGGCCAACTACTTGGACCAGGTGTTATGTGTGTTTACCAGCATCCGTAACAACAGGTAACTTATCATTCATTACCCCGTAACACTTTGGATGTTTAGTTTTGTTTATAATCGGGAATGTTTATATCAATGTTTATATCGTATCAATATTGTGAATTTGTTGCGTCGCAGTAAGCTAGCAACTGGCTAATGTTAGCTTAGTTAGCTATAAACAAACCCTGACATTAGCAGTTACGTAATCAGGTCATGTCTTTGCAGTACAGTTAGTAACATTCGCTAGCGTCTTCTTGTTAACCCATGAGAGGGGTTTTGCTTTACTTTACTGTTTATTTTCCCATTAACGGCCATTAATTAGTGTTTTTGGCTAACTCTGTATGTTGTGTACATTCTTGTACTAACGCTGCTCTGCGTTTCTTTTGTTGCCAGTCCTATTTTCTGTTTTACACTGTGGTCTTCATACCAGCATACACAATGCAGCACTGGTGCAGGCTAGAGAAGGCTTTGTTGACTTTGACGTGCTGATATCAGCATTGAAAGACACATGTACAGTGTGTGTGTGTGTGTGTGTGTGTGTGTGTGTGTGTGTTAAACCGTGTAACTCTGGTATATTGTTGCATGCTGAAGGATGAAATCACATCTGTCATGCATACATACAGCCCAAACCGTTGGCATGTATTTGCTGGAACATACTGTTCTGTGTAACTCGAGTTTACTGATGTAGTACAGCACAAGTTGCCTCTGTTACACCTTCTCCTACATTCTCCACTCTTTGAAATAATGCATTGTGGTACAGGGACAGCAGCCATCCAAAGCTGTGCTGCTCATGTCTTGGTTCTGCTGAGGGGGGCAAAACCTTTTCTATTATTTGACCTCCCCTCGGTGTCTCTGACGTTTTTCCATACACAGAATAAACTCACTCTTTTATGTCTACCCCAGGTTTATGCTACAGATAAATTCATGTGTTTGATTTGAGTTGTGTTATGATGAAAATCTGAACTTTTATAAACATTCAAAAGTAATGAGCTTTCATATTTAAATGTGGTATAGAGTCAGTGTTTACTGTTGTCTCACCTGGCAGAGAGCAACAAAGATCCATTCAAAGTTCAGATATTTTTAGGGAGTTATCTTAACTCTGTCAAGGTTACAGGTTGGTAAAATGCCAGGCGCCATATCTAACCTTGGTCATGTATCTCCAGACTCCCAAACCTCAGCTTTTCATGAAGTAAGCATTTATTCATTCTACAGATCTTGATCTCATTCAAAAATAATGAAACAGATAACTTATTGTTTCTTTATAAAGGACTTTGGCCTCTAAGAAGTGGCACATGAGACTGCTGATGGTTTCACTGCAGAGGCATTTTGTGAGGCTTAAACCTCAGCTGATTTTTCCAGAAAGATGGCTACAAGACAAAGTGTACATAGTACCTAGAAGATAAGTTACTTTTGTGGGGGAGCCTGCATGTTGCACATGTGTTTGATCTTTTTTTTTCCCATAACCATGTCAGTGATTCTCTGGTCATGGTAGTTTTAAAGAGTTTGTTTTTAATAGGAAGTATTAGTGAATATTTGTCAGTGGATCTATTTGTCATTTGCTTACCAATATAAATAACAATATCATGGGTTTAATGAAATAAATCTATTAATCTTAATTTCTGCATCATAGTGGTTTACTCCATGGCAAGTCTCCCCAGTTTCGTAACCATGGATGTGTTATAACTGACACTTTACCACTGCTCTACAGTGGCCTAGAAGAAAATATTTATTTGAATTTATCATAGGAGGTTTATTAAAAACCAAGCCATGGTCCCCCACTCAGCCTATCTTACAGTCTTGCTCAGCAGCCACTTGCTGCATTGCAGTGAAAAACCCCCCTGGGGTGAAATAATCTATGCCCCATAGACTACAACTGTGAAATAGTTATTCTTGAACCTGACACTACTGCTCAAACTGCTAACATGATCCAGTTTGACCTTTTTTCTACTGTGAAGTTACCCAGAGAAAAACATTTTCTTAATCTAAATCTCTTTCTAAACTGAGAAAAGTGATTTTAAGTAATGGTCATCACAAATTCAAGTCTTTGGGTTTAATGAGTGTGTGAACTAGCAGCCAGGCAGCTGTAAAAAACAGTGCTGCACATATCCTTGTAGACAGAACTTAACTGGCATGTGCTCTATTTGTTGAATTAAATTGGAAAGACTCAGTGGTCGTAATTAAGGTCTGGTGTGCAGGTCTGAGTAATCGATCTGTGAATTTATCACCTAAAGATGGCAAAAGGGAAAAGAAGCAGTGAGAGAGTAATGAGAGACAGCACTTGCAAGAAGTCTTAAATTTTGTAGAGGTTCCCACTGGAAAATCACTCCAGGAAAACATTCTGGCTGTCAACTAACATAATTAATGTAAGTTGCACATCTACTTATTCAACAGATTTAACCCTAGGTAGTTTGTAGGTGTGAAAAAAATAACGTAAAATAGATGTGTGTTTTATCATTGCTCAATCCTCAGACAGGTACAAGGTAACAGCTGTCACTTCATTTCAGTCAGTTTTGGGAACAATGTATGAGTGTGTAGTTAGCTTAGCAGAAGGTGACTGAGTGCTATGTGGCCCCTGTGCTTACCTGTATGTCTTCCAAAGTATCAACCTAAGGCATTAAATCCACTTAGAAAACTTCTCAGATTGGTATCTAAAGATGGTATAAAGGTGGAGTGCAGCTAATTACAGGGCAGATATCTGGCAGGACAGGCGATGACCCAGCAATACAGCAAATTAGGACCCGGTCAGTTTGCCAGAAATGCCAGAAGTTTTTCTCAGTGAAGGGAAATAGTTGAACTCAACCCTCAGTCTCACTCATGTTCCCATATTACCTTTATCACTATAGAACCAGATACACAACTGACATTTGAACTGACTTTTATACACACTGGAAAAGCAAACTGATGACACCCAAGCTATCCTTGTGTGGTGGTTCCTTCATGAGTGGGCTTGGTTCTGGGCCAAATCACTCAGTTGAGAATGTCAACACAAAAGACACAACCCATTTTTCTATCCTTGCTTTATTTTGATGAATTTATTACATATGAAACATCAGTTAATATTTCCTGCTCTCTGCTGTGATTTTCCATAAGAGTATGATGGGAGGGAGGAAATACTACGAAACAGAAAACAGAACTACTTTAAACATATTTGAATACATTTCTGACTGCGTCTGCAAAGAAGAACACACACCTTTAGTTTCTGAATTTTAACATTTTCATTCCCTTTTTCTCCTCAGAAACCTGCAAAAGCTGAGTCTGTATGGAGACACCTGTATACTTCAGCAAGAGGGGCTGTTAGACAGCTCTAACCTGCACCAAATTCACCAAGGGGATAAAAAGATTAACGAGTAAGTTTGGTCTTGACAATGTTTATGTATTCTACCACTTTCCATTAGATCCAGTGACTTTTTTTCTGCTCCACAGATTGTTTTCATGCTCTGTGGGTAAAATTCACCCCACAAGAATCTGCAACATGGTGATTTTGAAAATAGACTGCTCAGTATGTTTGGTCAAAACAATACTGCTTGTGTTTCCAGTGCTCTGAAGATGATTGTGTGGGTTTTGGAGATTTTTTTAAAATGTTAAATCTTTTGCTGGCATTCAAAAGAGATTGTATTGCCAAGGGTTTCAGACTCATTAATTTACAAAACCGAATAGAATAGATGCTTACAAAACTGTTGTCCGAGCACTATTAAGACTGGACTCAGCAACTGAAGTATCACCACAGCACAGAACCCAACTTGCCCACATTTAACACTGTTACTGTATGGCCATCTGTCTGTCCATTGACTATATTTTGATACTACAGTGTAGACATGTATGGGCATAGAGAAATTAGACTTAGTTAAGCCTTTGTTACCTGTTGATGGTGTGTCTGACATACAGCTGTGTTAAGAAGTTTGGGCGACCCTTTTCAAAACATTGAGCAATCATCTTTTATTGAACAGACCTTAATCTGTTTGACCTCTGCTCTTGTAAGTTGCTATATAAATAAAATTGACTTCAATTCTAGAGTGACTTACACTTTATTTATTTAGTTTTTCTTTAGTTTGCAATTAAATCCCATGAGAAATACCATCTTAAAAAGTTAAGGAATTATTTGTGTGGCTGTTTAAAGCAATGATTTCAAAGGCCCAGATCCATGTGATTTACTTGTTTGGGCTTTAATGAGTCAGGTGAATTTAATTTCAGGGTTGACCTACTTATTTTTGACGTTATTCTGTGTATCAGCTGTGCTGCCTGCTGTTTACAGCCTTGGATCCCTGAACAGTTTCCCAAGGTTATCAAAAAAAGTAGGTTTAAGGATGAAAGCTAAACACTGAAGTGGTACTGTGTCCATGTGAAGAAACATGATCAGAACTTTGAGTGGAACTAAATAGATTGAATTAAGTCAGGTCAGGGACCAATGAAATCATCAGACCTAGAGGTAAATGTTCAGAGGATCCTTTGTTAATGGCATTCACAAGAGTGAAGGAGACATATGACCAGCTATTCACAAGACAACAGTATATTACAAACAACCATAAGCGGCAAAGAGGGGCTGCAAAAACCAGCAAATGAATAACCACAGGGAAAAAAGCATAAATACAAGATACAGGAAATATTGTGCAGATGGGAAGAAAATCAGTTTGACCAAAGAATTCAAGAGGCTGTACTTCAGAGGCTGGTTAAGACTTTGAGGCTCAAGAGAGGAAAGTCCAACTTCACTGGACCAAGATACAAAGCATTCTTCATGTTTCAAAGTAATAATGGGTACATGTCTTGGACTGATAACTTAAGTTCCCAGACCCAAATGTATTCCATATAAAGACGAGACATGAAAAATCTGCTGTTTACTTCAGGAGACAGAATATTTTTAAGAACTTTAAGAACTTTGCCTGAGAGAATATGGAAATAGAAGAAAGTATATTAAAAAAGAAAGACTAGTAGGGAGGTGCAGGAAGTGTTTGCAATTTGTTTTATTTGCTTGGGGTTGAGGTTAATGAGCACTCGTGTTCACTTTTTTTTTTTTTTAATTTGTTTGTTTTTTGTGAGTGAAACCTTTTGAATGTTGTTAGGATAAATGAACTAAGTTCAAAGCTTTTCTTTGCCTTAAATTGTACTGAAAGCTTAAAGAAATAACTCTCTCCTTGCTTTGTCTGTCACACATCTAGGTATGTTTCTGCATGTTTGTCAGCACTAATGTAAAACCTGTCTTTACAGCTCTAGGCTTAAATTGTGAATGGAAATGTGACTCAGTTTTGAAAAGCAGATGTAAACAGCCCTCATGGTGACTCAGTGTAAACCTAATTATAAGAAAACTGTTATCAGCAGGGTAAAGCGAATTGTAGCAAATACACCCCTCTAATGTTACCCTTTCACTGTGCTCTCTGCAGGATTCAGCAGTTGTTCATGGAGATGTTGTCCAACAGTAGGCAGCTGCGATGGTTGTCTTGCAGCTTCATGCTGGGTCTGGTGACTCCCTGCTCCTTAGCCTGCTTGTCAAATCCTTCAGCTGAGACCCTGAAACACCTCAGTTTACTGGACCACCAGCTGGGTATGTGTTGACCATACATGTTCAAACTAGTAACAACTTCAGTCAAAAGTAACTTTGATTTAGTGCGTTTTAGTATCATCTGTCACCTTTTTCCCCAAGGTCCCCTCATCTCACCATCAGAGCTGGATCGTCTATCAAATCTTCATTCTCTGGCTCTGGATTTCTCCGATTTGACATCTGAGCTTTGTGGTCTTCTGGCATCTCCACGCCGGACTCCTCTGCATCGCCTCTCCCTGCTGCTCAATGGCGCTGCCCTGGAGTTCAAACCATTAGAGGGAACAGCAACAGAGGATGATTGGAAGGCACTGGTAATGCAAGAGCTATTATATTTTTTCATTCCCATAGACAAAAAATATATACAAGGCCAACCACTGGTGCTCTCACGACAGTATGTGATTTTTTTTAATAAGTCAATGCAACAGACATACAGTGCTTAGCCATTTTCTGATCTCAGTACTGCTGCGTCCTCAGCCAGTATCCCCTGATTCCCCTCCCAGGTTCGAGTGAGTGCCAACCTACGAGTGTACTTGATGGCCCTGGAAGTCGACAGCTCAGAGCTCCTCAGGGTCCTAAAGCCAAGCCTTCCTCTGGAGCGCCTCCACCTTGACAGTTACAGCACACTGGTGTCAGACGCTACACTGGAACTCATCTCTCAGCAGTACAACAAAACGCTGACTCACTTCATACTCCTGAGGGATGATCCAGAGTTTCCTGACCTCAGTGTCAATCGGAACGAAGACCCGCTGGTCCTCTTGGCATGGAGATGTACTCAACTGGCTGTACTGGTGATACATGGTGAGTTCAGCTTGATTTTACCAGAAAGGATACTAAAGCTGTTGAGATAGAATTAGCTGAACAGCAACTGCAGAACGTCTCTAAACAAAAGGTAATTTTGATCTTGGAAGCGATTTGAAGTCCAGACATAATGAGCTAATTTTCCATTGCATACACATTTTAAAAATGCAAAGTTTGAACACTTCAAAATATGAAAACCTTTTAGTTTTAAAGAGTTCGCGTTAAACACAGAGATAACATAAAACAACATTTGTGTTGTGACCTTGAAGGCACCAAAAAGTTACCTTTTCATGACAATTTACAACTAGCAGAAGAGTCAGGTCATCTCACAGTCAGAAGATAGATTGTGGCCTTGGGCAAGACAATTATAACCCCCAAACCGCCCCTGCTGGCTACAAATGGGATTGGTTAATACTGATGCATGCTTAACATAGCAGCATTTGCCATCAATGGCATGAAGGGGTCAGTGTGACATATAATGCAAAAACACTCTGCATGATCAAGAAAAGCAGAGAAAGCACTTTTTTAACATAGACCATTGTCACCTTTTATCATTTATATGCCAGATTGGGAAATGTGGAGAGTAGTCCTCAAAACCCATCTCTTGTATGAAAGTCCTGGAAGTGCTTATTTGACAGAAATGTAAAACAGATGTAGTGAATACATGATTTTTATCTCAGTAATCATATAATGTATTATGTGCTTAATATCTTTTTGTCTTTATTCGTTTTGGATCAAATAAGACATCAGGAATGTATATAAATAGTTTTTTTTTTTTTTTTTTTTTTTTTGCTTAAAGCTCTCATTAGGATTGTTTTAGACATTTGTAAAAAAAAAAAAAAAAACTGGAATCCATGTAGATACTTTTTCATGAAATGGCAAACAAGACTTACAATAATAGTATTGTCATTTTCAATGCCTGAAACTGATGTGAGAGGGGAGGTGTCAGCAAGGCAACTGAAAAAAATAACCCAGTTTTTACAGTTCATACATAAAAAAGTGACAGTGATTCATTTGACTGTCAAAAGTCAGCAGTATGAGATTATTTTGTCAAGAGGCACTACTGGACCATTTAGAGCACTTTGTAAGTAAAGACTGCTTTGTCCACAGGGATACCAGTCCAAGACTGACCCGAATTAAAAACAAAAATTAAACATGTTCCTTAGAAATTTGCCAAAATAGCCTAAAAATCCGATACCAGAGAATCAATTCTTGGCCTGAGCCATCAGAACTTAACAAAACCAAAAACCGATGTACATATTGAACCCTTGCATCGCAAAGCTTTACCAGCGGCCACAGGCTAAGTCACTTAATGACATAACAGAATTTATTCTTTGCTTTGGTCACTTCAACAAAATAAAGAAGTTAGTCATTTAAGATTTGAGGGGTGGTTGTTGTTTTTCATTTGTAGTTGTATAAGATACTTGTCAATAATTAGTGAATAATGGCAGTGGAAGACTGTCGATGTTTTCTTGTTTGGAGAAGTCAGCCTACACAAAGGCTGAGCTCTGTACAGCTGCCCATAATTTGGACACTTTCACTCCTACAGATAAAAAAATATTCCAGTCTTTTATTTATTTGTTTGTTAATATTGTTCAATGTTTCACAGCCTCACTTTGATGTCAAAAAGCTTTTTCCAGCAAAAATAGTCCAAACCCAAAAGCTACAGGAAGCTAAAGTGTGTTTTAACAATGGGTGACGTCAAGGGTGTTATATTTCTTTAGTGTGTGTGCGATCGACTCAACCTCCCTGATGCATCTCTGTTTTGAAAGGTTACACTGTATGGTCTCACAACTTGGTGGCCATCTCTCGGCTGCGAGGTTCCAGTCTTCGTGTCCTGACCATCTCAGAGGAGAGCATCGACTTCGACCCAGACCAGTCAGTGTGCATGGAGGGTGACCCAGTCCACAACCTGGTCAAGGAGGTTTCTCAGGGGTTGGGACGTGTTTGGCACCCTTGTCTGGATTCCAGCCTGGTTTTATCCGAACCCACCCAGCACTTCCATCAAGAGCTGCAGGCCTTCAGCATGGGCATGTAGGCAGGGATAGAAGATCTGGCACATCACTGCTGAAAGTGTGTCAAGACCAGGCCAGACCTACTGAGTCCAGGTCAGCTCAGAAACAAGACCAAAAGAAGTCCTAAGTGAGAAACCTAAACTGGATCTTATTAAAATCCCGAATTACATTTATGTGAACCGATGTGAGCTCTTTGTTTTTTTGTTTTTTTTTTTTTTTTTTAATTGATTCATTTTCTATCCACAAAACCATGTTCTCTAAATGATTATGTATTTTTTCTTGTTTATTTTTTTCTTTTGCTTTGCTTTATAATTATCTAGCTAGCCATATTTAACCTTTTTATGTTTCAAATATTCAATTATAACTTGATATGCTAGTAGGAACAGTGAACTTTACTTAGTTTAAAGTCATAGCTGTCTGTGAGAACTGACCACAGAATAGACTTAACTCGTGGCCATTCTCAATTGGTCTGCATTACTGGGCAAATGTAATGCGATCTTATCGGACATGGTCTTGTCTGGTCTGGTCTTGATCGACAAGTATTCAGAGCTCGATGTCTCTGCTTCACCTTAATAACCTCCAGAGCCTCTTGATGATTTGTTTCTCCTTTTTTTATTTTTATTTGAAAGTTTCCTAATCTCTTCCTGCTCTGTGTATGATCTTGTTTTTCCTGTGTGGTGGTTTCCTTGCCTGTATAGGCTTTGTGTGTATTTAAAAACAAATATATTATTCTCCTGCTCACAGCTAGAACAGTGCAGGGAGGCAGGCAGGTTGAGTGATGGACCCGTGGGTTGGGGATGTGTGTTCTGACACAAGCTACTTGCTTTAGTTGTGAAAGCATTTTTTTTTTTAATCTTTTGCTTCTCGTCATTCTGTCTGCCTCACTCTGGCAACATTTTTACTTTGTGAACTAACTGATCAATCCTCTCCTGGTTGACAAAAATGCAGCTTCTTCTGATGTTGCTTTGAAGAAGCACCTTGTGCATTTGTCTGCTAGTTTGAGAGCCTCGCCAGCAGGGTTCGAATCTCCACGGTGGTGTGGCTGATTTGACAGGCGCTATCTCCAGCAACAACCATGTCAGTGCTTTGTCTCAGTTTTATGATCATTGTAAAGTGAGTGGTGTCTCAAAACCAGATGGTTTATTTAAGGACTATGAGCACCTTACTAATGGTGTTATGGAGAATATTGTTACATGCTTGCAGCCAACACACTTCACACCAAGCTCACTTTTCAGAAACCTCACTAGTAGATTAGGTAGGAAGCCTTTTCTTCTGACTGACATTCAGAGCCAAACTGAATAAGCCTGGTAATAATACTCATTTCCATTTTAATTTGTAGTGAGCTGGTTGTAAATCTGCATTTTTTAATTTCTGAATATAGCTGTCTTTGCTTTTCTTAAGAGGTCAACATGTTTGAACTAGTATCAATGCTCTCAGAGTCCATTTGTACTCCAGAGTGAAGTCATCGAGTCAGGGACGAGTGCATAAAAGTATGAAGAGCTCTGACATTAGAACTCCATCTGTATGATCTTAAGAAAAGACATTTTTTTCATTTTATAATGCGACATGTTCATCTGAGTTTAAAGTCATCTCTGTAGCTATTTCCACATTTGTCGAGCGGCCATGCTGAAACAAAACCAGTTCTCAGTGAGCACGGCTTCTGCCAGCAGTTTTGAAGGCCGGAACTAGTTTCTCTCAATTTCGGGGGTGAAACATTTCATGATAACTAACAGGGAAAAGAAGAGGATGAACTGAATGTAACTTAGGTCTCATTCTCTCATTCAGCTGGCCAGTCAGTTTTTTAGTTTTATGCTGAAGAAGGCTTGTTGCATCGCTGTGTTTGCCTCAGAAATTTAGCAGACGCATATCTTGCCATAACAGTCATAGCTGCTGATAAATGTGTTTTTGACATTGTGGGTTCCACTGCCAGTCTAGGGCTGGTGTTATTTTTGAAAGGTGGCGCCTACTGCACAACAAGGTTTGAGGTCACGTGGAGTATTTCTGTGGCGAGTACTTTCTCTGTCAGTCTCAGGTAGGCTTTGAACATCACTCTGACCAGGACAGTGGCAGTGATGATATTGAGTAGGTTATGTGAACAATCAGTTAGTGTGAGTTGTATCGTTGTCGTTCTTTTTTTCCTCTTGAGTCACAGTTGCCTTCAAAACAGCCCCTGTTTTAAGGATACCGTTGTAATTGTCGCTGTAAATGATGTTGTTTGTCTTGCCATCTGATAAAGCCTCACTCCGTCTTGGTTGAGTGGGGTCAGCAAACCTTATCATACATTTGTTTTTAAAGATTAAGGTTGATCATGACTTAAGAATGGCAAAACCATTCTGCTTGTTGCACATGTTTATTATCTCCTGAAGATGCTGGGGGAAGAGAGGAGCACTGAAATGGAAGAAAATCAATGCTGTTAATGGAGCTTAACCTGCTGGGCCCGATTAATGTCTGAACTGAATGTAGTCCACTTTCTGAGGTTAAATGTCTGGCACAGCACATTCTAGTTGGCTAAGAAGCTGGCTGATTCTTCTTCGATTAAGGCCTGACTTTGTTTGGGTCACAGTTGCTTTTGTGGTCCAATACTTAAGAAAAGACAAGGGAAGAAATGTCTTTGCCTTTGTGTTTTTGAGGCTCTCTAGAAGAACATGTACATTCAGGACCCAAGCCAGCATTGCCAACTGAAATATGGTTCTCAAGATCAACCTTACGTGGGCCTGGTGTAGCAGCTGTGCAATATTACTCTCCGGTGAAGCATTTCCTGAGCTCAGTTGTCATTCATCAAGGAGAATCAAAGTTTCATGTGGCTGCAGAGCACCGATGTTTCTTTTTTTAATACTGTCAGAAAGCCATTGTTTGGAAAGTGCTTCTCCTGAGTGGCTGTGGTTTGGTGATTGTGCAGCAGCAGCACTTTAGTGGTCCAGGTGAAGGCACTGCAGGCTGTGAAGGTCCATATCAAGGTGTCCTGCGATGGACTGAAATTGAACCACAGATGTGTGTGACAGCAGCACGGGTTCAGAATGAATAGCTCTTGGTTGTGTGCCTGTGGTTACCAAAAGTTAGCTCCTCTTAATGGTTTAGCCATGATAATCTCCTTGTCCTTGGTCCATATCTCAGGATAAATGCACTTTGGCACCAAGAGCTTCTTTTTAAGGCTGTCTTTGGCTGTGAATGGGACTGTGCACTCAGAGGGGATGGCAATACCAACAGGACACATTAAGACCAAAGTGTGTCTGTTTTTATCTAATCCTTCCCCCCTTTTTTCATCTCCTTTTTTTAGAACTCAGCTTTGCTTCTTTGTGTGAGAATAAGCTGTTACAGGTTTGCGCCATCATGGAGGGAACATTAACAACAAGTTTGTAAAGGAATGTCGCAAACGGATTTTTACAAACACAGATTTTAATGCGCTGTTTTTACAAACTCCTCTCATTGTTTAGCCGGGATTCCTCTACTACTCCCTGTTTTCTCATCTCTCCACATGTTGAATTGTTCAAGTGGTCCAAACATGTCTGCTCAGAGTAAAGAGAAGGGCTGCCATTTCTCTCAAAAGGTGGAGTAAAATTCAGACATTATTCCCATTTTTACTCCAATGCAGTTATGAAAATGCTCTTCCTTTAGGTTTGTTTATTGAGATTATGGTTCGGATGTTTTGTTATTTCATTTAGGTAATGAAATCATTAAGAGAAAGACTAAGAACTTGGACTTTATGCAAGAGAGCGGATAAGATTTGCAACACCTGTACTGTATTCTAGCTTTTGTTCCTTTACCAAAACTCATCAAATCTAAAGACAAAGATGGTTGAGGAAAAAGCTGAGTGAGGAGAAGACAAAGTTCTGCCAGTCTAGTAAGGCTGGCATTTGTGCACCCTGTTATTAAACATGGTCACCGTATAACATAACCTGTTAGGAGTGGAATATCGACCAAGCTCTGATCCCTTTGTGTCGACACCGACCGCCATCTTGTGCCTGAAAGCTTCTGGAGTCTCACTGCTTGTCGAACCTCTGCTCCCAACTTAACTAGCTTTGTGTTGTCCGTAGCTGTTGCTGTGATTGTTGTTTGACTCTTTAGGACAGCAGCGTCAGAAGCTACAGTGGCTTCAGAAAATGTTTCAGCACACACACACTCTTTTTTTATTATTATTTCTCTTTGAGTGTGCCTGTATTTTCTGTGCAAGTTTCATGTTAGCTTTCAAAAAGTATATAAATATATCCAGTAGAGATGAGTAAGATAGTATGAATGTGTGCGCAAATAAGATCCCTGCAGTGCAGCCATCATATGTTTTCTGAATGCTGATGTGTCTGTCTGTGTGTGTATTAAAGAGCGGGGAGGGGGCTTGCTCATGTTCAGCAGTGTCGTCTTATCAATTCTACTGCAGCAGGAAACAGGAACAGAAATCGTTCGTTCTCAGGGTACAATCAGAGGGAAAGTTACAATAGCTCAGGCCTCTAGCTCACTCATACGAGTGTAAGGAGTCACTGGATCTGTTCTCCTCCCTCGTTGTGTTTATAAGCTGCCAAAGACCACAGTGGAACAAAGTGAACCCAGACACAAGTCTATCTGAAGTGCCCATGTACACACACACTGGCAGGAGGCTGGTCCAGTGTTCTTTTCTACTCCAAACCTCCTTACTTTCTCTCCTCTGAACTCTCCACTTCTCTGACGACTCTGTATGTAGTATTTGAACGCTCCCTCTGTCACACTATGGATCATTCTGTGCTGGACCAGCTACAAACATCAACAACTTTGTTCTGTACTTGATGTGAGGCCAGAGTTGTGTAAGTGATTGCTTGTTCAGAAATTTCAGATATGCTTTATAGATTGTGTTGTGCAGGAGAAAAATGTATCCCACATCAGTCTTAAAAGCAGCCTTGTTACACACAAGGTCTCTACAGAAGATAAGAGAGGCCATGCTAGTCCAGTGCAGTGTGTTTCTATTGTGTGACAGAGGTTTCAGCAGGGAGTGAGTTGGACAGGACCGTATTCCACCTCCTTTCTCTTCCTTTCATCACCTGTTTCACTGTGAGGAGTGAATGAATGTAGAACTTAAAGATGAGGAGGAGAACGAGGAGTTCAAACTCAGAACACACAGTCAGGGACCTAACACTCGCACAGATGCTTCCAGAGGCTACTTTGTGACAGATAGTAGCTCCCCAGCTGAGGTCAGACTTGGCAGGAGGGGGTTTTGTCCCAGGCTTTTGAGCTGAAGGGAGATGGACTGCTGGAGATCAGGACATTCCACACGGGGGTCGCTCAGGCTGTCGGATTTGAACAGTTTACTACAAGTGTCTGCATGAAATTTGGACTCTATTTAAATATATTCTATTTTTGTTTACTTTGAACAGGCTAGTCTGTTGTTGAAGGGATCAGAGATGCAGCTAGTGTTGACAAGTCACACCAGAAAACCAGCTGGTCTGCAGAGCGGAGGTGTGATACCATTTTTTTAGCAGTACTATAGCTACGGTGTGTCACTGCATCTAGAGTGAACTGCGTTTCAATTGACCTTTTCAACTTTGTTTTTTTTTTTTTTCTTTTCATTCTGAGGTCATTTTTGGGGCGTATATGTCAGGCACTTTAAAGGCCACAAGTGAACCAACTTACACTGTATGTGCTCAAAGACAAACTACTCTCGATACATAATAAGTTGGATGAAACTTTCGGTCTCACAGATTGAAGATCATCTCAGTACAATAACATGCACAAATACACAAGTCACAGTACCTATTCACTATGGGAACACAGTACCGAGAGTCTGGACTGAGGTTATGGACACACTGTATGAACACAGACATTTGTGTGTGATGATACTACACTGTGTGTACAAAGAGTGACTGACACACATCAAGTAGAGCCTTATTTCAAAAGAAATCAGCCGTGATAACGAAAGCCTGAACGCTCTACAGAGAGGACGTGGAGTCATTGTACATAACCTGTAGGATCTTTACAATGATGTGATGCAGCCAGTTCAGTTTGCCCTCATGACCTATCACGTTAAGAGTATGTTATTTGTGCACTTTGACATATTCATTGAGAAACTCTGGGAGACAGCAGGACCTGGGCCCCTGTGGTCTGATGAACTGAATCCACAGAGCTGGCCTCTATTACACTCCTTCAGAGACAGTTTGCTACGACAGCTTCTTCAACTGTTGTGATCGCAGAACTGTAAATGCGCAGGGAACCAGAGAGTGGGGCCTGACACTTCTTCTTTTGCTATTTGCCAATACTAATACCATTGACATGAGCTGAGTGGTAAATGTGTTATTTGAGTACCAAAGCAGCAGACTGTGTCAGATCTGCATCAGTCTGAACACAGGCTCAGAGCAACAGGCAGAAAGAGTTTCATATCCTCTTTGAAATCTGCTCAGGCTCAATGCCATCTCAAGAGTTTGTGATGTCGTCTCTCAGGATGTTGGCAACAGAAAGCATCATTGATAAAAAAAAAAAAGGTGCAGCAGCAAAGAGAAAGTAAGAAAGTTCTGGGCCTGTAACCTTCCTAAGAGAGTTTTAGGGAAGTCACGTGTTTCCGAAAGGATGGCCATTAAAAGACAGGGTTTCCTCAACACAATGTGACATTTCAGACACTTCCTGTTTGTTTTATTTGTATCTTCATGCTAAGACCATAGACTACTACCAGAACATGGGCACACGTAGGAATGTGAAGGGTTTGATTCAACATCCTGATTTATGTCATTTCTGTTACTTGGGAAAATACACTGGAGGTGAATTACACTGGTATAAAACCAATCCTGTGTAACAGATACAGATGATGTGTGTAAGGCTAGGTCAAATCTCAGTGAAGGGGAGGTTCACACCGGGCCTTTGGTGTTAACTCCACCAAGAGCTTCACAGAGGTTTTGATTCTCCAGTGTTTAATATCAGCCACAGCTGACACTAGAAGTAGTTTTCAGCCAGTTCAGGATGGTAATCCCACTTCAAGTGAAACAAGGGTTACAGCTGTGCACTCGCCATATTAAATTTCAACAGGAGAAACCGCAAAATGGCACAAAGTGCATGACCTGGCCAAACCCTGTCAGCAGTTTTTGAAGATCGGTGTAGTCTCTGGCTATACCAAGGAACTGATAGATATTCATGCTCAGTGTCAGCCAACTATCTTCATTTAGGTCTCATAGACTGTGGCTCTGATTTTGCTGGCTGCAAAAACAAAGTCGTTCTTGTCAAGCCTGGAGAGCCAAACCTCCTAATTAGCCAGGCAGGCAGGCCTGCTGCCCAGTCCAGCCTCACAACTATGCAAGAAGAATGCATATAATCCACCCTTCCTCTCTTTCTTTCCCAGTTTTTATAATTTCCTTTTCTTTTTCTCACTGCCACGCAGTAGAAGTGAAGTCGTAAACTAATAAGAACTTGTAATGACAATACTTGGCCTTATGATGATTTCTGAAATCTTTATCATTTTGTTTTAAGATCTTTTGATTCTGGTCAGCCAGCCAAGCAACAGCAGCGGTGACGGCAGGCTCACTCTTGGTCTCTGTGAGACTGGCTAGACGGCCCCTAGTTTTATCGTGGTACGAATGTTGTGCATTTGTTTAAAATCAGGACAGTTTGCAATAACAGCAGTCATACTAGTGGCCACAAAGGGGCACAAGCAGTGCTGACAGCGCCCGGCTGCATCTTTAGAAAACCATAGAGGAAGAGATATAAACTATATAAATAGGTATATAAACTCACACAGTGCATACTTGTATAGGTATCAACAATGCATTTCCGTGGTATACTCTTTATGCAACACATGTCCGGGTTCAATTTATGAACATGAAGTATATTATAGAATCACAGACTTTGTAAATCAGAAGCTATGTTGTTGTGTGTTTTCTGCGAAAATGGTTTTACCATCCTTAATGTTGAATATTCTGAGCGTTATGTTCCTGTGTGATTGTGTTTGTTAAAGTGAGCACATAGCAGTGGGTTTTACCTTCTTCTTGTAAGTAAGGAACCAGATGGAACCAAAAACACAGCTGGACCAGATTTCATGCTAAAGGGAGAGTATTTTAAATATACAGCACATTTCATTGGTATCTTAAAAACACGCTTTTACAATCTGAGTCTCTAACTCAAGGATGGTCTTTCTTTAATATTTAAAAAGATCTGTAAGCTTTAAACAAAGACTTTGAAGTCAACAGCATAACTGATGGCTGGATTGAACCAGCAGAGAAACGTTCCCAGCCTCAAACATCTCTCTGTTGTCCTTCTACAGATGCTTTGGTTAAAAACTGCGACTGAAATTTTATCGAACTCTCTCACTTGAAACTTTACAGCTGTTTTTTTTGGTTCAGTCTGAAGGGAAAGAGTTCTCTCCAGCTGAGGAGGACAGATTTTATTTAAGAGATCAGTGTTGATCCGTGGTTCTGTTGATGAGAAAAGGGAGGAAACGTTACAAACCTCCATGTACAACCTCACAATTGACAGATGGTGTAAGAGAGGGGTCAACCTGCCGAATGCTTATTTGAATTAATGTTGAATGAATGCTTCTCTTCTTTTAGTCCGTGAATAAAAGCATCAAAAGAAGTCTTTTTGGTTTTGTCTTCTTCTTCTTCTTCTTACCTGAATTCAAGAACAGCAGGATCATCCTAGGTGCACACTGATTAGATTGGACCTGTGGGTGTTAAAATGCTCCCCTCAAAATAATAAATGGAATAATGAAACTATCAGCACTTCAGTAGCCTTAAGCAGGCATGCATTCACAATATTTACTACTATCACATGAAGAAACATACAGGAGGGCATGCTTCTTAAAACTCAAATTTTAGGTGATACTCTAATTCTGTCTGATAAAAGTTCATTCTTATGTAGACTTGTAAACTGAGCTATCCTCATGTTTTTATTAAGTGATATGTCCATCATCATGGCAAAAAGGAAACACTGCAGTTACCTTATTCTCTTGAGCAAATATAATTGAGCAAATTGTATGTGATCACAAAAACTTTCAGATTTTGTATTTCAGATCTTATAAAATTTTAATTAATTTGTTGGCAATTACAGTCATAATTCAAACATATGAGTCACCCAGATTTCTTGTAATTATAAACTATTTCTGTTGTGCCCTCATTGATTGTAATCTCCACTTGTACCAACCTGTTGTTTTATAGACTGGACTGAAATGTACCTTATTACTGCAGTAAGTCAATACAATGAATAAGCAGAATAACAGGAACTTTGTTATCTGAGATAAGGTGAAAAAAAGGGTTGTGATCACAACTTAATCAAAATTAACTTGTTTTTACAGGAACAAAACGTCAAGATAAGTTTTGATGTTTGAGGAAAAAAAATGCCACGACTTGTGCTCCAGGAGGACAGAGTTTTATAATATGTATGAAAACATATCTTCTTATGGCTTCTCTATATTCTCATTAGGAAGAATATTGAAAAAAATCCACCTGATAAGCAGAAATGGAAGAATGAGATTTTAAAAGACTGGAACTGACCGACAGGAAGTTCGTTTCTGTTATGCACAAGGGGAAAATCCTTCTATGGAAGGAAGACATCTCTGTCACCTGAAACCAGGTTAAAAGCCATTTAGCGCACTCCAACCCAGGGCTGGATGTCCTGAAGTCATCAGTGGGTTTTCAATATTGAAAAAGCTCTAGAAACGTTGCCCAAAAATCTGTGAACTGGCATTTTAAATTCTTTTTTTTTAAGTCAGATGGACCACTGTGAACCAGGAATACTGAGGAGGATTGGTTTTTTAAATGCGTGGTTACCCAGTCTGTGCTCATCATTACATAGCTGATGGATAAGTTATGCAGGTACAGTCTTTCCCGAGAACAACATGACAAACAAAAACCTGAAATCAGCATTCACCACAATAGACTTTAGAAGGTTTATGAGACTTAACAACCAGCAGCTGGGTGCCCACATGTCCTATTGGAGAAAAAGCAGCAGGTTACATAAGAGTATCTGCCTCCTCATCATAATGGCCTGCCATCTTTTCAGTGGGAGAGCCAACAAAATCCTGACTCATTTGAACTAGTCAGCACAACCAAACCATGTATGACGAACATCACACAAGCTGACAGGCCAGGTAAAGTGACTCTAGACAACACCTGCACAGAATATTGCAGCTGGAGAGGCTAGAGCACAGACTTCTTGGATGGTCTGGTTTTACAGTCTTTAGGAACAGACACAGAGCATCCTCTCAAAGCAGCCACAGTCAGAGAGACCAGCTCAGGCTCCAAGCTTGTGTATTGTGGTACAAGGCTTAAAATATTGACGGAAGGCCCAATGGTGACTGGGTGGTTTGTAATGCAAACCTAAGGAGGCCTGTCGAGGTGTGGCTTTGTTTTTTTTCCACTACATGTCAAAACCAAGATGGAAGGTAACCAAACCATGGTCTCTCAAAGTCATTACAATAGAAAAATTAGATAACATAGGACTTTAAAGGGTTTGGTACTATTAATAATAGAGCTAAGATCACACCTAAAACTGCAAAAACAATTTTCAACTGAAATTAGTCTGGCTGTTTGGGTCAACAGTTGGTATTAACACAGCAATTTTAGGAGCGTGCTGTGTTTGCTTAACACTTGTTTTTTGTACACACCCAGAAACACAGACACAACAACTTGCAAACCCAACTTGTTTACAGCTTTGCCTGGGGCTCAGACAACAAAAGCTTTTTCTCATCTGGATTAAAAGACTTTAAGAGTATTATTGAGCAATTTCCTGAAACAATAGGAGGTTTTTCTGTGTCCTACAGTTGCTCTGGAGGTGATAAAGAGCAAATGGGTTGAGGTTCAATTATCCCACACCCTTAAACTGATCATTACCACAGAGTTGTTGTCTGTCTCTCAAGGCCTGAAAAGGATTTTTTTTTCTGATATGTTGTTATGTCTTTATTGTTCATGTGTTTGGGGTAAATTTAAGTTTCGGTTTACATTTAAAAAACTCAGACATAACACATTAGGACCCCACAAAACAACATCAAGTATATATTATTTCTTTTTTTCCCCTTTTTTCTTATTTCTTCTTTCTGTTCCTCATTTGATGCTGATGATTATGAGTAAAATTGATTTTGATGTGTTTTGATTTTAATGCTGCGTCAGCCTTAAAAAGTCCCCACCTTGTACAGTCGGTCCTAAACATGAATGGATCAGAAAAATCCAATTATATTGTTGTTTGTCAATTTCCTATTTTCACTGCATCAAATATTTTCACCAACTTCAGTCCTATTTAAAAATAAAATATATATCCATTTTAGAAGTTTTACCCTTTATTTGAATAACAATGGTGTACTGACCTTCAGGGGCCTAAATCGTGTCCTTAGTGATCACCAGGAGAACTGTTGGCTTTTCCTCTAGGGTAATCGGTATATGGGGTCTTTTGCTAGGAAAAAAGTCTGAAATCAAATCTGAAGCATAGTGTCATGTTTTAATGCAGTAAGGGCCATATGGTCAAAAATCACAGCTGTAATAGATTAACTTTGGCCTTCAAGGGCAGAGTGTGATTATTTTGATGATTGACTATTTGTAGATTCGTGTCTTCACTCACCAAAGTGGACGACAGAGGTGGCAGTAGCGACATTGTTACCATACATTTTAATCTCGAGTATAATTACATTCAAAGTGTATTTGGGTGCCATAAAAGTAATGAAAAAGTAAGATAACAGATGGCAGAATAAACATAAATGTCAGTGAAATGAGCCGAGTCACCTGAGAGGTGCTGGCAAACAGACATTTGCAGAGAAACCTGTGAAGACTGGTGATACCTCCCCTCGCATGGCCACTTGCTCCCACACTAACCGGTTTCTGTTATCCAGCTGCTGTTGTGTTTACCTAAGAGCATGAGGCTGTCATCTGCTTCAGTCACAAGTTTTATCACACACAAACTAATGAGATAAAATCCTGCTCCACTGTGACAACATGAACTCACAAAGCTCAAAATGAAAATGGATGGAAATACAAAATTCAATTCCATTATCACAATTTCCCAACTTCAATGGAATTGGGTTTTGTATGATCAAATGGTTAAAATGAACATATTTGTTTAAGCTTTTAAACTTCACATTTAAAAAAAAATCACATATTACATCTTCACAAAGTGTTGGTGCATATTGAACATACTGTGTACTTAAACCTGTTTGCACTGTCAGTTCCTTGGCATTAGTTCATATTTTTTCATATTATTAAAGTTCCCACACTGCCTTCCTTATGCATTTTTGGTAATATTTTTACATAGTTATCTCTTTCAATATTTCAACATACAGATTGTTATACTTATATCAGCCTAAACATTGTCAGATGAATTTGTAACAATGATTACAGTGATATCTGTCAGTGGGTGGATTTTGTAAGTATCAAGTTAACCTCCTGTCTTAGAGCTTTTGTTATATTAATGTTATGACTGATTGATGTATATTGTGATGTAATCCATTTACTTAAGATACAGATCTTTCAGGGTTATTTTCTATTTACTGTTTTTATTATCACACATTTTTGCAGCTTTATGCAGCTTTACTTCACATCCTAACTGACTGAAGGGAACAACTGATATATGCCGTAATAAATTGTATGTCTTCAAATGACTTTCTACCTATAAGATGAAGTAAAGGAGTTTTAGATGTAGTGTTTGAGAAGTGACAGCAGCAGATATAAACCAGGAAATTACCTGTGGTTTTACAGCCAGTTCCCCCTTTGCTATGCAAGTGCTGTGAAAGCACATTTTAAAGAGAGTTTATTTTCGATCAAAGACTCATAATTCAGAGCTGGTGTCTTCAGCCGACTGTGGTTTATGATACTGTGTGAAACTAACATACGGGCTCGCACAACCTGCAGCAGAGAGGAGAACAGTGACTGTGTGCTGTGCCTCTTGAGAGATGAAACTCAATGAGGAACATTTTGTACTCTTTAGGGACCAAATGCAGATTAAACAAAAACTAATCAAAGATGTAATTTAAATGTTTCAAACCAGTTTTAGGGTTTCCAAACCCTAAAAGAATGTACCCCTCAACATATATTTTAACCCATCTAGTAGCAGCATGGTGTTTGGATGGATTGATACAATCCAAAATTGGCTAAGTTATTTATTTTTACAGATTTCAGATTTCATATCCTGTTGGGTAAATGAAGCTCACACTGAAATCTAGTTGTTTGTCTGCAGACCACCACTTTCCTGTACAGTAAAGCAATCAGGAAATATAAGCTGATAGTAAGCTGACTTATTAAATGCTGCAGCAAAAGTATAATACATAATGCTGCCATATGACTTTTCATACTTCCTACAACAAACACCTCCACATGCACTAAAAACAGTTCAGATCTCCTAGCCCCAACAACTGAGTAAAATCTCAGTAAAGTCTTCATATTAAATGAAGCATTTTAAAAAGGACCAATGCTTTGTTACCCTCTCATGTTTGAAAAAAAAAATACGCCTTAACAGACAGGACTTTGATGTGATATGGGAGTAACTGTGAAGATACATGCAAGTATTAACAAGTGTTTGTAGTCCATGCATGTGTTGAAATAGATAGTTTTTCCCCCTTTTTTTACGTTTGACTTCATAAAATCATTTTCATGTGCCAACGTAAAATTCATGTGAGCACGCAACTATTATTCAAAAGTGCACATGTATTATAATAATTATAATTTTTCTATCTGTACTTGATTCAAATCTTTGTTTAGGCAAATGTTTTCTTACAGGATGAAGGTTACGGTCAGCCTTAAAATAGCTCTTGGGAGTTGAAATGAAACTCCTTACGCCTTCAAGATTAAAAACTGCACCTGGTGGCCTCTCAGATCCTGGACTGTATGCAACCATAGATTCTATTTAAAGTCTGTGGATGCAACCCTTGCTATCTTGTGTTCCTGTGGCAGACTCGATTAGTTTTCCCAGATACATTATTGACCCCATGGAGTTAAACTGCGTGAGGCTTTTGTGATCAGTTTTAATCGATGGATTATAAGACAGAAACTGGTGAATAACAGGAGCTGGAGCAACAAAACTGCGCCATAAATCATTGGGGCTAAAAGCTGCGCAATAGATGGCAGCATTTACCAACACCGCAGATGTCAGGAAACCGCGAAGAAGAAAATAGGACACGAAAACGTAGAAGAAGAAGGAGCACGTGATTCTTGCTAACTTGAGGCAAGATGGCGGTGGTTGTACGGAGTTTGCAAGACCAGCTGGAAAAAGCTAAGGAAAGCCTGAAAAATGTGGACGATAATATTCGCAAATTAACTGGACGCGACCCTAATGAATCAAGGTAAAAACACAGGCTGTTAGAGTATGTATCTGAGAGTTTTATTCACTGAAAAGCAAACAATATTGTTAGCGTTGACCCGACGTGCGATAACTGCTAGCATGGGTCGGTTTGCTAATTAGCAAAAATGGCCACTTCTGAGGATATAAAAGAATTTTACTAAGAGAAGTTTAGTCTTCCTACATTTGAATATGGGTGAATAAAGACACAAATTAAACTATCTAAACAAGAATAAGTCTAATTGTGTGCCTTTGAGAGGAGTAGCCATCAGTGTATGCTAACTGTCTGTCTGTGGGCCTTTCCCGCTCCGTGTCCAGGGCTTACCCGTATCTATACCAAATAGTTTCTGTGAAACCTAAAAGATGATATTTCTGCGCATAAATGTGTCATTTTTAAGACAGTGTTGTGTTGGAGTTGATCTGGTTTCCTGTTGATTATGTAGACCGGGTCAGATCCGTCGGCTTGGAGGCCCCATGGCAGGTCCCGGAGGAGGTAGAGGCAGAGGACTCAACCTGCTCAGGTAAACCAGCTCCGTGGAGAGACACGATGATATATACATTTGATTCAATGTGTAAATACACTCAGGAGATGTCAGTAGGGTGTGATCTGCAGAAGTTTACAGCTTGTGGCATGTAACTTACTTTCAACCAGTGTACTGTTAAACTTCAGACAGGCAAACGTCAGATCTCTACATATTGATGGTAAAACTTGTTGCTGTACATTTTGTTACTGTCCTGAAAAGTGTCTACACAGTAACCTGTAACATTTAGGTACACGGGTGTTTGACAAATATTTGAGGGTTGGGAAACTGTACCTGGACTCCAAATGTCTAAACAAACAAGCAGTGGAATCGGTTGTTTGCAACAAGATACAGGCGTTTGTTGTCCAGAAAAATAATCCAAGATCCTTCAGTTATTTTCAGACATTTCAGCCTCAGTCATATTTATTATTATTATTTTTTCATTATTATTATTATTAGGGATTGTAGGTGTTTGGCTGAAGCAGTCACCATACTCCGGCAGTGGAAGAAAGGTCATGGTTATTATTGTAGCTTTGCTCTTGCTTGACAATATCACAGGCATTACAGTGGGTATCATGGGTTACGCTGCTATTCCCATCCATTTATCAAAAATTTTCCCAACGTATGTCATGATATTGACCAAATGTCTCAATTTCAGGACATCATAACCTGCATAGACACAAAATAATTGCAACACTGATAGATGCAACCATTATGGCTTTGTATATTCTGGAGAGGGCCATAAACATACACTTTAAGGAATTAATGCCAAATTTTCCAGTGCTTTAGTCTGCTGCAGTCAAAGTCAGCTAGACTTTTTGTCATCCACATTATTGGTGTGGAAACAGAAGAAAAAAACAAAAGCATAAAGGTAAAGCATAAAGGGAAACATGCTGTTTTAAGGTGATACTAAATTGATGTTCAATATTCCAAAGCACCAGCCCACCTTTTACCTTTTCTTATCCTTCACAGGCGTAGTCTCTCAGACATTGGAGGCGGCGGCCCTCCTGCCAAGCAGAGGGACATTGAAGGAGCTCTGCTGAGGTGAAAATTTTGGATTTTCTTTTTCTTTCTGCATCTATTGCTTAGCTTTCTCTGCAGCTATGACAATCGTCCAGAGATGTGTGTCCCTTTTACATAGGCCTGCAAAAAAATTTCCAAGGTACATGAAGGGCCACTTGTTTGATGTAAAATCTGGGTCTATCACTTATCAGTCATTTATCTTTTCGGGTGTGTGTCTGCAGGCTGGCAGGAGACCAGAGGGCCAGGAGAGACACACGCCACGACAGCGACGCCGAGGATGATGACGATGTCAAAAAGGTGGGACTATGCAATCTCTTAAAAATTGGGGGAGGGGATTTTGTTTTCACTTATGAAATCAGCTAAAACAGTGATCTGACCCATATTGTGTGGCTAGGACATAACAAAACAGTCAGAATTATGTACTACCTGCTCATCAGGGTAACGTTTTAAAGCCGGGGAGGTGTTTTAATTGAAATCATTTTATGTTTGTTGAAATGTTGTAACTTACAAACAGAAACAAAGAACTCAAATGAGATTGAAACCCAAAATGAAAAAAGGTTATTAGTGGCTGTTTGAGTCCTGAAATCGGTCTGTTTTGTCATCTGTCATGCTATAAGCACCTGTACAGGTTTTTTTTTTTTTTTTTTTAAATTGTGGTGAAGTATTTCTTGTTCATGTATCAGATTTTCTCTGTCCATTCACCTGTCAGCTGAGGCATTTGTTGTTTTGAAAAACAAACACTTCTAACACCTCTTCTATGAATCCTCCATCCCTCAGCCGGCGTTGCAGTCGTCTGTAGTGGCTACCTCCAAGGAGAGAACACGCCGAGACCTCATTCAAGATCAAACCATGGATGAGAAGGGCAAACAGAGGCAAGTACACCTGAGTTTTGTGAGCCTGGGTCTGAAACTCCCACGGTCCTTTTGATCGTTGCTAAACTGCACCAACGATTTAATTAATCTACAAGACAAACCAAAAAGTTTTCATTTTTCTGATGGTTATTGGTGTGCTCTTATTCAGGAATCGGCGTATGTTCGGCCTGCTGATGGGCACCTTGCAGAAATTCAAGCAGGAGTCCAACGTCTCTACAGAGAGGGTGAGAAAATCTGTTTGACTGATTAGAAAACTGTTGATCTGACTCTAAGGAGGGCAGGCACCGCAAATAAATATATTTCCAGATTACTAATCAGAGTTTCTGAAAGGAGGAAAATGTGATGACTCTGATTGATCTGACCTTGATAAAACCTTTACTTGTGCTTTTAGACAGTTCTTATCTTCACATTTTGACAACTTTCCTTTGATTTCTGTGTTATTAGTATTATTAGTGTTTGCAAATGGACGACATATTCAGATATAACAATAAAATATTTTTCACCGTACCTGTACATTCTGCCGTTTGCTACTGGTCTCCTTGTAGCCACGCCAGTGAACTCCTTTTTTATATCCCCATAGCAAAAGAGACGTTCAGAGATTGAGCAGAAGCTCGAGGTTCAGGCTGAGGCTGAGAGAAAGAAGGTGGAGTCTGAAAAGAGGGAGCTGTTTGAAGAGAGGAGAGCCAAACAGACTGAGCTGAGATTGTTGGAACAGAAAGTGGAACTAGCTCAGCTGGTAAGTAAATATTTCATACACCATTTCCTTCAACTCGACAAATTGCTCCCAAGGTTTTGTGGATTAAAGGAGCTGTTAATACTTCTTTTGTCACAAGGACAGCGTGTCCCCTACATTGGTGTAAATAAAAAATGTAGAGGGAAGGAATTTATTGTGTCACAGTATGACATTGCTCAAAAAACACCCGCTGCAACTTTGCTCTGCAAAGCACGTTTGATATTGTCAAGTATCCACACGTTTCAATGTGTTTCTCCATCTTTAGGTTATAATCATGCATTAAGAGAGACAGTGTGGTTTTTAGTTAAACACAAAATCTGTGAAATGCAATTGAAAACACTTCAAAATTCGAGACAATGGACCAGTACAGGGCAGTGACATGAGTCAGGAGGTGAAGAGGGGGAAATGGGCCTTTTGCTACCTCACATAAAGTTGTACAAGACTGCTTTGTCTTAAGTGATGCAGAATTTGTAACCATGAGGTCTTTAGAACAGATGAGTTGAAAAATTGTGTGATCACTGACAATAACTTGCTAATGCTAATACTCAGCATTCACATTCTCCTTAGTGCAGCCCACATACTGATACATAGGAGTCTGAGTCCGAGGAAGAGCCAAGAAGAGCTGTGGGCTTTTGCATTAAACTGTGTTGACTTACAATGAAAGACATATAAAACAGGCCAATCAAAAGACCCGCCTGCCCTTTGTAAATTTTCTCTGGCAGTAACCGTTTGAAACTACACTACAGCTTGGTCAAACCTTTAATAGTACCTGGGGCTGTCAGAGAATAAACCAGTTAAATGCTGGAGTAAACTATGACATCAATTTAGGGACCGACATACAGCACTTTGAGGACATTTTCAAGACAGCAGTGAAAATATTTGGACTACTGATGCAAAAAGCTCTTTCTTTTTATTGAGATAATTTCAAACTGTAAAATGTAAAAATGAGAAAGTATGTCTTGTTTATTATTAGTGGATGTTGAAAATTTGACTGGTGGTGGGGAATCATGCTGAGTTGTGATTGAAAATAAAAAGTGTACTTTCTTTACCTGTAACCTTTTCTTTCTGCTATCAACAGCAAGAGGAGTGGACCAGCCACAACACTCGGCTGGTGAAATATATCCGAACCAAAACTAAGCCTCATGTTTTCTACCTGCCTGGAAAAATGTGCTCCGCCACACAGAAACTCCTCGATGACTCCACCAAGAAACTAAACGGTTAGTTCAGCGCGTCTTAGAATCTGACTGATAGCAGTTTGTGTGTGGACATTTTGTAACGTCTGTGTATGTCAACTTGTGTTTCCTGGACAGCTGTCTTTGAGGAGAGGCGTGAGGCTTTTGCCGAACACCTCAGCAAGATGGAGTCTCGCCCCCGGCGCCAGCCAAACCGTGACCAGGACAGCAACGCGGCAGCTGCAGGGATGGACCACTCAGCGGAGGGTAAGCCAGCAGGTCAGATAGTCAAGGTGACAGGTAACAAGGGGCTAGCAGAGATGGATGAAGAGGAGGAGGAAGATGAGGAGGATGAGGAGAAGGGTATGGAGGGGGATAGAAAGGTAGCAGTGAGGGAAGAGGAGAGAGAAGAAGAGGAGGAGAAGAAAGAGGTGTTGAGGAAAGAAGAAGAGGAGGAGGAAGAAGAGAAAATGGAGGTGAGTGAGGAGGGGAAAGAGCAGAAGAAGGAAGGTGAGGAGGGGGTTCAAGAGGAGATGAAAACAGAGCAGAAGGTAGAGAAGGAAGCTAGTCCACAGTCAGAGGAGATGGAGGTAGAGGGTGGGGCAGAGCAGGAGGGTAAGAGTAATGGAGAGGGGGGAGAGACAGACGGTAAAGCGGAGGCCAAAGACCTTCAGAGTGAAAACACCCAAGAAACCCATGACATGCAGTCCTCTGAGACAACTGTACCCAGCCAGGAAGTACCAAACATCAGTCAGCCACAGATCAGCCTCCCTGCTGAGGAACCAGCCGTTCAGGCTCCTGAGGTTCCAGGGCCTGAGAGCATCCCCGGTCCTCAAACAGTTCCCACAGTGCCTGAGCAGGCCCCTGTCATTCCTGTCCAAGACTCAGCTGTGGAGAACCAGACTGTGGAAGAGAAAACAGTGGATGAAATGCGCCCTAAACTTCCTGATACCCAGGAGGCCCCCAGCGTCACTCCTGCGCCCTCTCAGGAAGAGGAGGGTGCTGGAAGGGGGAGGAAGAAGGAAAAGCAGCCCAAAAAGGCCCGCAGTCACAGCAACAGCTCCTCTTCTTCCTCCTCTGGATCTTCCTCCAGCGGGAGCTCCTCTTCTTCTTCTGGGTCTAGTCGCTCTTCATCATCATCGTCCTCTTCTTCATCATCCTCGTCGAACAGCAGCAGCCGCAGTCGCAGCCGAGACAGCGGTAAGCGCAAGAGGAGGCCTTCAGATAGGAGCAGGAAGAAGGGAGAAGAGCGGAGTCACCACAAGAGGGGGGGGAGTAGCGGAGGAGGGAGGGACTCAAAGGGTTCAAAGGAAAGGAGGAAGAGGAGGAGTGACGAAGGGAGGGGCAGGTCATCCCGAGGAGACAGGGAGCATAAAGATAGAGACAGGAAAGACAAAAGACGCTGATGTGGCTAAATGTACCTCACAAACAGGATACCGGGGGAATCATAACAAAAACATTGACATATGTTGACACATGAGATGATTTTTAAACTAGCATTTCCCCTAAAACTGCCACTGAGGTGTGGACAGAGATACATTTTTTTTTTGCAGGCTAGTGATTGAGTAAGTAAAAACTGTATTGAGCTATGAAGTGGGTGACAGGTTGCTCTTGACCTGGCAAAAGAAACAGACTTTTAAAGGTGGGGTCACAGTGGTTCATCTGGCTGGGCAGGCCCTTTTTTACAGTCCTTCATTGAACCCTTGCCAACAGAGTTGAGACTATTCAGCCCCTTTTTATCCCACATCTACATGATTTAACTGGCGTAAATTTTATAAAGGTCTTTGTGGCAGAATGAAAAGATCCTGTTGAATGTTTAATCAGTTTCTCGTCCTTACATTGCCAACGGCCGCCGTATTAACGGCAGCTGTTATCATAAAGTTGTTGTGTTTTCAAGCTGATGTGACAACACTGTTAAATCTCATGTCTTCACTATTTGGTTGCTGTCGAGGCTGTCCACTTCACGTGGGTACGTTTGTGATTTGTCCAAATTCTGGATTTTGAAGGGGTTTTTTTCCATTGTGTTTTCTTTTTTTGTACAACTGATAATCTGCTTCAAATTAAAGGTGAGGTCTTAGACAAAATATGTGCGGTGTGTTTTTTTTTCCACTCCAGCTCTGAAACCGATATTTTTAACCATTTTTTCTTTGCTCTGAATAAAAATGCTACATTTTAAGTGGAAATTTCTGCCTTTTTCTGGATTTCAAGGATTACTGCTCTAGAAGATCCTGAATCCAGTATGTTGAACCAGAGAACTTGGGTTTCTTTACCATGAATAATTGATGTTATCAATGTAGTGTGGCACAGTGGCCATTAGTCTAGAACCACCTCGGTGTCATTGAAGCCAAGTTGCTTTGATAGCAGCTCTCAGTCTATAATTTTGGGTCCAGTCAGTGTCCCTTAACTTCCCTCAGATCCTCTGAGGTTTAGGTCTGTGATTCTGGCTAATCTAAGAACAGTAATATGGTCTGCAAGCCATTTGGTAGTTTTGGTGCTGTGGGCAGGAGCAAAACTCTGTTGGAAAACAAAACATTCCTTCAACACTTGTCTGAAGATGTAACATCAGGAGGTCTTCTCTCTCCTGCAGACAGCTGTAACAACTTTGATCATTTTAGGTGTTTAAGTGTTGGTCAACTATTAAATCAAATCCAGACTGCAAAACCTTGACACTAGACTTTGAACACTTTGATTAGAGTGTCACTCCAATCTTCCTCCAGACTGTAAGACTTTGATTACCAAATAAAATACTAAATTAGCTTTCACTGGCATCGAAGATTTTGGACAACCAACAGCCTAGTTCTTCTGATTTATCTGGATCAGGAGTGGCTTGAAATACAGAATTAACACTTAAAATATTCTCAAATTTTATGATACATTTTTAAAAAATCTTGTCAGCTGTTTGCCATGATTAAAACAAAAATAAAAACGCAAGTTATAAATACATGTAGTTTTCAATTCCTCAAAACTTAAAACAAAATATTGAACTTTTTCATGATATGATTTCAAGATGCACCTGTATGTGTGTATATACGTATATACAAAGCACTGTCTGGAGAACTTTAATCCAAAGATCTTTAAATAGGTAAATAAAGGTTTCCTATTCTAAAATACAGGATGCAACCCTGTTCGGAGGCTGTGGCTGCAAATACCCTCAGACTCAGCAGTATACATACTTGAATGTTACTTGTTAGTGTTCAAAATCGACAAACTGGGGCAATAAACTGTTTTCTAATCCAGTGGAAGCGATTAGCAAACTGTAAATGCAATTACAAATCAAACCTGCCTCCAAGCAGTTTATTAAAGATGCCTGATTTTGTTTGGTTGTTCACTACACTGTAGCACACATAAATGAACCAGAAGACCAAGTCCAGTCATCACTGAGGTCCCCCTTGGATATACTCGGCTGAATCAACAGCTGTGCCATTCTGCCTATTAAAAACTGATGTCCACACAAGCAGTTCAGGAAATTGTTTAATAGAAAAATTATGTAGTCTAACTGTACAAAAAATGTTTGGACAAAACCATCATCACTTTGGCTGTTTCTTGTTACATCAGTTGAACTCAAAATGCCCAGTGCCTAGAAACAATAGGACATAGTTTCTCGATCCAGCCCCCATAATTTTTCCTACAATCTTCATTGCAGAGTGTGCCCACATCCCCCTCAAGTGGTTGTTTTCACTGCACTCTCCTGAGAAATGTTCAGTTCCCTCCACTTTGGTAGGCACAGATTCCCACAAAAGTTTCTTGTCCCTTGACTGCCGAGCATCCAGTCAGTAAGAAGGTAAACAAAAGATCTTGTCTTTCTTGATGCTCATTCTGGCTGGTCTGCTAGGTCATTCTGCTCAAAGTATCTGCAGGAGGATAAAGAAGAGAAATCAGTATGGTGTAAATGTTTAATATACTGTGTAATTTAAATTCTAATATGATGGAATTAGCACTCTCTTTAGATAGATACCTTGCAACCAGGCAGATAAGCAGATTGAGGGGAGGCAGTTTCTCATTCTCTGGACTCTCCTGTGAAAATGCAGAACACATATATTGTTTTTGTACAATGTTTGAAAAGACCTCTTTGACTTCATCTGAATTTATAGAAATAATCCTCCCTGATTGGCTTGTTTGCGTTTGAAGCTCAAAGTCATATCAGTATGAATTTAAGTCAGTTTCACAACCAGCTGAAAATTCCCCACAGGAGCTCTGTGCTACAACAAAGACAGCCTGTTGTATTGCTCCTGCACAGAGGACAGCAGAAGAAAAGTCTGTTGGACAGAGGGACAGACTAAGTTATACCAGTGTACTGCGGAGCTGAGCACATCTCCTGGCCAGCTGCCTGATGGAGGAGTGGGCTTCAGGCAACAGAGGCTTCTCCAAGCATGCCAACAGAGAATACAGCCAGCGACCCTGTGACGTGCACCAAACAGTAAGTCAGCAAAAATAATATAACATCTAATTTATTGTGTAAATGACTTAAAGGCCACCTTTCATACTTTTAAAGACAATACATCATAGATTACTCACAAGCTGAGGAGTGAACTCGTGTTCTTCAAACCAACCGATAAGAATTTCCAACACCATCAGCACTGTAGACTAAAGCACACATGTAAGAAAAATAAAACCAGACTACTAAACTAGCTCAAAGTGAGCTCCATGTCTGACTGTGTGTTTGTTTGTGTACCTGATTCAGTCTGCTGACTATACTGAGGAGGGGAGGGAAGCCAAACTGCTGACACACATCAAAACACAGAGAATAACACTTATCATGAAAAACTAGGTTAACTTTTTAGTTACCTTAGTATTTTTCCAACTCCGTATCAATTTAAGATGATTGTCCCTTGATTATAAATACATTAATTGTTTGATTACTTCTTAGCTAGTCTAAGAAGTAATCAAACAATTAATGTCCTGATTAGATAAATTAACCCTTTACTTTCATACCTTGCTGTAGTCCAGAGCTGGTTCTGGTTCAGTATCTGTGCGGTCTGATGAAGCACCCAGAAGGACTGACTCTCCTAAACAAAACCGTTTCCAACTGTCTTCATCTGTTAACTTTGGCTGTTCAAACACACACACACATACACTCTAATGTAAAAATAAGACAATTCTAAGAAATTGTGTAACTTTGTTGTAACCATCGTTCTCCTCACCAGAAGCACATTATCATCCAGAGTCTGGCTGCTCCAGTGTTTTCTGTTCTTTGTGATGCTCTGAAAGCAAAAAGCAGAACCCATAAGCAGTCTGAGCAAACAGATTTTACGATAAACACTCTCTAGAGTTTGTATGCATTTACAAAACCTGATCTCAAAAGAAATGTTTTTTTTCTCAAATCAGTTTTGAGAGTAAATGTTTTTGTTTTCATCTATATACTCCTACATTCACCATCAGAGAGCACTGCATGGCTGTGAGACCCAGAGACCCAGGATAAGCACTGACAACTGTTGCTGATAGGGTGAGCAACAGGGGTCCTTTTTCTGGAGTGGTATCTGGGTCTTCAGGGCCTCCTATTTTCCAAGTTATTTGAGTTACCTTAAACATTTTTTATTTGATGATTTGGGTTAACAGGACAGCTAACAATCTGATTGCCAACAATAGAAAAAAAGCATCCCTGTTTTCAGTAAAAACAATTAAAATTTTTAACAATTAAATTACATTTTTTCAACATTTATCAAGGATTACTTTGTACTAATAGAGAAGTTGTTTACTTGTGTGTGTGTGTGTGTGTGTGTGTGTGTGTGTGTGTGTGTGTGTGTGTGTGTGTGTGTGTGTGTGTGTGTGTGTGTGTGTGTGTGTGTGTGTGTGTATGTGTTTTTTTTACCTGTCTGACATCCGAGAAGTTACTGACTTGATTCTGCTGCCAACCAAGACTTGGAGAGAAACCTACAGGAGCAGCATGGCAACCTGCCACCTGAAACACACAGGCATGGTTAATAGGGGATTCGTGACTCAAAACAAATCCTTTAAATCTGACTCGTCTCATATATGCCAATGTTGTACAGGAGCCCCCACGCTTCATGTAAGCAAAACTTTTAAAGTAGTGACAGGATTGGATTTGTATAAAAAAAAACAGGTAGATTAGTGTAACTTGTCCTTTTACTTTAAGTGATTGCATTTATATTGCATTATTACACAACTCTCGGTAAACCCATACCATGAAGGAGTTTTCATGATGAAAAACACCTCTTTAAAAAGTACATAAGACATCAGAGGACTTCCCAGGCATCTGTTTAGCAGAGTTATGTTTCAATATGTTTCATGTTGACTCACAGATGCATTCACTGTCTGTTTCTTCTTCAGTTTCCTGGGGTCGATCTGTGCAACCACCACCTCTGGACAGAGCGAGGCCTCCAGTCTGATAAAGAAGCACATCAGAGACTCACATGAGACCTGGAAAAGCTCAACAGGAAGAAAAGTTCTGTGTAATTATTTAGTTAGTGGATTTATGAGGTGAAACTGTAAATATGTTGTGATTGGAGGCCACCAAAGATCGTTTTCTAAACGTTGATATATTTAGGAGGCTACTTTCTATCATTGTTTTGGAAAAATTCAGCATCAGTGCAGTCCAGCATAGTCCTTGACAGATATTTCAACTGACATGTATTTCGATGTCCAAAACATCGAGAAACGTGCGTTTTCAGAGGACTTACTGAACCTGTCGCAGGTACTCTCGGGGGTTCCTCGGGGGTCCGTTCAGGTCCAGGTCCTCAGTTGTGTCTTCAAACTCAACAGGCAGTTGCCTCGGCATTAATTCCTCTGCGTCCGACTTCATTTTATAACATAAAATTTTGGGAAAGTAATTAATTAAACGTTATTAGAGTGAGATGAAAGTCCGATCAGCAGCCCTTTACTTTTCCAAAACAACGTTTGTCTGACGAGAGGCTCATCTATCTGTCATTTGGGCAGCCATGTTGTTCGGGAACGCGGAATGATGACGTTTATTTTATGCGCGGCGTTTGTTGCCATGGTAATGAATGCCTATCATGTTGCCAGCTTTTGGGATGGAGGCCAAAGTCCTTATAACATACACGTTTTTTTTTTTGTTTGCCAGAGTACTTATCTGAAGCCATTTCAGGACGTCTGTCAAAGCAAACCGTGTTAATGACAAATATTAAACTTTTTAATGACACAAAATCATTTGACCTCTCACCAGATTATGTTTGAATGTTGCTGGGAGCAGCTCTTGGATGTTAATGATTATCTGAAAGCACGTCTATCTTATCTCAGCTCCCCCATTCACGATTCAGTCTTCATGACAGCAAGAGCTCAGAGGCAATGTCCACTTGCCAACACAGCTGGCTGGAGTTATTTTCCCTCATTATGGAGATTTTTTCTTAATACACTCCTTAAAAATCTGAAAAAATGTCTGTGTCACAGGCTTATAAACTGCTTTGGAGTATAGGCCTGGCTGCAGTTCTCTTTCCTCATTTACATACTGGATTGTTGTCTGATTACAAAATCTGTGGAGATCCAGAATGTCAGAGTAAGTGCTGGGCTTTTAATGAGTTTGTAACACTTTACTCTTTATGATGTTAATCTGTCTTTCTATGATGTCTGTTTATCCATCTCTAGGCTTAATGAGCAGAGTGCAGGCCATCAGGGACCACCATGGTAAAGACTGTCGTTTTCTAAACTTCAGGCGAGGAGACACCATCTTTGTTTACCACAAACTGACCGGAAAGAGGGACGACCTCTGGGCAGGATCTGTGAGTCGGATACCTCTTTCTTTTCTTTGTTTTTTGTCTCACTTCTAATTAATGAATAATCTACTATACAAAGAGTTTATCATCTCAGGTTCTTGGTGAAGGAGAAATCCTTATTACAATACAGATAGGTACTCAATCAGCACTGATAGATATCAAACTGCACCTGATAAATGAAATGTCTTTGGGATACCTTCAGTTTATTTAATATATAACATGTAATGAGGAAAATCATTAGAAATACGAATCTATTTAAAGAAAAAGATCTTAAAACACTGACCCTAACATGACTGACCTTGCAGTGATTTTTGAACTCTGGTAACCTCTGACCTTATCAAGTAGGACAGCAGCTAAAGAGTGAATCATTGTCAGTCTATCTAATGAGAGGTTAATTTGCAGCAAGTTAGTGACATAAAAGTGACATTGTAAAGATGCTGTGATTGAGTGGCAGTAGCAGATAGTTCAACAGTTTGAGAATAATTTTCAGCTGTGTGACACTGCAAAACAAATGAAAATTTCATTGTCTACAGTTTATAACATCCTGAAATTATTCAGAGAATCTTCGGATTAACATGCAGCGTTGTAAAATCAGACATGACTCTGTAACTGGAATCACTGCATGGTGTCGAAATCCCTTTCATAAACCATCGTCTGTGATGACAGATGTATCCATAAATCCAAGTTAAAACTGTTATCACATAGAAGGGAAACCATATTTAAACATGATCCAGAAACACTGGCAACTTATCTGGGCCTTAGTCCGTTCAAGTGAGACTAAAGCAAATTGGAAAACTGTCCTGTTGTAATAATCAGACATGACTCTGTAACTGGAATAACTCAACTTAATATCAGCTCACAATTCAAAGGTCTGCATCTGTGAAGGTGTGGGGGCATGGCATGGGTAGCTTTCACATTTGAGAGGGCACAATGAATGCTAAATGATATGTTAAGGGTTTGCCAGACTACTCTCTTCTGCACCTGTGCACGTCTCTTTAGTGTTAAGTGCTGCAACATGCACATCGTCTCAACATTTATGAAATGTGTTGCTGGCATCAAATATAAGATGATAATATCTTTTCATGAACAATAAAAATTTTCTACCTTTGAACCATTGGCTTGTTGGCATTGCAGTATTGCAGTATTGCAGTATTTGCAGTTAATACAGGGTTTATATAATTCCATAAGCAGCAAATAAGGAGCACAGTTTTCAAACTTTTGGGGGATCAGAGTTATTAAACATATATCTCATGATATATCTCAAGTTTGTTTCCTTTGTATTTGTGCTTTGGCTCTGTACACCTGTAATTGTCCCTTTTTATTTTGTCTTTCAGATTGATAAACAGTTCGGTCACTTCCCAAAAGATGCAGTGAAAGAGGAGCATTTTTATGCAACTGTTGAGAGAGTAGTGGAGACACAGGTAAACATGTTCTAGCTGGAGGTTCTCTATGTATCACAGGCTTGAAATAGAAATCATGCTTTGCCATTATTATTATTTAAGTTATGGTTTTAGTAGTAATAGATGGTGAATCTGTAAAAGCTGAATGTCCTCTCACTGAAGTGCCCTCATTTCTTTCTTCATTCAGAATTCCGATTTCTTCTGTATGGATGAATTTGGTTATCCAATCGACTCCAGTGAACTAGACAGTGATGATGATGAGGATGGAGTTAGGATCGAAAAACAAGACCCTGATACAACACAACCCACCCACCCCGATAATGATGCTGAAAGTCCATCAACGTCTGGAAGTATCTCAGCAGAATCTCAGGGTTCAACTGATGCCACACAGACAGAGCTTGACAAAAACACAAACACCGATGTTGATGCTGTTGAGACTCCCCATGAAACACAAGAGGATCCTCTGGTGTCAGAAGAACAAGGTGGGTCCGCCTCCTCTGCTTGGTTTGGTTCTACAGTGACAGGATTGTTAGGTCTGGCAAAAGAGGAAGAGTCTGCAAATTTGGCTGAAGGAGAAGAGAAAGATGAGAGAGAGGAGACTCAGGATGAAGCTTCATCTTTTACTGCCTCTGTGACAGGATGGCTGGGGATGGGAGGGAGTGGAGGAAAAACTGATGATGAGGTGAAAAGTGAGGAAGAAGAAGACAGAGAAGATGCTGAATCTTTTACTTCCACCATGACTGGGTGGATTGGATTTGGAGGGGAGAAAAAACCTGAAAAGTCAGCAGAAAAAGAGGATGACAAAGAAAGACCCAAACATGAAGAGCAGGAACCAACAGAGACATTCAGGAGCAGGAGGATGTCTTTGGACCTAGAAGGCAGCCAGTTGCAAGAGGAGGAGAGAACAGAAATGGGAACACTGGATTGGCTTGGGAATGGCCTGTCAAGCACACTGGGATTCGGTCGCACTAATCAGGAGCCTGAAAGAAAGGTGGAAGAGATAGTGAAAGAGGAGGCATCTGGTTCTTGGTACGATATGGGGATTGGGAGCATTTTAGGCTATGGGAACGACAAGACTGATGAGAGCATACCAAGTGGTTTTCAAGAGGCAGAAGTTGATGAAACATCAGATCAGCCGACAGGGTCAGAGAGTGCAGATACTGGGCAGCTACAAGCTGAACAAACAGAGGGTTCAACTACAGAAACAACCTATGAATCAATAATAGAAACACCTCCACAAGAAGGAAATATCTCAACAGAGGCAGAGACAGTGTCGAGTACTGCCGAGCTGATCAATATAGATGCTCCTGACAGTAGTAAAGATGGTGATTTATCAGAAAATACAGCAGCTGAGTCTGAAGGAGGAAAGTCTTCAGCAATAGATATCTTTTTTCAAACAAGTAAGGAGGACAACAAAGATAACATTTTAGGTGAGAAAGCAGCAGATGTTAGAGGTGAAGTTCATCAGACATCTGAAGCAACTGAAAATAGAGGTGATGATTATAACAGGCAGACAAAAGAAGAAATCAAAGCTGCTGAGAAGTCTGATCAGGAAATGTTAACTCGAACAGACATTGACCTGTCCTCAGACTCCAGTTCTGTGGATTTCAAATCAGACACTGCAAGTCAATCGGTAGGTGGGGACAAATCAGAGAATGTGGTCCTGGAGGGTGCTCAGATCCAGAGTCACATCGATGAATCTGCGGATGAGATAAGTATGAGAGGCAATGATCACGAAGCAGATATGAATAATCAAGGCTCAGGTGTACTTCAGAGGGAAATATCTGAGATTGAGACTGAGGGTGCAGTAGAGCAGAGTGATATCAGAGCAGGAAAAGGCAGCATATTGAGTCATGATCCATCCTCCAGTGAGCAGGAGACTTTATTACAGATAGGAGGCAAAGCAGATCCAGTTTTTCTGTCTCCAGATGAACAACAGATTGACAACCAAAGTGATGAAGATGCACAGGAGCAACGAGAGGCTGTCCAAAACTCTGAGAAAGACGTTGAAAACTTCCTTGAGCCAGCTCAAATAGACACAACAGGTATAGAGCAGTACAACGTGGATGATAGTGGTCTTACCACCTCTGTAGGATCAGAAACAGAGACTGAGGAGGAGTCAAAGGAAGAGAAGAAGGAGAGAGAGATGGAAGAGAATAGAGTGGAGGAGCAGGAAGAGATGCAAACTCAGGTGACGCAAAAGCAGATGGATGAGGAAAAGCAAGATGAAGTGAAGGAGTTAGAGGAAAAGCAGCAGGGAGTAAAGGAGGTGAAAGAGAAGGAGGAACTGGTAGAGTTAGAGGAGTTAAAGGAGAAAATGACACAGGAGGAGGCAGAGGAGATAACAGAGAAGGAAAGGTGGCATGAGTTAGAGGAGTTGAAGAAGGAGGAGACACAGATGGAAGAGGAGGAGATACAGGAGAGGGAGAAACTTGTGGAGTTAAAGGAACTAAAGGAGGAGGAAATAAAAAAAGATGATGATGATGAGGAGGAGATGGGATGGTCAAAGGAAGTAAAAACTAGTGTGGATGAAGAGGTGAGGCAAAGTTGGATGGAGGAGCTAAAAGAGGATGAGAATTTCACCCAAGTGGAGGAAAATCAGCAGTACATTGGAGAGTCAGAGGAAGACAAGCAGGATATCGTAGAAGATTTAGAAGAAAGGGGGCGCATAGAAGAGTTGACAGAGGATGGAAAGGATAAGAAAGATGATAAAGAAGCAGAGCATGTTGAACAAGAGAAGGAAAATGTTGAGAGGGTAGAGTCAGCGAACAAAGAATTAGAGTCACAAGGTGAGAAAAGTTTGGAAACACCTGAACCGACTGAAGGAGGCCAAATTGAAGGAGCAGAAAAAGAGGAAGAAAGTAAAGAAACAGAGAAGATGGGTGAGGTAGAGGATGCTGAAGAGACTGTGAAGGATGAGGGAAAAGACGGAATAGAAGAGGGACAAGACACACTTGTAAGGGACAGTGATGAAAAAGACTCAATGGATGAAGAGATGACAGAGGCAGGAAAAACAAATCCAACAGCTGACATGACAGAAGAGAGTCGGATAACATCATTCGAGGGCATAAAGAGGGATGAAGATTCAGTACCGAGAAAAGGAGGAAATGAGGAAGAAAGAAATGATGTTGTTGAGGCTAATGAAAGGCAGATGGAGAATCTGGACGTCAGGATCTACTACACTAACACAGTTTCTGATCTTCACTCTTTGGAGGTTGATCAAACAGAGAAAACTGAACACATGAACAGTGATCTGCCACATTCAGTTGAAGATGTTCAAGACAGCCTTTCTAAAGACGTTTCTACTGGGGTTACAGACACCAGTCAGCTGTATTCAAGTGAGGTAGAAAACACTGAGCTGACTGATGACAAAGTGATCTATAAATGGGATAAAACTGATGTTGAAAACACAGAAACAAGCAGCAAAAAGGTTTCCTCAGAGGAGGAAACAAAGCAAACAATTTCTGATCATAAGGGAGAAGAGAGGATGTTAAACATGATGCACAATGACGGAAGAGTGAATGAGGAAAAAACTTTTGGGACTGAAGTCAAGACTGAGGGAAATGATTTTCAGAGTGAGACTTTTGAAAGTCTGGTTGTTGTCTCTGAACAAACCTTTTCACACCACCCAGCTGGCTCCTCTCTTCCCTCTTATGTTCCTGATGATGAGAAAGCTGAAAATAAAAATGGAGGTGCATTTGATCTTTTCAAAAATGCCTTCAGCTACTTTGGCCAAACACCTGCCACAGAACCTGAGACGTCCACTCAGTCTTCCCAAAGTTTGGATTCTAATACACCTGAAACACCTGAGGTTCAAACCTTTCACACTCTTGAACAGCTACAAGATACAACTTCTCATTCAAGCCAGGTTTACTCACAAGATTTACACTTAGACACTTCAAACCCTCTGTCAGAGCAGCTGCAACCTTCTCCCTCACCAGCCCAGGCCCCCGACCCACATCCCAGTACTGTGTCTCCAAACACAGAGAGTCCCCCCCTCATGAAGACAGTCTTCAAACACCTGCACACCACCCTGAGTGCAGATGACACTGTAATGCTGGTGGCTCTGTTAGGGCAGCACAAGCTGCAGTTCTTGGATGACATTTTAGAAAGTTCAGAGACCATGACTGGTGATCCTAACACTGATGAATCCATACTACTGGATGTTGAAAGACTTCTGCATTATCATAGAGAGATGCTTGTTGCTCCTCGTGGGAAGCTGTTGGATGCACCTCAGGAGGACAAAGAAAAGACCAAAACACTCATCGCACTTGAAAAGCTAGAAATGCTGCTTAAAAGAGTGAGAATGTCTTTCAACACAGGAAAACCAGACTCAAGTAACACAAACCACCAAGGTATTTTTGTCCGCATAGCCTTAAAGATCATAAAAAACACTGATTATTGAAGTTTATTTCATCTTTTTTTTTAGACTGAATATGCAATGACATCAACCAGAGTGTCTGTGGTTTTCTGTTTTATACAGCTGATGGCAGCTGTGATGGTGAATCCTGTTCAAATCTCAAAGAAGACAAGAAAATGACTGCTGAAGAAGAGCGACATAAGGAGGTAGATTCTCCTGTTGGCACAGAAACCAACACAGCAAAGGGTGAATGGATGGGATTGGATGAAGACAAAGATGGAAAGCTAAGAGGGGACACAGAGGAACAAAGGTTTACCCACCATAAAGAAGAGAATGCATCCCCCGTGGCTAGTCGTCACTCTGAACCACGAACATCACAGACATTGGAAGGTACAAATGACTCAGGTGTCCCTCAATCAAAAAGGATCAAAGGGTCATTAAAACAAAGCAATGACATCGGCAAAGAACTGAACGGTTTCATACCTGCCTTGTGTTTATTTCTTTCATATACAGATACAAAGCATGGGTTATTCTTACCAGATCCAAAAATAAAAAAGATAAAGCTTTGGATCATTTCCGATCAGTACATATTAAAAAAGTGAGAAAGTTTTAAACTGAGGTTTCCCTTCTGTCTGCCATTCCAGGACAGGTGCAGCAACTTCTGGGCTTTCTTAATACAATCACTGGAGACTCAAGCGCTCACATCCAAGCAGCAAGGGAGCTCCTCATATGGCTGACTGTACAGGTAAGAGTTAAGAGTTGGGTCATTTCCACCATCCAATCGACCCTCGAAGAGCTCGGAATAACTATTATTTAGTGTTACACAATCAAATTTTTGGTTGAATAAGAAAGTCAGTCTAAGCATGAATGAAAACATTGTTTTTGAGGCAGTGGGCTCAGTCTTAAAGCTTGTATGACACATGTGATATCATAAGAACCCACATACCAACAAATTACAATATGTTGGAGTCAAATATGTTGGATTTGATCACACTCACCCGAATAAAAGTTATAAAACTCTAAATTGAACCTCTTTATTGAGATTATATTAATATGGCAAATTTTATGGTTCCTAATGGTACCATGATACCATAATACCTATGGTACCTAATCTATGAATATGAGTAATTGATATGTAACACACATATAATCCAAGCAACATTTTATCTGACAACCTAAAACCTGAAATGAAACTGTTTTATGAGTGTGTGAGTTGTGCAAAGAACCTGGGTAAGACCCATTTTCTCTCAGCTTGTTCTCTTTCTTTGTTCTACAATATCCTGATTTTACTCTTTGAGCAGCATGGTGCCACAAAATCACTCACAGCTCTCTTGGCAGCACTTAATTCTGTGACATTTTCCAGAGGAAGAATGAAGAATCTTATTGGATTGTGTAGCTAATTGTAATAACATACTTAGGTTTGATTAAATAGGGGCTAGACTGTTACTTTCTTGTCATATCTACGCATAGCATCTAAATATGACACCCAAATACATCTAGCATATATTCGATAGCCCTCTCTTAATTTTTTTAATGTTTAGGATCCCTGCTGTATTTATTAAGAACAACAAAAACAGAAAGATAATTGTTCAGTAAAAAGCAGCACTTTTCTAAACTCTGTAGAACAACCAGCTTGTATTATTTTAATGGTCAATTTCAAAAGATAGATTATTATATCTTAATGATTTATAGCTTAAGTCCTGTTGATCTGTGTAGTGTAACCGATCCCAAAGCAGGCTGTGTGTTCTTTAGGCTACCTGTCGTGATCTTTATAGTTTTAACATGTGATCTATAGACTGTGGTTCTTTAAGACCCTGAACCTGTGACATGTTGATCCAGCTCTCCCCTCCTCGGATGTCAAACACGCCTAACTCAACATCACTCACATTCCTCAGTGGTGCTGCCTCTATTACATTACATACGACAAGCCAGGCTGGCTACCAGAGTACTCTGTCGGAGTTTTTAAAAATGTTTTGGGAACTGAAGTGAGTTTCTGGTTTCAAATGGAAGAAAATGTCGACGGTTCGGTGAGTAAGCTTTGGAAAACATTGAAACTTAGACAAGTCTTCACCCGTGCCCTACTTAGATCACCTTGCAAAACACCGCCAATAAACACAAGTGGCACACGGTCGAAATTTGCTCTACAGGATGGAAACTAAGTGTAAGTCAAAGTATTAATTTCGTTTGAATACACGTGAAGACGTCATTCAGTACACATACACCTGTTCCTATTGGTGTGGTGTAACTTTGAAAACGCTCCGATGTGCCAGTGTGGCATTTTACAATTGGTGACGTTGCGAGTGAACCATTTTCACAGGCGGGGGTGTAACAAAATCGGTACTTTCTCATGAGTGTCAAAATAAATATTCAGTCGTCTATAAATTCTTTACATCAATTAAGCCGCGAGAATAACCACGTTCCTAAATTATTTTTTTAAATTTGAGCCATTGAAGTGGTTTATAGACAAATCCAGCATTTCGGTCCCCCCCTACACCGTGTCGTCGAACTCGTCTCCTCCAGAGCGTCGTTGTTGTGAATAGGGATGTGAAATCGCCGCAAGCCCGGTTGATGGCTTCAGTTCCTGCCCTCTATGTGGGTTAAATGAAAGATAACGCTTCAATAATAGCCAAATGAAGTAAAAGTGAAATGGCAGACCACGCAGCAAGTGACCAGCTGGCCAGCAAAGCGGTCGATTTTCAGACGACGGCAGAAGCTTACTACAGCATCGCTGTGGAGAAAGTGAAAGATGTGCGTTATGTGGCAAGTTTCGTTAGCATTTCCTGACTAGCCTTCACAGCTGACATAACGCAGCGGACTATCAAACCACAGATAGAACTATGTTTTATACCTGGATACATGTTTTAAAATGTTATAGCTCATGTTTGTGTACATGTATGTCCAGCCAGAGTCTAACTTGTTGTCAAGACTATCTAACGATACTATGTTGTCATTTTAATTATTTTTCACAGTTAGCTCTTAGCTAACCAGCTAAGTGACAGAGACATGACCAGGTGTTGTGCTTTGCAGCTGTTTACAACCTTTTAGCCAAAGTAAAGAAGGTGTTTCTAAAGCTTCCTTGTAGCAGATTAATACACCATTCCTCTACTACCATTTCGTTTCTGTTGCAGCTGTGTAGTTAGCTAATGAATCTGGGTAGTCTCTTTTAATCTCTGTAAAAACCCTGCTGTCACTTTTTGACAGTTACACTCAGTTGTCACTTTCACAACTGTAACAGCTCAGCAAAGAAAGGTCAGATACTTTCAGCGAAGGAGTGGAAGTGTCACTGCTCACCTGAAGCAACCTCTAAATACATTTACCTTCTTTCTAGGCCCTTTGGTTTTCTGTTGCTTTGATAAGAACTTGTTTGAAGCTTTGCCTTTTACACAGACTCACCCTCCCCAAACAGCACTTCAGACATGGAGGTTTCAGTTCTGTAAACCACTTGCAAACCAACCTTTCTTCTACCATTCCTTATTAGAGAGCTTTGTCAATCCCAGTTTTGGAAATGAAAAACTCTCCCTTCTTTGGTTGTAGGTTGTATCAGCACTGCCTGATGATATTAGACCTGGGCCAGACCTGTATGGGGTGCCATGGGAACCAGTCATAGTCTCTGGCCTGGTGGGACTGGTGACAGTGCTGTTGTTCATCTGTAGATGCTACAGCTCTGTGAGTATCTCGGTTAAACATGCAGAAAATTACCCTCATGTTCACATATGCATTGTTCTTATGGTGCACAACATAAAATGACACTGTTTGCAAATATCTCCACCTCACTCTGGACAGACAGCGGAGCTCCTTCTCCAACAGACTGTTGCAGCTCCGCTGTCGAAGGGACAGATACAGGAAATCTTTCCTGCCACAAGCAATTGCACTATTTAATAACTCACATCTGTCGGACAGAGACTCACATCTGTCTGCTGTATAGTCCATTTTTAAAAACTCCTACCACAACACATTACTTAGCACCTTAAATTGTTTGTTTATTTATTATCCCATCTGTATATTTCGCATTTCGTATGTATTACTCATTTCTTATTAGTATTACCAGTGGATAGCCCACTTTTTTCATATCTCATTTTTTTTCTCTTAGAATGTTAGTGAATTTCGTCTGTATTTATTGCATATATTTAATATATTTGGTCTGTATTGTATATACTTCTTATATTTAATTTTGTGTTTTTATTGCTGCTGTAACATGGGAATTTCCCAGTTTGGGATCAATAAAGATAGATCAGTAAATCTATCTATCTATCTATAAACACATATAGAGATGTTTCTAGACGTTCGTTAATATTCAGACATATTATATAGTGATCATTCCTTTCACTGTCATTATTGTCTTATTTCTTTGTAGGTAAAAAGCAGACTGTATCGCAGTAAGTTTTCATGTTATTCAAAAATTTCAACAGTGGAACCATTATGAACTACTTCAGATATTCAAGGATGTGTCTGATGTGTTTTTGAGTGTCATATCCCCTGTTTTCAGGCAAGGAGCAATGGATGGCTGAACAGGTTGCACAGCTGCTGGATGAGAAGTGTAAAGTCCTTGAGACTCTCAGCCAGTGTCAACAAGAGGTTGGTAGTTGTGCTTATTTTGTCTGATTTAGGAGGAGGCATTCATCATGTGAATATTAAATTACAGCCAAATTCGTTCTTTAGATTTTTATTCAACAGAGTCTAAAACTCCTACATTTTAAAGATTTTTCATGCATTTGGTCTGAGATCTGCTCAGCAAGACATATGAGAAAGTATTAGAGAAAATCATGAATATAATTAAAACTCTGATGGATGTATTTTCATTAGTCTTTTCATCATTCACTTAATGTCATATGCAGTATGATGACCTGGAGACTTCACTCAGAGACAGTGGTGTCTTGGCCCACAGTCAGAAGACAGAACAACTGGAGGTGAGACAGAGAGATTAAAGGATGAAAGGACTTTTTTTGCAAATGTCATACTCTGGACAAGACTTTAAACTATGGACACAGTGATTTTACTAAAAGTGTTGTTCCTCAGGTAGAACCTCAGCCTATCGTTTCGTTAAAACAGCATTTGCTGACTTTGTCTGTATGAGAGCAGCTGTAAAATACACAACACTGATGCATCATTCCCTTTTTTTGAATTGATATGACAAGCTAGGAAGTAAACACCTGGCAGTTATGAAGTCAAAGACTCTTGTTTTTTATTTGGGATCTTGTTTCCAGATACCTGACAAGTACGCATTCTTCATTTCGGTGTATCTGATCTGTGCCAACCCAAGAGACGAATACTTGACTCCCAAGGATCTTATTTTCCTCTGTATGCTTATTGAACTACTTTTGTCATTCTGTGCTGGAAAAACTGGAAAGAATAATTTTGTTCTCTTGGTCTGAAATCAGCTGACTGTTGACACAGTACAGATCAGATTGCACTGTGACCTGACTCACCCCATTTTTTTCTAAACTCATTTACTCTTTGAACCACATCCAAGGAGTTTGCTGAACATGTTTTTTTTATTTTTATCTTTGTCTCTAAGGTCAAAGCCAGACAGTTGGGACATTCCAAAAAAGAGATGGAGAAGGATCTCAAACAACTGAAGAGTCAACTGGATGAGCAGAGAGAACATAGGGAAGAGCAGGAGAAGAGGGTAGGGGAAACTGCAAAATATGATCAACACCAACCCATCAGTCTTGTTAGCTTTTTTCAAGAACTGGCAATAGTTTATAAACAGGGAACTTTTGTATTCCTCCTTTCAGATAGCAGTGCTTGAGGAGAGCATGAAAACATTTGAAGAAGAAACTAAAGACCTACAATCACAAGAAGAACAGGTGCAGTGACCCACTGATTAAAATCCCATCCATATCTTCACATTGTCTTATTTTCTTCGTCATTGGCATCCCTCTTTTTGCCTTGTCCCTTTGTGTCTCATATGACATTTATGCTGCTTGTTTATCTTAAGGCACAAACTACTCTGAAAGTGTACAATATGAACAGTGAAAGACTACAGAGAAATCTGGAAACTGCTGGAGAGGAAAACAAGCTTTTACAAGAGAGCAATGCGCAGGTACGACACTGAGCACACATACACAATGTCTGACGCTTTGCATGACAGCATGTGACACACAGATGGACCAGATCCAAAATTTTCTAACAGACCCAGAACTGAAAAAGGCCTTATTTACTGTCTTATTTTACGTCTATTTTCATATTTTGGCTTGGCGCCATAATTTTACCTCTTTGCTTTTCTCTTTGTTTTTGGCAGTTTAGGCAGCAAGTGGAGGGATGGGCAGAGAGAGTGAGCGAGTTGGAGGCAGAGATCAGCAGGTGTGAGATTGCCCACAGCGGGATGCAGCAGGATGTGGCAAACAAGGACGAGAGAATATGGGTATTAATGATATTGTTATGAGCTGGATACTTGATTTATACTTTAGTTAACTTCTGATATACATCTGTAAAGGCAAGTTTTCAAAATAATCGATATCACTGTAAAACTTCTGTGAAGAAGAAGACTGCACACAGATATAAAAGATTACCCTCTTGGGTATTTTGGTTTGGTAACACTTCTTTCTGTCAAAAGAGGTCAATTAAGTTCAATTTTTTATGCTTCTCCGTAGTCGCTGACTGATCGGCTGCTCAGGATGAAAGCTTGGGATTCAGACCTTCAGGAAGAGCGAGGACAAGAGGAAGGGGAGACAGATACATCAAATGGTACAACAAGGATAGAAGAGGAAAATAAAAGAGGAGACAGAATGGACACACAAAGCCAACTCCAGAAAGCCCAGAAACTTATCTATGCTGCTAAGGTGTGCAACCTAAAGATGAACAATCCCAACAGTTTCATGATGCCACATTTGACATTTGATCGTGCCTAGCCTAGCTGCTGACCATCATCATAGACCCTAATAGAGAACACAGATGCGAAAAAATGTACACTTCTCTGTGCTCACTATCATGTGGTGTTTGTGTTCATGTGTAGCTAAACGCAGACCTCAAATCAGTGGATGAAGACAAAGACAGGGTCTTTGCCAAACTTAACGATGAAATCAAAGCTAAAGAAGACTTGCAAGGTGGGTCAACTGTACATGGATTTACTAAGGTTGTCATTATAAAGTCTGATGCAGAGACAATAATGGCTGGAAACTGCACAGTGAATACACTGAGTAGTTGTACCATGGCTGTACATAATTAATATTTGTATGCAGTATTTATCACTGATGCGATGTTTGTGTTTATGTTCTTTACTCAACAGTAAGCATAAAGGAACTGGAAAGTGAAAAACTATTACTGCAGTCAGACAGTGAGCACTACACAGATCAGGTATCTGACCCAATAATATAGAAACTGTTCCATTTCCATTCATTTTTAAAATGCAGCAACTCTAACGCGTCTCATTTTTATGTTCAGGTGCAAAGATTACAACAGAAGCTCCACATTATGACAGAAATGTACCAGGAAAATGAGCTCAAGCTGCACAGGTAAAGACACAGATGAATGTACAGAGAAATCCGAGCTGCGGTACTCATCCAGGATGTTGATTAATGTTTGCTTTTACAGGCTGCTGACTGTTGAGGAGAAAGAACGCATGCAGAAGGAAGAGAGGTTAAACAAAGCAGACAAAAACATTGCGTTAGCCATGGAAGAACTCAACAACTATAGGTAACTGCTTCCACAAAAGTACTAATAAACACAATTTTGACATTATTGATCCTCTCGTGCACAGAAGCACAACCTTGGTGGCACCTAACCTGTTTTTCACTTTCCCTGCAGACAGCGAGCAGGGGAGATGGAGGAAGAGCTGGAAAAAACCAAACAATCTTATCAAACGCAGATATCTGCACACGAGAAGAAGGCACACAATAACTGGGTTGGTCAAAATTTGTCTCATAATTTTGAAAATACAACAGACTTAGTTAAAGAAATGTCGATGAAAATCATTCTGTAAAGCACATAAGTTTTGTGTTAGTTTGGTCCACATTGAGTTATGTGTAGGTACTATAGGTTTATGTATATCCTGTTTGTAAATGCAGCACACTGACCTATGTGGGGATACAAATTTGGTTTTGTGACCCTCAATTAATAACTTTATAAAGGTTTAAGTTTGTAACATACCACAGTAGACTGCACTAATGATATGTTACATTATGTCATGGTACGTCCTGTTACTGATCTTGGTTTGGTTTCCTAGCTGGCCGCCCGAGCAGCAGAAAGAGATCTTTCAGACATCAGGAGAGAAAATGCCCTCTTCAGACAAAAGTAACTACACAGTCACTGAACCTGCGTCTGTTAAAACCCTTTTCTAGTGTTATTGAAAGATGTGTAACAGTTACATCTCTCCTGAAAGATACATTTTCAATCAATACAGTTGGTTATGTGGATGATTTTTGTGTGTGTTTTGTTATCAATGTAATTTTTTTATTGAAATACTGCAAATTTAACATTTCCAGGCCCAGAAAGTATGATTCATACATTGACCTTAGCTGTGTTTGCTTCCAGGCTTACAGACACACAGTTTAAACTGGATGCCTTGGACAAAGATCCCTATGCTTTGAACAGCCTGGCAAGACCACAACCTTTCAGAGGTTAGCACACCAGGAAGATACTTTGACCTAATGTGCATTGTGTCCCGTGTCGTATAAGGCCAAAGCCTGAAGTAGTCCAACATAGAGTCTTTGATCTTTGCTGCATTTACTAAAAACTACTTTCTGCCTCTAGCTGAACGGTCACCATACGGTCCATCTCCTCTGGGCCGACCTTCATCTGAAACCAGAGCTTTCTTATCACCTCCAACGTTGATGGACGGACCACCTACGAGGCTGTCTCCCCGAGGTAGACACACAGAGCCATAATCTGCATATATAAAAATATAACTATTGCATGCATAAATGCAGTTTTTGATTAGTACACTTCTCTCAAGATCTCCCTGTGTTGCAGTTGCAGGTTAAGCTATTTCACGTCCTTTGTCATTATTATGACCGAGTATTACTAGTCTCACTGGGTTTTGACTGGTTTGCAAATAAGAAAAACCTTAACCCAGTTTTATATGCAGCACATCTGTTAAATCAGTTCTGCTAAGCCCCATAATCATGAACACATGCAGCATATGGGAGACAAACAATTTGCTGCTGTAGCATGATCAGTTTTGTATTTGCATGGTGTGAATGCCTGCACGGTGTTAGTGGGAAAAAGAAGAGCACTGTTCGCTGATTTGTCCTCAACCCCTCAATTTCACTCTGACTGATAGTGTACTTTCACCCTTTCCCTTTGTCTCTCTCTGACTGTCACACTCATTCTGATGTAATCCTCTGATATTTTGCATGTCCTGTTTTGTTGCCTCTTTCCTTCTCCTTTTCTCTCTTTTCTTCTTCTTTTCCTTTCCTCCGTTTTTTCCACCTGTTGCAGTGCCTCGTGGTCCAATGGAGCCTCTGGGTGGCCCAGGAGAGATGGAGCGAACTGGAGGTCCTCATTCAGACAGTGGCTCAATCTCTCCTACATGGGAGAGAGATCGCAGGGGACCCCCACCTGGACCTCCAGGGCCCCCAGGACCCCAAGGTTTGTATGTGATTGTGTACGTTTACAACAGAGAGAGACAAAGAGAAACGTGTAAAGGGGATTAAGTCCTGGTGATGCTTAGAAAGCCCAAACAAACACCCTTACCTTCAGATGAACAGAAAAAGTTTCAAAATTTAGATTTTCCTCAGTTTGATCCAAAACTAAACAGGTAAGTGTTCAAGAGTTAAAGCGCCTTCAGTGTGTGTGAACCTTGATACAACACAGGCTTTAAGATTACATATGTTCCAAAGGCATTGTGGTTATGTGTTCACTCGTTCAGTCAAAGCTGAGGTGTTATTTCTAACATTCATTGTAGTTTTATGTCTGATAGAATGAGCCTGAATGCACAGTGCAGGTCTCACAGCCACAGTTAAGCTCATCAATTGCACCTTTGCTTTGCAAGTGAACTGTTTTAAGTCAGACTATGTGGATGTGCATGCTTAATGCATTTTGTTCTGGCATGTGGCTGCAGTAATGTGCGACTGTGACATGACTGTGAGAACACAGGAAACCACATCTGATGCTGTGTAAATAACAGTCCAGGAGATAAGATTATCTCCTGGACTGTTGATTCATTTTCACATATCTTTTAGGGTATATGTTTCCGGAACCAGGAGGTCCAATCTACAGGAGACCTCTGCCTCCTCCAGGGGCTATGGGCCCTTTTCCTCCCCCAGGCCCTTTCCCTCCCAGGGGTCTACCCCCAGGACCCTTCCACCCTGCAGATATGACTGGTGAGGCACTAAAAGTTGTACAGCTTCTCGATGGGGCTTCTTATCACTGTCAGAAGTGAGCATATACTTGCACTTTGAAATAGAGGTAACACTTTACTTGACGCCTATCTCTGTAACGCATTATAAATATATGTATAATGCGTTATAATCATGTTATAGCACTGTATAACTGTAGTTATAAACACTCATAAATGATCATGATACTTTATAGCAATAATCATAACACATTATAAAGCATTTTATCATGACTTTCAAGGTCAGGTATGATAATGTGTTATAAGTGTTAACAATTCACATACATAATGCAATGCAACTGTTGTTAACTGAAATAGAAAATCAAAATGAAAATACAAACTGAAAATTAAAAATGTGCTTCTCATGCAACAGTTATTCAATTTCTCGATCATTTCAATGCAGATGCCTCACTCCGAGAGAACAGTTTTGGGCCTGGTGAACAGGAGCTCAGAGAGGTGAGAGACACGTTTGTGTGTGTTCAAAGTCATTTGTAAGTTTGTAGATCTTGGTTATATCTTAATGTTGTCTGCACACGTGTCACCAGTCTGGCCCCGGTGATCAAAGGAGTCCTCCTGAGGCAGATCCAAGGATGGGGGGCCCACCCCCTCCTGGACCCCCATTAGGCCCAATGGACGGTCCCTTTCCTCGCAGAGCTCCCTATGGACCACCACCTCCAGATTTCTACCCTCCTAGGGGTCCTGGGGTCCCTCCCATGAGACCTAGTGAGTTGTTACATCCATCCTGACAATGTTTTAATACCATTAATCTCCAATTGTTACAGTTAGTCTTACACTCTCCTCCTCTTCCTCCAGTGTGGGCTGCTCCTCCTCCAGGGATGATGCTACCTCCGCGCTACCCTCCTGCTGGACCTCCCCTTCCTCACCAAGCTCCACCCATGCGGCACCCTTTTCATGAAGGCCTTCCACCTCCTTCAATGGGTCCTCTTCCTCCTCGACAGCCTCTTCCTTCTCCACCACACAGTCAGTCACCAGAGGAGCACACGCCCTCACCTGAAGATGCCATTTGAGCCTGACCAGGTTAGCTTGAGCTGGGAGAGGAAGCATTTCTGCTTGAAACTAACCGTTGTTAGGAGGATGGTTGGGCAGGTTGCGGTTTTATGTCCTTATGTTTCCATCAGCATCTTCCTGTTCACCAGGGAAATGTCTTGAGTGAAGAACAGGCAACTGACACCTCACTCAGTTTCTGTCTCCCCGCTGCTGCTCAGTCTCTGTCCTTTATTAAAAGCCTTTCTTCTCTCTCGCTTTCTCTCTCCTGTGCCCCTGGCTCTTGCTATTTTCTCTCTGTCACTCTCACTCTGTTATTATCCAGTCTCTGTGTTGAAGTCCACCGCCCTGCAGTCATAGTGACAGTGGTTTAAACAGGAACAAGAAAGCTACACCTGCATCTGAACATGTATGTGTGGGAATCTAACCATGAATTGGTCATTCACCTTTCAACACCACAACAAGTTTAATGGCACTTTGCTTAAACGTGTGGATGTAGAGATGCTGTATGCAGCAAAGAACTGAGTGCTTTACATGTGTTAACATGTTGTCCTGATGGCTCAGAACAAGGAATCTTAAAAAAGAAAGCTATCAGGAAAAAAAACTGCTCTGTATTATTATTATTATTTTATATCAACAGTTTTGCTGTTGCCACAATAGATAAAATGAAGTTATTTCGTATATTTTTGACCTGGATTTGACCACACTTGAATATGATCATGCCGGTTTATGTTTTTTGTCTGTGACTAAACTTAGTTGTCCTTTAGCTTAGGAATGTTTTTGAGGAAAAATCCTCAAAGGTCAAATGAGAGATTCTCATGTTGTTTTAAGAAGCAAAATTGAATTTCAGTGGCCTCTGTGTGAGAATTACTGCATTTTGCCTTCATCAGCAAAGGTCTTCTTTCAAGGAGCCATTAGTAAAGAGTACTTTGATCCTGTTTCAATGACTTGGATACAGCCATGGCTTGATCAAGTGGCTCAAAGCAGCTGCTTATATTCTGTGGAAGTAACTGTGATTCACTCTGGGAGTCACAGAGCAGTGTATTTCAAAGACTTACTGGAAGAGGGGCTTTTTAAAAAGCCAGATGATGCTCTTGTGAATTTTGTAAAAAGTGATTACTAGAAGAATAAAGACTGTCAAATCTTCATATTGTACATGTTTATTGACTTTCATTGGGAACAAAAACATGACAAGAATCAGGGTTGGTAAGTTATTACTGTAATGCAGCATTTTAACTACAGGCTTTATGTGAAAGATATACTGTATTTCATTAAAACCAAACTTTACATCATAATTCACCCCAAACCACGTCAAGACCTCCAAGTATATGAGCAAAAACTCCAGTGATGTGTCATTTTAATAATTTAGAAACAATTCATTCCAAACTGAACATAAATTTTCCAACAAAGTTTGCTCCAATGCAAACTGATTCCTGCACAGTCTTTTAACACAGTAACCTTTTTGACATTCTGGTTAAGTTCTGAGTTATTATTGAGCTGTCCACAGTAAAGACACTTTAAAGTTTTTGGTAGATTAAATTAGATCTGACTTTGGGGAAAACTTAATGAGTAACTTAATATTGAACAGCTGTTGTTGACCCTTTGGTAGCCAAAGAGGGAAACGTATTACAAATCCCAATACCAGTGAAGTTGGGGCGTTGTGTACAATGTGAATTAAAACAGAATAGAATGATTTGCAAATCCTTCTCCACCTATATTCAGTTGAATACACTACCAAGACAAGATATTTAATGTTCAAAGTAATGAACTTGATTCTTTTTTGCAAATTTTCTCATATTTTGAATTTGACATCTGTAACACATCTTAAAAGGGTTGAGACCAGGGCATCAAAAGTCTGTGAAAACTGAGGACTGAGGTATAAATGGAGCTTTCCTGAAAGGCTCAGTTGTTCACGAGTAAAGATGAGGCCAAGTTCACCCTCTTTGTGAACAACTGTGTGAGCAAATAGTCCAACAGTTTAAGAACAATGTCTCTCACACTAAAACTGCAGGATTTTAGGGATTTGATCACCTGCAGCCCATAATATCGTTGAAAGATTCAGAGAATCCAGAGAAATCTCTGCAGGTGAGAAACAAGGCCCAAAACCATCATTGAATGCATGTGACCTTTGACCCCTTAGGCAGCGCTGCATTAAAAACCCACATCATTCTGTAAAGAATATGACCACAAGGGCTCAGGAACACTTCTGAAAACCATTGTCAGTTAACACAGTTGGTCTCTACAAGTGCAAGTTCATGCTCCTGTCCCAATATTTTTGGGAATGTGTTGCAGCATCAGAATCAAAAGGAGTGAATATATGCAAAAAAAAAAAAAGTTTAATCAGTTGAAACATTGAATACCTTATCTTTGTAGTGTATGGATATAGATTGATAGGGGGTTTGTAATACTGCAGCTTCACCAAGTATGCATGCTTGTAAGTACAGAGGATTACGATACCTTAAGGTTGCTTTGCACAGTTCATTCATGTTACAGGGTTCCCCATTTATGGAGAATCAGAACTGTTAGTTACAGATTCCCTGTGGGCTTGAGGATTTGGCCTTCAATCATCATCAAAGCTGTGATTTTAACAAGAGCCAGTTCTGTTCTCTGGCTCCGGCTTCAAAGAGCAGCTTGGTACAGACACTGGTTTTGTCTCTAGAGAAGCAGTCATTGGGAGTTGCCTTCCCTTGTACTGGAAACAGGAAGAACAAGCGGTTACACAACTGAAGGCTCAGGCCTATTAAGAGAGAAAGTTTGACCAAAAGTTGTTGTCAATTTCAGAGAACAGGGACAAAATTCAGAGTGTTTAGTTGTTTTGTGGCATTAAGGCACAATTTTCTTCAGAAACAACAAAGTTAAAATGCTCTCACAATCCAGACTTCAAATTTGTATGCACCTCAGACATAACTCAAGAAGGAGATTTTTAGTTGTATTGAAAATTGCATACAAAGTTTAAGCATTGGACTAGCATTTACAGTTTAAAGTATCCCTTTAACACACACACACACACACACACACACACACACACACACTTGGTACCTCTGTGTCTTTTCCAGTTTTTCATTCAGAGTGAAAAACCTGTGAGGACCATAGAGGTGCTACAGAAAATAACAGAGCCTTGTATTTGAATATACTATATCCATTTAGTGGAGTTGATGCATTACTTTTAAGACACAAATTATTGCAGTGCAAATGGGTTAGTGTTTGCAGAACTCACTTCACCGGACTTTTCTGGTATGGCCAGCATTTGTAGGCTACAGTCTGTAGGATCTATGCAAAGATGTTTAAGAGAAAGAAATAGCTGACATTCTCACTGCTGCTGAAGAGCTACATACATTGTCCAGGAGCAGTCATTCAAAATACCCTCACTGGTTATGTGGATAAACTTGTAAAACATTGCTCAGTGATGATCCCCTAGAGGGCAGTGCTTCCTACAGGATAAACTTCACTTGTGGGATGATTAGTTTTTAGTCTAGAGAGTTTTCCAAGTGGATAATGAATTGTATCTTCAGGTCTAGTGAATCTCTCGTTGTGGAAAGCTGCTAAATAATTTTTATAGGTGAGGCAACCACTTGCACCCTAAGTGATGCTCCTATTACAAGTAAACTATACAAAAGCTCATTTAAGCCGAGGGGTTAATGTTTACTTTCAGAATGAACAGGCAGTACACCACATTTATAACCCAAATTTTAATTGTAAAAAAAAAAAAAAAACACGACACAAATGCGCCTGACAGTTTACAAAATAATGATTCAAAAATATTGATTTGAAAATTCTGCATTCCCTCCACCTTAATCTTCCAAATAACCTCTGCTTATAAAATCTCTAATACGAAATGCTCATCTTTTATTAACGATGGGTTTGTATGTGAAGATTAAATATTGGAATTAAAAACAACAAAAAAAAAACAAAACACTTTTTGTCACTGTAAAAGCAGTTGAAATCACAGCAGGCTTTTCAAAAATAAAATCCTGATAAAATACACAGTCATAAAAACCAGCAAAACACTTAACTCTTATCAGAAGCTCAAAGAGATGGCAGCAATTTCATTTTTATTAAAATTAATGCAGACGGTGTTTCACCCTACAGAGAAAGTGACAGAGCGGAGGTAGTATGTACTGGTAATACCTGATCAACAATTAAAGGGGCTGCTTCATGGTCTTCATTAACAGACTCGTCGTTGTTGCATCTGTGGCCCTTAAACACTGAAAATATCAATCCAAGGAACACTGTCGTTTAGATTCTTTCATACAAGAAAATGAAACGTTATGAGAACTGGAATTAGTTTGAGTGGCTTTGGCTGACACTAGTCTAATAACGAGTCCAATGCAAACATGCATTCAGTCAAAGTTCACTCAGTTTTTAGAACACACAGAGTCGTTTCAGGACTTATTCTCCAGATAGAGTTTTCTTAACCTCACTACTGTTGAACGTACTGCCTTTTGGTTGAAGCTGATGTGCTTGGTCAAAGTTGTTGTGTTCCCATCCTTGCAATGACAGTTTTGTAACATAAACCACTTGATCTGATGAGATGATGTGACCTTGAAGGACCCATGAGACACATTATCATGACTGATGAGCTTGTGTTGTTGATTTGTGTGTTTTGTAAAATGGGGTGTTGGTTCCCTAATAGATTGAGGTCTTACAAAAATTAATGAATTCAACATCTTGTTTAACAGATGAAAATGGAGTGAATAAATGTCTGCATGTCTGTTTAGGGCTTTCACAGCGTGTCACATCTTCCCAAAATGGGTTATTTGGTATTTCACTTTAAATCTTTAACCCTTTATTTGCTTATAATCATCTGAGAGAAATGGAAATCTTTAAAAGGGCGTTGAAACAACTACAAGTCTGAACAGAAGAAGTGGTAACTAACATGTTAGTGGAAACAACTTTTGCAATCTTGTTTGTCCTTATTGAGGATTCAGACCTGGAGTTCTTATTTCCTGTTGGCACGTGCGGCAGCTTACCGACTGGTGTCTGTGTTAGCAGAGGAATGCAGTACACTGTCGGAAGATCCAGAGAAATGTTCAGCTGTGTGCACTCTGATAAACACAGAAGTGAATGTAACTATTACTGTCATGTTTGTGTTTGTGTCTATTGTTTGTGTGTTTGAGGGTGCTTCCTAAAGTCTAGTCCTTTGTTTGTGTACGCTTGTTTGTGTATCTTTGTGTGTGTTGTATACGTGTGTTTCTCAGCAGTTGAGAATGGATCTGTTTCTGTCCGGTCTAAAGGGGAAAACAGGGCTGTCAGTGTCCACCTTCCCTCTGTGTGGAACCAGCGTAGCCACAGCCTGGAGGACAACACAACATGCATAGTTGTTAAAAGATGTCCACACACACACACACACACACACACACACACACACACACACACACACACACACACACACACACTCTAACACCACTAAAGGTCTGTACAATGAAGAGCTGTCACATGACAGTGGTCCTCTACCCCCCAGGATTCCCTAATCTATCCATGAACACATCCATGAACACATTCATGTTCAAGAGAGAGTATGTTGCTAAAAGGAGGACATTATCATCTTGTGTCTTTATTTAGACATCAGTTGGATATGTGGACTTTTCTTGAGCAGAGGGGCCTGCAATGGGTTTTCTTTTTTATCATCCTTTTTTGTCATGATTTTTTTCTATGTAAATGTGAAAATTGACTAAATAAATCATAAGAAGAAGTGACAGTGTTTACAGCATCAAAGTAATCACAATCAGTAATAAGGCTACTGGCAGCTGAGTTCTGCAGAGCTGCATATTTACAACTCAAGAGGAGAGTATAATATTGGTCACATCTGAAGAAGAAAGGCACATAATCCAGAATCAAAGCAACACAGCTACAGCTGTCAAAACAACCTTGACTGTGTGTGTTTGCAGGTTAAGGCTCTACATTTCACAGCACCTTCTTTGGCCGCAGTGAGGTCTGACTATAAATGCATCTATTAAAGGAATCTGCTAAAGGTGGTCTTGAGTGATGTATGGAATTTTTGACCTTCTCTTTGCAGCTACAGCCCCAGGGTTGTCAAAGGGACTCATAAAGTCACAAATAAAAACACATTTTTAGTAAGTGGCTCAGCCTAATGTAATAAGAGCTAAATCTGAGAAGATTTAACAGCATGAAAAGGACATTATAGTGTTGATATGCTGGTACTTAATTGTGTTTTGCTCCAATTAGCACATTTTTTAAATTATCTTTCATTTATTTTATTTTCTTACAACACATTTATTAATAAACAATTCAATACAGTCAAATTTGATTCTATTCATGAAATTTTTGGTCTCAACTGCAAAATATTCAATCATAAAGGTAAATTGTCCACTTAAATATGTATTTTTTTTTTTAGAGGTATGTATGTTTTTACATCTACTATGGCACAACTAAATACAATCGATTCCATACATCACTCAAGACCACCTTGAGCACCACTACCTCCCTTTCAGGCCTGCGTTAGTATGGTTTTGTTTGGATTTCTGAATAAAAGCAATTTTAATTTGTGCATTCTTGCTTTCCCTACCCCTCATCAATCCTGAGTAATTTCTGTTATCCCAAGGCACTGCAGTCTCATGTCCTTACATGGGGATTGGAGGAGCATTTTTTGCTAATTAGTAAAAACTTGCACCAGCTCCAAACTCACAAGGACATGACATTCATCAATTTAGGAATGCAGGAGTAAACATACTCATGGATCTAGACTTCACTTAGAAACCCACAAAGGAAAAAAAAAGATAATAAATCTTCAGAAATGATGTTGATCTCAAACACTACAAACTTTGGGGAAGGTTAGGTATGCAGCACATGTTACTCAAGAGATATAACCCAAGTGAAAGGAAGTTAAACGCTTTAGTTGCTTTGAAACTGAGGGGTTCGACCTGGTCTTTATTTGTCCATCTGTCTTTAAGTGGAGGCCTCAGGGCACAATATCTCATCAAAATCAGCAGACACATTCACATACCTTTCTAATTGCTGTCCAGTCCTCCAGGATGTCTAGATCAGGCAGCATGTAGACAATATATGGACGTGAGTGGGGTCAAGGACAATGCCTCAGTGATCAAGAAGAATTAAAAACTGATTGAGAGGATATGACTGAGATTCACAGGATCATAAAAAAGCAGCAACAGCACAAGGATATCAGACACCACTGAAGGTCGTCTCCTCTTTTTATCAGGGCTTAATGCATCTCTCCTCTTCTTTCTTCCTGATAACTCATCATTCCACAACTCTGACAGAGAAAGACAGATCAAATGTTTCATGCCATGAAAATATATTGTGGTGAATGTGTTTTTACATTTGTAACTTGAAACTTTCCTGCACATAACATTATGTAATCATTGTTTTTCTGTCTGTGTCACCTGATGTAATATCAATGCTGTGTCTGTCCTCTTCCAGCCGTCTAATTTTCTCCTCCAGCTCACTCTGAACTGTGTCAAACAGAAGCAGCTTCTCACTCTGCACATGAACACACAGGCACGCACAAGGACAGAGGCATAGTTTCAGACAAAAAGACTCATAAGACACAAGCATACAGCCATTTACTTGCACTCATTAGCCCTAGTGATCGATCAAATTAAGCACACTTAGCTCAAATTACATTCTGAATTCTTAATGACTCATGGATCAGTTGGCTGGCAGGAAAAATGTAATGCTTCAGCAGCTCCCTGATAAAATAGGAGCCAAAGAACAAGTGTTAGTGTGCAGGGTTTTTCCTGCGTTCAAAATTGCGTGGCGGCCGCCTCCACCTAATTTTGTGCCGCCCCCAGCCAGAGCGATTGATTTCGCTCAACACAGCGTAAAGCTCCAGCTGTGTTGATTGAGCGTATGATGTCCCTCTGCAGCAGCAACGTATTTTAACTGCAGTTGCAGCGTTGCACCACTATAGAGGCGCTATATCAACAGCAGTGCATCGGAAAGACCTGAAGCATCTACCGAAGAAGAAACGGATCGAATCATGTTTTTTTTCCCGCTAGTTGGTGCTATCGGCGTCCTGATTTTCCCTGGCGGCTGGACACAAACAGGTAAATACTGCAGAGCTGCGTCCGAATTGCCAAGTAGTAGTCGAAGTAGTAGTCGAAGTAGTATCTAGCATGTCCGAATTGGCCACCGGAGCGAGTAGCATGCTACTTCAGATACTACTTCAGATGCTAGACACGCCCACATTGTAGGTTGGTCTCGGTGCATCCTACGGGCATGCTACTGACCCAAAATGCACCGCGGGCTTCTTCTTCGTCCTCTTAAAAGTTGTAGAAGCGCATGTGATGCTAGCGCCACCAGCTGCTCTGCCTATTTAAAAGTGTCGCGAACGCCGGCTGGCCACAGCAGCGCGCACCATGTCGGAGCAGCAGCAGCAACAGCAGGCGGGACCGCAGCAGTACAGATGTAAGTTTCATGTAACTTCACACACTGTCCTAAAAAATGTCCGGTTGTATCTCTTTGTCATGTCATGGTGTCATATTTGCCCAAGTAATCATTTTATGAGCAAGTGGCGACATCATGGAGGTAAAGCTCACTTATTCCATCATTAAACTGCACAGCTGCAGTACTACAGCCAGGCCCGCAGATGAGGGGCTTCAGTTACCACTGTCTGCACGGGCGCAGTACCTACTCTCTGCCTGCGGGGTCGTCTTTCCCCACCGCTCGTCTAGTGTGTCCGAATTGGGCCAACGTATTTAGTATGTAGGAGTAGGATCTAGCAGTAGCACGTAGCAGTAGCATGTAGTATCCGAGCGGGCAGTTCGGACGCAGCACATGTCTTTTTTGCATCCGAGCATGACGTGTTTATTTAAAAAAAAGTTTACTCCGTTTTTTTAGCGTTGCAGTTATGACAGGCAAAATCAGCCAGTACTTTAAAAAGCGACCTCGCGAGGAGGAAAGTCAAGAGTCCAGGTGAAACACAGCAGAGAAAAAAAAGGAACAGGCAGTTAAAATGCTATAATTCATGGTGGTGACAACGTGGAAATTTGTGTCAGGTCTGAAAGTACTTCACAAGGGACTGGTGATCGCGAGGGTCAGAATGCAGGACAGGACGAGTCGGCGAGGCGAGGGTAATTAATTAATTAGTTTCCAATTAGGAGCATAACAACGCAAAACCAACGTGTACGTGGTTTTTATTCCTCTTTCCAGATCTTCTCAAAAACACAGAGCCAGTGGCTTTGACAAGCAGTGGCTCAATCAATTTACCTGGCTCAGGCATACTGAGGAATGCATGCACTGCTATTGATGCCAAAAGCACTGTGCCCCAACACAGCAGGCAATTGCTGCCTCCTTAGTGAGACAGCCATCAACCAACTACAGGCTGGACACATTAAAAAGACATGAGGTGACAGCCATTCACAAAGCAGCAGAAGAGAAGGAGAAGTATATTAAAGATGGTAGTACCTAAAAACACTCAACTAATAAAGTTACAAAAACTAAAATAACATAGTTTAGATAGTTTAAGAAATAATTGGTTGTCGTTTTTTTTTTTAGGGAGGACACTGCAACGTATACATATATATAATATATGATTGAAAACACTATCACTCTTCATGTCTGTATCAGAATAAAAACAAAAAATACTTCATGCATGATGAATTGTTTTGTTTAAGGTGAAGACACCTCTGCGGAACAGACTGAAGGAGAGGCACTTGGATGTCTGTTGTAAGGTGGCCGTTGATGGACCAGACCAGGAGGCCTTGGACTACAAGGAGTGCATGAGGAGGTTCTACAGAATGAAAAAGAGGAGGCTGAAATGTTCTGTCTGGTTGTGAGATGTGTGGATGAAGTGTACTTTCAATTTAAAGTTGCCAGCTGATTTGTGTATGTATATAGTTTTAATAAATGAATGCTTTAGCATGATAATGGTCACACTCTTTTTTGAACTCTTAACTTAAAGTATGTTGCCTGTAAAAGAAAGTGAGTCAGTTGAATTTACAAATACATGCACGTCATGGCGCATGGTCAGGATGGTGCCACCTCTGCCTCAATTTGAGCCAGGAAAAACCCTGGTGTGTATTTGTGATTCCATATTTGCAACAACCGGTTGGAAGTGTTCATTTTCAGATTGGCCCTCAAAAGATTAATTGGCAGTCAGGATCATAGACAGTATTAATGACAGCAAGGTAGTCTTTTGGTTTGTTGTATTTTATGATTGCATTTAGAGCACTATAGAAGAAAAGAAAAGTGTATTTAAGGGCAAAGCAACTCTGACAATGAACATTTGCAACCAATGCAACCTGCAAAATCCCTATTACTGCAAACTGCTCTCATCTTCAGGTCTCCACTCTTGTCCCAGTATAATTAGTTAAAAGACCAAGGCTAGATGGCAGAAATGCAAGACTCAAGTCTTAAGTTAATATATAAAAGCCAAATCTGGATGTCTCTGTTTCAGTTTCCTCCTTTTTTATTTGGTCTTTGCTTCAGACTTAATTTTAAAATTTAGATTATGATAACATTCTGATCATTATGAGCAAGGGAATATTTGATGTAAAACCATGAAGAGTTGTCTAACCTCCCAATGTTGACATGCTGCTTGGGTCTCACACTCATACTTGTTTTTCACAGACTCCAGGCACAGTTCCCTGTAGATACCTGACAAAGAGAAGAGAAGAGAGGTACACACAGTGTGAGAGGGATTGAAGGCAATAAAGAAAAGTGTGTATTACTCCAAGAGTGTGTGTCTGTATGTTGAAGTTACCTGCCACCTTAGTGCGGACCTGCATGTTTTCCAACAACACCGCCAAAGGCTCCAGATATTCTGCTGCCCGGCCAGCTTCCACTTCTGCAAGCTTGCTGTTCACCTGGCTGAGACGCTCCCGATACAGCCTGCACACAAACCTGGGTGTAACTATGACCGAAGCTAATTCTGATAACTTTACTTATTTTGGGTTCAAATATTTTGAAATTAAAAACGGAAAACAAAAAATTATTTCAGCCGTACTGGTCTTTAAGATCCGTGAATTGTTTCTCAAGGTTGGACATTTCATCAAGGCACTCCATCCTCCTACGCTCACAATCCTCCTCATCCATTTCTGGATCATCAGGGAGACACACAAACATAATAACAACCACGAAAAAACTCCAGGCTGAAGATTTATGACCAAAAGAAGCAAACACTATAATGAACAGAAAATGAAAAGCGGAAGAATATCTCACCAGATGTGTCTCCATCTTCAGAGACGGAGGAGGTGTCTGAATCCTCTTCTTCAGAGCTGGATGCTTCATGTTCCTGTTCTTCCACTTCCATCTCCTCTGCAGTGCTCTCCTTCTTCTCCCGGTCACGGTGCACTGGCATGGCAGCGAGTCAACTTCTGACTGATTGTGCTACGAAAGACAATGCTAGAATGAATTTGGTAGTTTTGAGTTTCTGTTTTACGTGTCTTTTATCGACCAACTGTTTTCAAGTGGTTGGTTTTAGGGGAAACTAACCAGTAGAACTATGGATGAGGTGTAACAACTTTTGACTTATTACAAAAGTCTATTTGTTAAGTTAGAGATTTCATTGCATCCCCTTCCCTGCTTCCCACTCTGGTTGACATGCATAGTGCTTGTAAAATTGAAAAACTCGTGATAGGGTTTATTATGCAGTTATTGGGATGGATTTTTGTTTATATGCATGAGAACCAGTGACTGCATAAGTGGGATAAGCTGAAAAGACGAAGAAACTTTGTGCCTTTCTCCACGAAGGGGAAGATTATTCCTGGATTTAAGTACATGAGATGGCGGTACATTTGTGTTTTTAGTCAACTGAATACAATCACGATTTATGACCACGTGAAAATAATATTGCATTTTGCACAAAAAGTATCCTGGTGTTATGTTATTATTCAAGGTGGATCACTCGATTTTTTTCGTAGAGGCTGCTTAAAGTACTATGATATCATTTATACATATATTCATTGTTCAAACAACGAAGATCCACTGTGTGCGTTTAAGTATTTATTGAAGTTTCTTGCAAATTCAGCCGATCCTTATTCTACACATATCACTTTAACGATAAAAAACACCATCGTTGACAAACAACACATCATGTTAGCACGATGATAGCGTATTGACAACTTAGTATTATTATGTAGCAAATAATATAAGCATTGTTCATCACTTAAATTTATATATAAAAATAAATATTTTTTTACTCACCAGATGAAGTTTAAAGAGGGTCTTATGCAGTAGGTATAAAAGCAATTTCTCCGTTCAGTCCAGTCGTGTCTCTCAGCTATGCTAAAAACAAAATTCAACGATGCGCTCTTACTTTCACAGGGAACTGTAGTTTTCTCTACCGGTAATAACCACAACTCAGTAGGGCAGATAATAGATTTTAAAACTCAGTTACCCAGAATTCAGCGTTACTCCTCGAGGCGGCATTGTAAAAGAATCTTTAGCGACTAACCGAACAAATCTTTAACGACTTAATATGGTACGCTGTCTGTGTCATTTATGGAATTTTGTTTTATTTAAAGACATTTTTACATTAATAAGTTTAAACTATGTAGGCATCTTAACGTTGAATTTCTCTGGTATCCATTATTTTGTTTTCCCTCCTCCCTCCTCCGCCATGATGTTTTTTAAGTGAACAGCGGAGCTAGCTGAGAAGCTAGTTTATCCGTCAGGCTGCGGGCTGTTGTGGAAGGGAGGTACGATGGATGGATGCTTTGCTCCGCTACGTTTTTCAGAGTATTCCCGGTGTAAACACAATGCGCCTTCTATTACAGTCTCCCCTTGATATCCTCTACGCTGTTTCGGGGGGCGTTGGTAGATGATAGAGGAGCGCCGGTTTTTGGTTATAGTTTGAAGATTAACCCAGGCTGAAGCTGTCGGAGCGGCTACACTGCTAACTCCTCCTTACTGTCTACCATAGCATTTGTGTGCCTCCTGCCCCAGGAATGTTCTCCAAAAAGCCTCATGGGGATGTTAAAAAATCAACACAGAAAGTGTTGGACCCAAAGAAGGACGTGTTGACGAGGTTGAAACATCTGAGGATAGTCATAGGTGAGTTAAAATCAGTAAGCAGTTAACAGGTTAGCATCTATGTGCAGATCTGTGCATACCACACCAAACTTACCTAAAAAATCACGACATTTAAAGGTCGGTTCTTGTTGTTAGATATATGGCAATTCCGTAACAAACTTAATGGTTGCTATGTATATTTCAGTCTCCTCTCTTATCTTCGGCGATTTACCTGTGGTCTTTTACAAAACATTTGATCACTTATTTTAATGTTACAAAATCCGTTCATCTTCAATTTTATTTGTCTCAGTAAAGCAAGAACTTATATGATGGGCAGGGACGACCCATGTAGACAGATAAACTGGTCTAGTTTTGAAGTACTGACACTAACTGTATCAGGTGTCAAATCCATGAAGTGGGAGTAGGTATAAATAGCAATTGATATCTTGCTGATTGTCAGATCTTTCTAATGGCATTTAACTAGGGTGTCAACAAATGTGCCTGTCTGGTTTGAAGACTTTGTTACTACATGAAACTGACTGCATCTCATCAAGTCACTGTGATGCTACAGTGGTGGTCAGGCTGTTGTGATTTCTCCAGGGGTGTGTCTTGAGTGCTGGACAAAGACCGGGTGTGTGAGAAGTGCTGAGTGTCTTTTTTTCTCCATGATGTGTTTGGTAGCAGTGGTTTGAATGTGGGAAACAGGAATTATGGCAGTGTAAGAGGTATAAATATGTAGTTCAGTGCATATACTGTGTGTATTTTTCACTGCCACACACTGACTCTCACAGGACACACCCACAAGTGCACATCAACACACACAGAGACAGCCAAAGAGGAAAACAGCCTCTACTATTTCCTCTCCTTGTCGCCGTACAGTAGCTGGACTTCCTGTTTCTATTGTGAGGGCTTCTGGCCTCTGTGCCTGAATGTGTATGGGTGTCTGTGAGGATGCAGAGAGGGAAAGGGGTGTGCCTCTTTCTGTGCTCTATGGGGAACACAAGACCTTGATAACCATCACAGAGGCAAACACACAAACATACTTGAAGGCATATTGTTTGAGAGGGAATGTCCAGACAGCAGGACAATGTTAAAAGAGCTTTAAAGATCATGATTCAAGATTATCACTCATGTATGTTGGTAATAGTTTAGCACAGGAACAGATTTATAACTGAAATACTGCCACGGTTAGCATGCAAGCAATATCACCACCTTCATGTAAAAAAGAGTCAGAATACTGTAAAATGTTGATTAAAAACAGATTTTAATGGCTTGCAAAACATTAATGCAATTGAAAATGGTGCAAAAAAACTTTATCAAATATTGGCACTGATTTGTTTTTGTTAGTTTTATGAAAAAATATTTGCTAATTTTGATTATAATATCAGCAACAAATTTCTAAAACGTTGGCGCAGAGACAACAAAACACTGACAAAGCTGTGTAATAGTGAAAAAAGGAAGAGGAACAACTTCCAGATCAGTATCATAACTAGGTATAAAAAGGTCACCTAATATAAGCAGAGTCTCCTAAAAGTTATGATGGAAAGAAAGTCTCTGTGTGAGAGACTTCATGTATAAATGGTTGAACAATTTCAGGATAATTTTCCAAAGCTTATAATTGAAAAAAAGGAGGAGGTGGCATCATTATTTGCAGAACATTTTACTTGAAGGTCCAAAGAATTAGAAATCTCTCAGACAGGGGCAAGGCCAAAAACCAGTACTTGCTGGCTGTGATTTCTGGGCCCTCAGATGGCCCTGCATTAAAAAGAGACATGAGTTAGTAGTGGAAATCACTGCATGGAAATCCCTTCCACAAACCATTGTATGTGGAAAAACCCATTAAAAACAGTTACAACAACGAACAACAACAAAATACAAGACCCTGAACTGTGCAGTGAAAATATCTATGGAGAATGGGACAACACTTCACTTTCAAAACTGGACACATTAGTTTCAAAACATAAACAGAGAGTTGTTAAGAGAAGAAGTGATACAACGCAATGGGTAACATGTGCCCATCTCAACTTTTCAACAGTGTTGTTGGCTTTAAAGTCCAGATGAGTCTGTATTTAAAAAAATAAAATAAAATAAAAACTTCTTTGGTTTTTGCATTTGTGATGTTGTCTTATCACAGTTTTCAATTTAGTATAGGGTCTGCATGGTTTGCAAACCATTAAATTCCATTTTTATGAAAATTTTACACCTTTTTTTAATTGAGTTATTACATTTTACGTCCTAAGTGACTTGTTGATGTTGCACATACTGTCATTTAGGACCTTTACTTTAAATGTGTCCACTCTGTATTTACTGTAGGACACAAAGAGTGTGTGCAAGGATGTTGGGTAATTTCCCTGGCCTTTTGTAATGCAGCTGATCATACCTGATCTGATAAAATGTTTGAACAAGAAACAGTTGCATCACTTTGCAATCCTTTTGATGCAATGAGGTTATGAAGTAACAACGCTTCAGTCACGTTTGGTCCTGTTGTTTTTGCCAGACTTCAAACTGAAAAGCTTGCCAAACAGTCATTAACCTTGACTTAATTCATGAGGAAGTCGAAGCCCCTGTCTAAACAATTGTGTTTTGTACAATACTTTATTTGAAAGCTATCAAGTAAATCCGTGTATTGACCAGTGTCCCAATGCAAGGTCGGAGCTTCCTGTTTTAAAGAAGTCAAACTTTCTGTCCCATCAGGTACTTCGTTGTTACTAAAAATTAGTCATTACTCATTCAAGCCACCGGAGAATGCTGTTTTGGTGGTGTCACCTTGGGAAAACGTGGACTTGTCCTGATATTAGATTTTGGCTATTAATTCAGATGCCAAAATAAGAAAAAGGCTCTGACTGCTGATAATGGAGACCAGCTTATATGAATTTTGAGCAGACATGTTGCAGACAGACTTAAAGCTTTGTTACCCTGGAGTCAGATGGACTCTCCATCTGACAAATTCTATGATGATACTTTTTATGTATCACCCTTTGCATTTCTGTAATAAAAACTAAAAAGTTTCATTTTAGAGTATGCTGTTACACTTATGCCCTAATGCCCATACATTTGTTGTCTTGGTTTATGACAACGTAAGCCTGTAAGTCCTTGACTGAAATTCAGAGCATCATTGTAGTCTTGGTTAAACAAGAAACCTGGCTGTTATTTGAACCAGAGAGGGAAAAATATACGTTTGTTGACTATGATATAAAAGAAGAGGAAGTACAGGCAGTTCTGGTTGAAATTGTGGTTCAACACTGTGGGCCAAGATTAATGCCTGTGGTTCATCTCTGTCATGTTTAAGCCCCAGTCATAGTGTGTATAGATGTCCCTCTGTGTTTTAGAGTCAGAGACAGCATAAGCAATTGGTTAGAAAGAAATATGTTGTGTTAAAAATGTCTGTGGTGTCCACAGAGGAAAAGACAGAAAACCCCTCAGCTAGTTCCACCAAGACCTTACAAGGGCAACCACTATGGTGTATGACACAAATGCCTTCTGTGTGTGTGTGTGTGTGTGTGTGTGTGTGTGTGTGTGTGTGTGTGTGTGTGTGTGTGTTTGTGTGTGTGTGTGTGTGCGTGTGTGTGTGTGTTCTTGTACTTGCTGCTGAGTGAGGACTTGCTACAGTTTTTAACCCACAGTGTGAGGTCTATTTTGGGAAGTGAGGACATTTAGGCTAGTCCTCACTTTGAGTTGATTGAAATCAACTCCCAAGACCATAAAGATGCTACCCTATCATTTTCAAAGCAGTCCTCATTTTTGTACAAATTCATGGTTTTTACTCTGGAACGTTCACACTGATTTTGCTCCGGAGCTCCCCTGGTGTATGATTACAGTACTGCAACTAAAATTTTCACACTGATTTACTCCGGAGCTCCCCTGGTGTATGAATACGGTACTGCACCTTAATTACATAGGTGCTACTAAGCAGACCTCTCCATGAGTGCTGCAGTTTAATAGACTTCATTTTATTCAACACATGATATAAGAAGTTATTTAAAACTGTAAATAAAGAGTAATAAAAAGTGCATATTTACCAGTATTCAGTAATAAGAATATTTTATGAGAGCATCTGGATTAAAAAATAGAAACATCAGAGATATGACTCACATTCATTAGGTTTGAAACACTGAAGTTAAATAATGCAACAACTCTGTATTATTTGTTTAAATAAAAATAAAAAAGTGAAAAAAATTCTGATATGATTAAGTATTTACAGTAAATGCATGGTATCCTTTTTTCTGGAGAAACAAGGCAATGTTTACTGAAAGTCTTTATTAACAGTAGCATACCTGCAGATGCTTGCTATAAGAACTAAAATATTATAATTTCCTATGAAAGTTCTTATGCAATGATTCATTATTATATAATAATTCATTCATTATACGTAATTTCCGAGACAAACTATGTGTTAATCGGCAATTCAGTGAACATTTTGAACTTCCTCCATTAAGGGCTTTATACTCGAAATCATACATGGAACCAAGTCTGTTTCTAGTTTCAGAGGAGGGCCTTAAATGGACCCTCTGTACCTAGGAGGCTGAAACTTTATTATGTTGTTCTGCTCATCTTAGGGATCATTTTTGTTTTGGGTTGATCTTCCTGACTGCCTCCTGTCCCATCCACGGAGCCCGAACTTTTTCAATTCAATGCTAACAAATGCTATAGGCAAAGCCTCATAACTCTGTCATAATAGCTTCAAATGAGCTGAAATCTTTGTCATACATGCAAGACCCTGTTAGGAACATGCTGCTTCAGGAGCCAAATGAGAAGATAAAAGCAAACAGGCATGTGGACATAGCTTTCAACATAAATTAGGTCTCAAATAGTTTTAAAAAGCCTTTTTAAGGTGTTTTAGACACCACGCCTGCTCTCAAAGCAATTAGCATGGAGTGAGGAGTGACTCCTGATGATTTTGATGCCTTTAACTCTTCATTTGGGGTTCTACGGGTCTCATTTGATTGTGTGAGGCCTACTTGTAGTGATGAAGCCTGCCTGTTTTGACCCTGTTGCTTTTTTGATGTCATTTGGCTTCTGTTGTGTCTACAGACATGAAAACTAATCTGTGACACCTTTGGAAATCATAGAATCATATTCTGGTGAATCCAAGTCTGTGGCCCCTCCCAAACAGGAAGTAGCCAACGAAAGAGCGTAGAGCCATGATATTGCATATAATTGTTTCATCCTAAAGTCTGAATACCCACAGAAAATTTCAGCCCATTTGAAGTTATTTTGACCTGATTTTTGACATTTGATGTTGCAAAAAAATTCACAGTCTAATCAGCTCCTGTTCGGGCCCCTTAAAACCCAGGGGTCTGAAACTAACAGGATAGACTCGTCTGAGGCCTAAGAATACATGTGTGAAATTTGGTGAATGTGGCACATTCACAAGTCCTTAATTAGATCCAAAACCATGTTCACTTGACGAACCCTCTCAGGGTCAATGCATGACACAGCATCATTTTTTCTAGTTTCAGAGGAGGGCCTTTAATGGACCCCCTGCACCGAGGAGGCTGAAACTTTAGTATGTTGTTCTGCTCATCTTAGGGATCATTTTTGTTTTGGTTTAATCTTCCTGACAGCCTCCTGTCCCATCCATGGAGCCTGAACATTTTCAATTCAATGCTAATAAATGCTATAGGCAAAGCCTCATAACTCTGTCATAATAGCTTCAAATGAGATTAAATTTTTGTCATACATGCAGGACCCTGTTAGGAACATGCATGTGTAATTTCATGTCTGTATCTGCTTCAGGAGCTAAATGAGAAGACAAAAGCAAACAGGTGTGTGGACATAGCTTTCAACATAAAGTAGGTCTCAAATAGTTTTAAAAAGCCTTTTTAAGGTGTTTTAGACACCACGCCTGCTCTCAAAGCAATTAGCATGGAGTGAGGAGTGACTCCTGATGATTTTGATGCCTTTAACTCTTCATTTGGGGTTCTACGGGTCTCATTTGATTGTGTGAGGCCTACTTGTAGTGATGAAGCCTGCCTGTTTTGACCCTGTTGCTTTTTTGATGTCATTTGGCTTCTGTTGTGTCTACAGACATGAAAACTAATCTGTGACACCTTTGGAAATTATAGAATCATATTCCAGTAGATCCAAGTCTGTGGCCCCTCCCAAACAGGAAGTAGCCAACAAAAGAGCGTAGAGCCATGATATTGCATATAATTGTTTCTTCCCAAAGTCTGAATACCCACAGAAAATTTCAGCTCATTTGAAGTTATTTTGACCTGATTTTTGACATTTGATGTTGCAAAAAAATTGACAGTCTAATCAGCTCCTGTTCGAGCCCCTTAAAACCCAGGGGTCTGAAACTACCAGGATAGACTCGTCTGAGACCTGGGAATACGTGTGTGAAATTTGGTGAATGTGGTACATTCACAAGTCCTTAACGAGAACCCAACCCATGTTAACTTGACAAACTGTCTCAGGGTCAATGCATGACACAGCATCATTTTTTCTAGTTTCAGAGGAGGGCCTTTAATGGACCCCCTGTACCGAGGAGGCTGAAACTTTAGTATGTTGTTCTGCTCATCTTAGGGATCATTTTTGTTTTGGTTTAATCTTCCTGACAGCCCCCTGTCCCATCCACGGAGCCTGAACATTTTCAATTCAGTGCTCATAAATGCTATGGGCAAAGCCTCATAACTCTGTCATAATAGCTTCAAATGAGATGAAACTTCTGTCATACATGCAGGACCCTGTTAGGAACATGCATGTGTAATTTCATGTCTGTATCTGCTTCAGGAGCTAAATGAGAAGACAAAAGCAAACATGTGTGTGGACTTAGCTTTTAGCATAAATTAGGTCTCAAATAGTTTTAAAAAAGCCTTTCTAAGGTGTTTTAGACCCCAGGCCTGCTCTCAAAGCAATTAGCATGGAGTGAGGAGTGACTCCTGATGATTTTGATGCCTTTAACTCTTCATTTGGGGTTCTACGAGTCTCATTTGATTGTGTGAGGCCTACTTGTAGTGATGAAGCCTGCCTGTTTTGACCCTGTTGCTTTTTTGATGTCATTTGGCTTCTGTTGTGTCTACAGACATGAAAACTAATCTGTGACACCTTTGGAAATTATAGAATCATATTCTGGTGAATCCAAGTCTGTGGCCCCTCCCAAACAGGAAGTAGCCAACAAAAGAGCGTAGAGCCATGATATTGCATATAATTGTTTCATCCTAAAGTCTGAATACCCACAGAAAATTTCAGCCCATTTGAAGTTATTTTGACCTGATTTTTGACATTTGATGTTGCAAAAAAATTGACAGTCTAATCAGCTCCTGTTCGGGCCCCTTAAAACCCAGGGGTCTGAAACTACCAGGATAGACTCGTCTGAGACCTGGGAATACGTGTGTGAAATTTGGTGAATGTGGTACATTCACAAGTCCTTAACGAGAACCCAACCCATGTTAACTTGACAAACTGTCTCAGGGTCAATGCATGACACAGCATCATTTTTTCTAGTTTCAGAGGAGGGCCTTTAATGGACCCCCTGTACCGAGGAGGCTGAAACTTTAGTATGTTGTTCTGCTCATCTTAGGGATCATTTTTGTTTTGGTTTAATCTTCCTGACAGCCTCCTGTCCCATCCATGGAGCCTGAACATTTTCAATTCAATGCTAATAAATGCTATAGGCAAAGCCTCATAACTCTGTCATAATAGCTTCAAATGAGATGAAACTTCTGTCATACATGCAGGACCCTGTTAGGAATATGCATGTGCAATTTCATGTCTGTATCTGCTCCACAAGCTAAATGAGAGAAAAAAAGCAAACAGGTGTGTGGACATAGCTTTTAGCATAAATTAGGTCTCAAATAGTTTCAAAAAAGCCTTTTTAAGTTATTTTAGACATCATGTCTGCTCACAAAGCACTCAGCATGGAGTGAGGAGAGATTCCTGATGACTATTACAACTTAAAGTCCTTTATTGGGGTTCTAGAGGCCTCATATGACTGTGTGAGGCCTACTTGTAGTAATGAAGCCTGCCTGTTTTGACCCTGTTGCTATTGTAATCATTTACTCCTGTTTGCTCCTATGACCTCTTGAATATTTATGGGCAAGTCATGATCTGTTCTATTTTTAAAAGATTTCCTAATTCACTCATATGTTCAAAATTGTGCAGTATCATGCTGACCTCTGAAAAGGTTTTTTTTTCATGTTATTGAAATTACACAGCGTTTAGTTTCACTCACTCTCATTTAATATATATGATTATCTTAATCAATAATAAAAATTATTAACCCTAATCAATTTTAAATCAAACATTTGCTCTTTACATACTTTTGTATAAATTCTTCAAGTAATTTTTGTCTATAATTGCAGTAAAGTAGTATTCTTTGTGATTGTTAGTAATACTAGTTGATGGTAACATTCATACACATTCATTTCCCTCTGTAGATAAACTGTAGATCATAAATAAGCTAAAACTTCCAGCTCTGCTCATACAAACTCAAAGTCCTCACTACGACTTTTTTCTACATGGCTTCATGCTCACTCTTCATGTCTGTTTGATACCAGCTCCAGATTTCTGCTCCCCTCCCCCACAACAGCGTAATAACTCAAAGTCCTCACTACGACTTTTTTCCTACATGGGTTCATGCTCACGCTTCATGTCTGTTTGGATACCAGCTGCAGATTTCTTCTCCCCCTCCCCCACCACAGTTACAGCGCGGCAACCAATTATCCAATCAGAGCGCTTGGTGAGGGGTGGGGTGAGGGGGTGTGTGGCCAAAACCTGAAACTTTTTGCAGCAGTGACTTGAAGAGGATGAAGCTGAAATTTTGGATTGATCACCTAAAACGTAAAAAGAGATATCTGGAAAGTCAGGTAAGAAACAATTGTTTTTTTTTTAAGTAAAATAAAGATTAAGTAAATTATTTTGTAGTAAAAAACATTATACGTAGACAGTTATAGTAATATGATCGAGTTGTGTGGTTCTGAGGCTGATGCACTGCTGTTTTACTCTAATTTTTCTTGTTTTAAATAATAAGTCAGATATTTTGAGCTCTGCAGATCTTACTTTGAGCTCGTTATTATAGTGTAGTTAGACGGTTTGTGCTCGGTATGATTAAGAGAGAAGTTGTTTTTTTAAAATCTCTGTTTCTGTGTGATCAACATTTTGATGGGCTGATGACAGACAGATAGACAGTCAGTCAGTAGGTCAGACAGGTAGACAGTGTTTCCAAAGTGTTCATCTGAGCCTCAGATAAGTGTAAAGATGTGGCATTAAATCAGATATAAATCATATTATAAAATTACATCATATGAACAGTTAGAAATAAATTGTCAGTAATATTTCAGCAACTAAGAGACAAGATGAGCCCTGGGCTTATCTCCCTGTTTTTAGAGGAATCCTCTAGAATTATCCGGTTTATTATCAATAAATGATCTAGAATTGTCTGGTTTATAAAGAATAAATCGTTAGCAGTTTATTATTGATAAATGATCTGTTTTCTATTTACTGAATCATCCACAATTATCTGGTTGATATCTAATAAATCATTTAAAATATCTGGGAATTATCTAGAATAGTCTGGTTTGTTTTAAATAAATTATCTAGAATTATCTTTTTTTATTGTTAAATCATTAGGAAATTTTCTGGTTTACATCAGGAATGCTACAGTTTATTATTGATGGATTAACATGTTTCTAATAAATCATCTTGAGGTTGCGGTTTGCTTTATGTACAGCTTAAAGATTTGTTAAGCACTTCAGAGGGGGACTTTGTAATGTAACGGGTGTTTAAGTGCGTTGATAGCTACAGAAATGTGCACTGGTGGAAGCTTTGGGTAATCAAACACACTCACAGGATAGAAATTTGACTGATGAGAAATTTAAGATTTTTTTTTTTTTTGACATTAGTGTTAAAACTTTGTTTATTTTCTAGAGGGTGAATAAAAAATATTCTCATTAAAACTGGTAGAGAGCTGATGTTTCTTGTATCTTGAATTTTTAGATACTTGTGTCCCTTAATAAGCATTGCTCCATTGATGTGCTTTGACCTTCTTTTAATGGCTAGAATACTAGGCTAATAGAAAAAAAGATATTTGATGCCTTTTTAATTTATTTTGTATTTTTGCCAGCTCTAAACTGCACACTAAAATTTCCTCTGAGATTAATAAACTGTTATGGTTCTGATATACTGCCTACCTGTGAGGCTATTCAGCTAGTTATCAATTTTTTTTTTTATAACTCCATTTTCTTTGATGTTTAAGTTTTCATACTTAACTATTATCAGCACAATAATCTATTTTGGTTGTGAACCCCCCATTACAGCCAAAGCTGTCTCAGCAGATGGATCTGCACCTTCCCAGTGGTTCCAACACAGACCAGTCCTCATCCCATATGTCCTCTCAGCCCACATCATCATCAGCATCCACTCAGAGTGGATCTCATGAGGACCACCAGCACCCACCCACACCGTCACCCAGGCTGTGCTCAGGAAAATCAAAGTTAGTGAAACAGGTGTCCAGCAACAACGAATCTGACGAGGACCGCATTCTCTCAATAATAACATCATCCAGTGATGATGAGATGCTCCCAGAAGAACCACCGAATCACAAGCCATCACAGAGGGTACTAGTCCAAAACAGGAGGCACTCAGCTGCCAAAGGGTCATGTGATAAAACACAAAGAAAGGCGTCAACTCAGAGATACAATGACGCTGGTGATTGGGCTGATGATGAGTCTGATGAAGATGAAGATGGGGGTAAGTCCAGACTATTGAAACACCAGTAGACTTTATTTCTGGGTCATTTTAACAGATGGTTAACAAAATGATAATGAAAAATAACTATTTGGGGTTTTTCTTAATAACATAAATCGCAATCTTCATATTTTGCATGAATTACATACTTTCTTGAAAAATATACAGTACAGGCCAAAAGTTTGGACACACCCTCTCATTCAGTGTCTTTCGTTTATTTTTGTATGACTATTTACATTGTAGATTATCACTGAAGGCATCAAAACTATGAATAAACACATGTAGAATTTTGTACTTATAAAAAAGTGTGAAATAACTGAAAACATGTTTTATATTCTAGTTTCTTTAAAATAGCCACCCTTTGCTCTTTATGACAGAAGTATTTAGTGACCGACTCTATCAGTCACAAAGTAACCCTGACAAAGCACACCTGTGAAGTTAAAACCATTTCATGACTACCTCATGAAGCTCATTGAGAGAACAGCAAAAGTTTGCAGCGCTATCAAAAAAGCAAAGGGTGGCTACTTTGAGGAATCTAAAATATAAAACATGCTTTCAGTTATTACACACTTTTTTCTTGAGCACATGATTCCTCATGTGTTCATTCATAGTTTTGATGCTTTCACTGAGAATCTACAATTTAAATAGTAATGAGAATAAAGAAAATGCATTGAATGAGAAGGTGTGTCCAAACTTTTGGCCTGTACTGTACATACTGTTGCAATAATAGTTGGGCATTCCCTAAAATAATGAGCATCTTCCTGAGCTTGAATATCCCAATTAGCACACAAGATAGTCTGATGGTCATGACTAAATCACAGACGTGAAGACTAGTAGTTTTGATTGACACCCTCCGTTATGTTTTCCATGATAAGAGCATCATGATTTACTCTCGCGTTTAGAAGTAATGTTCACAGATGAACAAAAGCTAACCTTGTATCATAAAAACTTCAGACAAATATCCACACAGTCAACAAAATCTGAGATCAATTAAGGAAACAGCTTTCAGTTCACCAGGTGAGAAGCTCAGACAAAGTTCTAGTGCAGTGTCTTTTCTCAGCTCAGAGCATCTCTGATGCAGCTGATGCTCAGTGACATTTACTTAGCGCACTGATAATATTTAAGATTAAAACTTATTTCTAAAGACAGCTATTGTCAGTACCAGTACACTGCAATAGCCCCAGTCTACAGTCATATTTGCTGTCTCTCTCAGGTGAACAGAAGAAGTCGAGGAGTGTAGCAAGACCAACTTTAAAGAAGAGACAGAAGTGTGCTGCAAAAAGACGAGCAGATGATGGGAGTAAGTCCAGACTTAGAAACACAAGTAAGCCTTTTTCTAGAGACAGTGCTCTTAACTGCAGGTGACTTTTTTCTTTTCTCAGGTGAAGAGGGACATCAGAGGACTGGAACAGGACCTTCGAACAAGAAACCAAAGTCTGCAGCTAAGCCAAAGGATGAGGGTGAGTGTGAGGATGAATGTGGTAGGTTCAAGCTGATAATATTTAAGATTAAAACTTATTTTTAAAGACAGCTATTGTCAGTACCAGTACACTGCAATAGCCCCAGTCTACAGTCATACTTGCTGTCTCTCTCAGGTGAACAGAAGAAGTCGAGGAGTGTAGCAAGACCAACTTTAAAGAAGAGACAGAAGTGTGCTGCAAAAAGACGAGCAGATGATGGGAGTAAGTCCAGACTTAAAAACACAAGTAAGCCTTTTTTTTAGAGACAGTGCTCTTCACTGCAGGTGTCTTCTTTCTTTTCTCAGGTGAAGAGGGACATCAGAGGACTGGAACAGGACCATCGAACAAGAAACCAAAGTCTGCAGCTAAGCCATGGGATGAGGGTGAGTGTGAGGATGAATGTGGTAGGTTCAAGCTTTTCTTTGGTGAACGTAGGTTATAAAGTAAAAACCAAAGTTGACTTGGGTCAGTTCTCCTCTTATTGTCTATGTTTTATTGAGCGGGTCTAAAAGAGAACATTGGATGATTTTGGTTTTTGAAAATCTGGGATATTGCTCAGTGCTGCCAGTCCTTCCTGTATTTCTGCAGCTATGAAGCCAAGTTGTAAATGTCACCAAAGTTAGTAGCAAGAAGAGCAAAAAGTATTTTCCAACAAGATGTGTGACTGATTACATTAAAGCACAGTGGATGATCTCATACGTTAAATACGTTAAATAAAATCTGTTAAATAATAGCGCTATGATCTGAAAAACAAACACACTGCTGCTTATCAAACTGTAAAAAAAAGTTTAGTTTCAAAATTTGTAAACAGAAAACCTTAAATTCATACTCCAATTCCAACATCGGTTCATTTAATATTTACTTATTTTCTTTTACATAATTATTTTACATTCTATTTATTTACATGATTGTTAACAGGAGCTGGGAGCTGAGCATGCTGAAGAGACCACTATGGGTGCGAGACTGATTTTAACTGCTGCTCCTTTTAGACATCATTCAAACCTGTTCAGGTTTTTCCCTCGGTCTAAGGCCCGAACTACACGTATATAGATATTTATTTATCAGGATATTTTTGTACTCCCGTCTAAATAAATGTATCTGTCCACACGTGTTAGTTCTCAAAAATATCTGCGTCCACACGTAGCCTTCAAACTCAACCCTATCTGGTGCCGCTTAAAAAAAATTCAGGAACAAAGCTACCTGATTGGCTGATGAATCGTAACAGCGTGATGTGTCATGCATTGTTTGCGGAAGCTACGCTCGTGCGTCGAATCCATGTGACGGACCATGTGACCAATAAAAGTATTGGCTGCAGCAGACGCCGCTGTGAGCTGGCTGACTGGTGGATGTAATTGTATAAAACAAGGTTCACTTGCAAGGCTGAAATTAACCCCAAAAGTGCAAAACAAACGTAAAGAATACCCTGTATGTCCGCCATCGTTGTTGTTGTTGTTTTTGTTTTTCTTTTTAATTTGCATGCGCGAGTTGCGGTTTGACGTCATCGATCCATGAAAGTCAAACCACACGAATCCACTACGGATACGGGATACGGATATTTTTTTATTTCTCCACTTGTTTTTGCAGATTCAGATTTATCCGGTTTGAGTGCTCCAAACTCCCGTTTTGGTGTGGTAGGGAGGCCTAATCGGACATAAATATGTGCGGTTTGAAATATATCCGCATTCGTGTAGTTCGGGCCTAAGTGGCAGCCTTCTGTCCAGCTTTAATCTGTCTTTGTGCAGCCAAAAATTGCAGCCGCACATCTGCAGTAAAATTTGAGATGTCTTTTATGCAGCTGCTGGTTCTGCCATGTTTGTTTGGGACATAGAAAGCAAATCTTGTTTTGTAGTGTTTTAACTTACGCGAGGAGGGAAAAGTAACATTAAAAGATCACTCTCTGGATTAAATGAGTTGATGTCTTTGAATTTGAATAAGAACCAATTTAAATAAATGATTTAAACCCAGTCCTAATTAATATTAACATGAAAATCTGTATTCATATCATCTCCTTTGTTTTCTGTCTTACAGGTGCTTTAAAACAACGAACTATAAGACCATGGTCAAGGGAGGAGAAGGCTGCAGTCTACAGACACATGGCTAAATATGTGGCTTCGAAAAGGGTCCCTAATAAAAGCGAATGCCAGCGTTGCATAGGAAGGGAGGAGCCAACCCTCAGCAATCGCACATGGAAAGACATCAAGTGCTTTGTTTATAATGAAATTATGAGAGTTAAGAGAAATCTGTTGAAGGCCCAGGTAGGTCACACAGGTGTCAGTGAGTTTTAGTCCTTTTCTCAGGACTGTTAATTGTTCTTTCAGCATGTTAAAAATAGTCTGAATGGTATTAGTGCAGTTTGCAATTTTTCTGCTGCTCAGGGGCCTCTGGGTTTTTGGAGGAGGTATCAACGCAGACAAAATGGTGCAGTTTGAGCCAGATAATTCTTAATCCACCTGTTACAATTGTGACAAAGTTCTTGATAGCACTTTAAAAACAAACAAATAAATACTCAGTTATTCTACGCTTCCTGTTGTCTATTCAGTTTGTGAGTTCCTCTGCTAATTCAGTGTCAAAGATGTAAATCGGTTAGAGGTGAATCCACACTGGCTTTCACTCAACAGTTTACACAAGCTCGATTATTTCATAGACAACTTTATCCAACATTTTCTTATAGTAGTGGTAGTAAAAAAAGGGTCTACAAATTGTAAAGTTGTGATTATTACTTTTTTTTAATATACAGAAATAAAAACACATAAAACTCATTCTTCCAAGGTGAAATAACTTAACTGTATTTATTAATTCTTCTGATGTAAACACACACCAAGTTTGGTCCTCTCTCTGTGAGCTAAAAACTTTTTTTGTAAAACTTGCAAATCTATGTAAACTAAGTGAGTGTATAGGTAAAGGGTGCCCCCAAGTGTCCTAAATGATATTTTGTTTGTTTCTAAGTCCAACAGAACTGGTAGTCCTCGCTTTGTAGGTCTTTTATTATAGACCTCACAAAGCAGCAAGTACAAGATTGTGTGTGCGTGTGTGTGTGTGTGTGTGTGTGTGTGTGTGTGTGTGTGTGTGTGTGTGTGTGTCAGTCAGAGTTCAGCTTTTGGTCTTAATACAAACAAACCCAGAAGCTTCTCTTAAGCGAGTGTGTATGTGCGGGTAGGTAGCTACCTGGGCAATCTGTGTGTATAAGTGCATACTCGCATGTTCAACATGCTTGCTAGGTTTCTTAGTTTCTTTGAGTTTCGTTCACTGAACTGTTCCTTTTTTGATAAAATACTGTTGAGTTAAAAAGCATAATAAATCATCTGATGATGAACTTTAGAGCAGTGAGTGGATTAGTCAGGTGTAACGAGACTCTAGACTGAGTTTTTGTGGTTTGCTGCATATTTAGGAAACCTTGGTGTTGTTGATACGTGACATTACTCAAGTATACTCCCCAGGATAAAAGGTCAGAAATGTGTGGTCTGCTAGCTGTTTATTATTTTCTCTCTTGTGTTTTCAGAAGTGTTTAGACTAAAAATAGAAGTGTGATCTGATTTTGCAGTCACATTGGAGGTTGTCTCCTCAGATATTTTTAAAGCTGTATTCTTTTAAACTCTCTGTCTTGTCATCTTTATTACTCATTTCTTCTCTGATTGACTCTTATTTTCCAGAAAATGCTGAGCCTGCAGAGTTGAAGCAGTTCTTTGACCTGAACTATTCCCATATCTATTATGTCTTCTTTGAAAACTTTGTTACCATTGAGGTCAGCCTTAAACAAAAAGGTGAGTAATGCAGTCAACATTAAAACAAATATAAGGATCTTTTTTACTATGGAGATGTACAATTACTGTTTTTTTTTAGCTGATAGCTGATGTGCTGACATTTTTTGACTCATTTTTGCCGACACCTATACACATACGCACTCATTTTTTTCTTCTCTGTAAATAACACAGAGACTCTCTTGTCCTCTAAGTTACCTGCTGCTCTTATTCAGACAGTCTTTGGAAGTACTTGAAATGATTTGATTGTACCATAAATGTACTTTGTTTTTGTTTTTTGTTTTTTTTTCAAATAAAGACTTTTAGAAATATGGACACTGCTATATTTTGCTTTAGAAAATCAAAAATCAAATTTAAACACAAAAAGTGGGTACTGGATTCAAGATGATCAAGCACAATGAAAAAGGAAAGATCCACCCATTCATTCAGCTTTGTTGAATGCTTGAAATGCAGAGTACCAGCAGCTTTTTGCTGATGCAGATGATTTTGATTCTCCCCTTTCAGAGCACTTCAGGATGATACTTGTTGAGCTGCACAATTTAGTTGACATTGATGAGGGAGTGTTGTTTTGCGTCTCCTCCTCATTGTGAATAACTTTTTTGCTAAGCTGCTGTGATTTAAGCATAATTAATGTGTCACCATGGTGACCTACCTTATGGAGGATCTACTAATATTGATAAATTGAATTTTTAAGCTTTTATCTGCCGATACTGATATCATGCAACAATATTGTTAATCCTGATTTTCTCTGTGTTTTTGTGACTTTTTTTTCTTTTGTGTTTTCAGGTCACAAGTCTCAGAGGGAGGAGCTGGACTCAATCCTCTTTATCTTTGAGGTAATAAAATATTATGAAAAACTTTAAACTGAAATAAAGACGTAAAAACTGAGCAAAGGCTGAGTGCACCAGGACAAAGGAGTGTAGCTCTGACACCACGTGCAGCTGCAGTGTTCGTTGTTTACAGCTTTCCAACTATCTGTAGGTGGTCTTGGCCAGCACTGGCTGGCATTGACCTCAGACTTAAACCACTGGCATCTAGCAACACTCAGGACTGAGTGGTTGTGTTTGGAGTAGCCAGGATAAGATAGCAGAGACAGCATGTGTGCTGCTGACCTTCATAAGACCGCACACGCTCTTTGAATTCAGAACAAGTCAAAGTAAAGTAAACATCTAAAATCTGCTGAGTACACTGGTTTCCTTTACAGGTTCTCTGAGTTCAAATTTTGGGGGTCAATCAGGGCAACAAAATTAGTTCATAGACAGTTGATCAAGGTTATGTCTTATTATGTATCATTGTTTTTTCCTCCAGAAAATTCTCCAGTTGCTGCCAGAGAGAATCCAGAGCAGATGGCAGTTCCACAGCATCGGTAACTTCCACAAAACCACACTCAGCCTCTGTTGGCATTCCTAAAACACATGTTACCATTCAGCACACAGCATATCAGATCATCCCAGCCTCTGTCTCATCAAATCAAGTTTAACCAGTTCTGGGCAGTGCTGCCATTCTAGAAAGAGATTATTTAATGTCATGTTAGAGACTGACTTTTATCCAACAATGAGAAGATGCATTGTACTAAATGATGCATGGCAGAGCGCTGGTGCTCTCTGATCCTACATGTATTTTTGGTGTCAAACTATTCAGTGTCTCTGACATCTCAAAAAACAAGTAATGCAGGTTCTTTATTTAATAGCTAATGACAGTGTACTTGTGATTAGCAACTGTTTTTATTTCTGGCAGTCCAAAGTTTACTGTTCCTAGAGCTGTTTAGTCTTCAGAGCTTCTTTGTTGTCATTTCAGTGTTATTTTTATAGCAAGAGTTAATGTCATCAAATCAAATCTAGAGGGAAAAACACCAAAATTGAAATAAACCTGCTCCTTTTTTAAGTCCAAAAACCTCCAATAAATCAATTTAAGTGATTGACTTTGAGTTAGTGACAGCTTGTGCTTCAGTTTGACATGACATCACTGATGTAATTCTCTTGCCTAGGACTGATCCTGAAGAAACTGTTACACACCGGCAACTCCCTGAAGGTACTGCTCTGACTGGTGTATGGGCTCTGTGACAACCTGTCTGTCATAGCCTCCAAGATCCTGATGTGGTCTTCCTCAGAAGGGAACAGTCACATCCTCCTCTCCTGTCTTCTTTTTGTGACATATTAGTAGCATGCAAATTCTTTGAAGCATATTCTTTTCAGTAAAGGAATGATAGGAAATGATGTATGACTAAGTTACCTACATTAACTTTCCTGAAACTGCATGGTTGTGTCACAGTGTTATACTTTAAGTGAAATGTGAAGTTGGTTGCAATCAAGTATTTATACTTGTGGTGAAAACAAACAGTCCTTTAATTCATGTCAGAATATATGAGAAACAGAGCTTTTAATAATAATAATAATAATAATAATAATAATAATAATAATAATAATAATGATAATAATAATAATAATAATAATAATAATAAGCTCAATGAATTTAAGGTAAAAATTGTAACTATTTGTCTACTTCTTCTCCACTTCAGATCCGTCGTGAGGGTGTGCGCTTGTTCTTGTTATGGATGCAGGCACTACAGAGTCATGCAGAGAGGGAGCAGCTCTGCATGTTTGCTTGTCTGATTCCTGGCTTTCCAGCTCCACTCTGCCATGGGACTCCACGAACGCTGGACACCCTGATCAACCCGCCATTAAGTTTAACAGAGAGTGAGTATAAGTATAAAGAACATTCAAACCACCTCCAACACACACTCACTGCACTGGCACTGAGGGGCTCCTCAAGGGACAGGATGCTTCACCCGGAGTGTGTGCCGGAGAGGTATCGCAGGTCATTCCTTCCTCCAGCTGTCAGACTCCACAACAGAAATCTCAGTGTGCAATAAACCATATTATATGTATATTCTGTACACATGTAAACAAGACTCATGTACGTAACTTTTTATTTGAACTCTAAGTTTCTTTATCCTCTCATTTCTCTTTTTGTATCTGTATTTATGCTGCTGTAACTTTGCATTTCCCCCGTGGGACTATTAAAGGAATATCTTATCATATAAGACCAAAAGACCAAACTGTGTCTACATTACAACATATTTTGGTATTCATTTCAATGTACTCCCCTAATTTCACGTCCTACAGGTCAAGTGACCCCAGAAGAGATCACACCATTGGTTCCTCCTCAGTCAGGTGACAAGAACCAGGAAGATCTCACTGCATACTTTTTAGAGGCGCTGCTTAAATACATGGTAAACCAGGTATTATCATCGTTTCTTACTAACACTGCTAACACGACATAATTACACTTCTGTAATGTTGTGATCCCTCACTGTCGTCAATTATGATGAAAAATAAGGATAGAACATACTGTATGTATAAGTTTTATTTAATCACCCACATAATCACTAACTCCTTTAAACTCCCTTAAATCCACATTTTAAATTGAACAGACTTTGTTCCTGGGATTCCTCTTCTCTCTCATACACACACGTACTTCACACACTGACAGCATTCTCCCCCAAAACAATGGTGCTCTTCTCCACTTGACCCTATTTTACTGTGTGTATTGTTCCTGTTGTAACATGAGCTTGTTTGTCTTTTTGTGTGTGTTTGTGTTTGTGTATCCACTAGGCCAAGTCTCTCGAGTGGCGTTGTAAAGAGAACCATGAGCGTGGCTTCAACTTCCTCTTTGGTCATTTTAGGAAGTTTTACCTTCCTCACATCTTTCCTAACTTTGCCATGGAAACCAGCCTGTACAGCCCCATACTGGGTCAGTTATGAGTGGACTTGATACTCTATAGTCAATTTAAACCTACACAACAGTCATGTGTTATCGTTACCAGCATCACTTGATTAAAGACTGTCCTCTCACCATGCAGACGTGCCTCCAATGCGTCCTAAGCCATACTACGGTGTGGTACGAAGAGAACAAGATGGAGGTGAACCACTGTATTGCACCAAGGAGAGTTTTCTTCAGGCCCGGGTCATCTTCATCCGCTGGCTGGTTTCCTTCTGGCTGGAGCCACGACCCAACACACAAACACATATCCCAGGAACAGAGGGCGAGAACGTCCCAAAGAATATACAGGTAACAGATGGAGGAGAAATGTGGCCTCAGTATTCCTCCTTATCAATAATGATGTTAAGTATTTACCAAAGTCCCACTCTATTTTTTTTTCTTACTACTTTTAGTGTTCTCAGTGGTCTTTAAATTGTGATTATGAAGTTTTTAGCCAAAATCATGTTACCTGTCATTTTCAAGGGCTTTTCTTCTGCACAGCTCCAGTAGCTCATTAGCAATTCACCTCTGAGTCGTGGGCGGAGACAGCGGTGCTCTACAAACTCCTCTTCACGTTAGCTTGTAGCCTAACATTGCGAGTGTAGTAGAAGTAGCAGGTTACATAGGAGCTATTCAGCTCTCAGACGCTAATGTCTTTGGGGACATGATAAAAGTTAATATCATATTTAGCTTTCTCATGAGCATTGCAATCTGCTAACACACACGCTTGTTCCTCCATCGTCTTCTCTACTTTTCCTAGTCTGGCCTGCATAGTGGGGCTCCGGGGGCGGAGCTTGGATTTGTGACGTAGGAAATCTCAGTGTGTCTAAACCTGCTGTTTGGGTCTGTCAGAGATTCACAGCAATTTGAATGCAGAAATATTCAGAAATGCACTTTTGCACTTATTTGTCTAATTATATGTCCTGAAGCATAAAAAAAACGCCATATGAATACATAAAAAGATTTCATTGGAGTGGGTCTTTAAGTGGTTAAATAGTGATCTGTAAATTGATTAATTTACATTAAAATTTTCAACCACTTCCAAGTTTGATGATTTGGATACATTCGAGTGGTTGTAAATTAGCCATAGCTTGAAACCTGTACACATGACATTAAGTATACGTCATAAAGGAGTGTTTCAGGCATTTCTACCTGTCAATTAAACACATAAACAAAGGCATTGCAAAAAAGCTAATTAATTTGGTGCTGTCTAAGCGCTGACAATTGTAAATGGCCATGTGCAGTCACAGAGCTGCTTTGAAGAAAAACTAGAAACAAAAACAGCCTGTAAACCTTTGAAGACAGCAGAAGAATGACGGCACTGTCCTGTTTACTCTCTGGCTCAGCCTGTTTGATCAACATGGAGGGTGTTTCTCTTTTCCAGTACACATCCAAAAGGTATATTATTGAATGTGCTTTATCACAACTGAAGTTAAGAATTATGACCCTCACTTTTGTTCGTTTCTGGCTGATATTTACTTTGGAGTTTGCCAGCTAAATGCAAGTGAGAAAATGAATTCAACTTTCCTCTCTCTTTCTTTTGTTATATTCATTAAATGATCTGTCAATTTTCAGGTCCAACTGAGAGGCAAAATTCATTTTCCCAAATGCTCATAGATGTGCATCACATTGCCAATAATCAGTTGAATGAGAAGATCTCACAGAGTGACTGTTGTGTTATCTTCTTCTCCAGCGAGCAGCAGCTGGACTTGCGGCACGCTCTGCAGGCAGCTCAGAGGACAGCGGTGGGGGTGGAATTCGGTCTGATGGTCACCTAGAGGGAAGTGGAGGCTCATCTGGATCAGGCGGAGGCAGCATGGGGATGTCTGGGGGTTTAGGGACTGGAAACGAGCCAGAGCAGAGCCATTCAAACACTTCCACATTAACAGAGAGGGAGCCCAGCTCGTCCTCGCTCTGCTCCATGGATGAAGAGCAGTTGACTGACATGGAGGTGGTGAGGAGAGTACTTACCTGCTCCAGAACCAACGTCAACTTCATCACCGAGATCTTTAGACAAGTAAGGGACAAGTACCTCTGTGGTTTTTACTCTTACAGTAGATTGTATGTTCTGTACAGTAAGTCAGACCGCCTTTTTTTGCTCTTGTACAGTATGTCCATGCTCAGACACCTCTGAAGGACGTTCTGTAATGGAAACTTCTCTGTCTGTCTGTCTCGACCCATGCAGGCATTCCTACTTCCCATGTGCGAAGCTGCAGCTATGCGTAAAGTAGTGCGTGTTTATCAAGAGTGGATCTCCATGGAGGACAAGCCAGTATTTATGAAAGAGCCAGAGGAGGGCCCCTACCCTATAGCCTCAGGCAGCAGTCTGGATTCAGGCTCTCAGCATGGAGACAAGGAGGATGAGGTGAGGGACGACCTGGATAAGTGATTGACTCCTTTAAATGCTTTGATTGAAGGCAGGATGCATCAGCTGTTCTTCACAACAGGATTTACAAAGTCAGCTTTATTTGAATCTGGTTCCTGGGCGGTTACTACTAGGAAACCTGCGAAGGGCTGTAATGTGTAAAAGCTAATAAACGAATCAAACACATAAGTATAACACTGTATACAGTGCTGTGAAAAAGTATTTGCCCCGTACTGGATTTCTTCTATTTTTGCTTTTAGTCACACTTACATGTTTCAGATCATCCAATAAAATTCAATTTAAGAGAAAGACAATGAGTGGACATAAAACACAGTTTTTAAATGATCATTTGAATCATCTTAAATGATCACCCTTTGCTGCAACAACTGCAATCAAGCGTTTGCGATAACTAGCAATGAGTCTTTTACATCGCTGGAGAGGAATTTTGGCCCACTCTTCTTTGCAAAACTGTTTTAATTCAGCCACATTGGAAGGTTTTCGAGCATGAACAGCCCACTTGCGCTTGAACTTAGGGATTCTCCTTCAGGATTCTTTGATAGTGAGCAGAATTCATGGTTCCATCGGTTATTGCAAGTCGTCCAGGCCCCGAAGCAGCAAAGCAGCCCCACACCATCGCACTACCACCACCATGTTTGACTGTTGGTGTGATGTTCTTTTTATCAAATGCTTTGTTAGTTTTTCGCCGGATGTAACGAGACACACACCTTCCAAAAAGTTCCCTTTTTGGCTCATCAGTCCACAGAATATTTTCCCAGAAGTCTTGGGGATCATCCAGGTGTTTTTTGGAAAATGTGAAACGAGCCTTTATGTTCTTTTTGGACAGCAGTGGTTTTCGCCTTGGAACTCTGCCATGGATGCCACTTTTGCCCAGTCTCTTTCTTATGGTCGAATCGTGAACACTGACCTTAACTAAGGCAAGTGAGGCCTGCAGTTCTTTAGATGTTGTTCAAGGATCTTTTGTGACCTCCTGGATGAGTCGTTGATGGGCTCTTGAAGTAATTTTGGCTGGCCGCCCACTCCTGGGAACGTTCACCACTGTTCCATGCTTTCTCCATTTGTGTATAATGGCTCTCACAGTGGTTCGTTGGAGTCCCAGAGCCTTAGAAATAGCTTTGTAACCCTTTCCAGACTGATGGATGTCAATTACTTTCTTTCTCATCTGATCACTGATTTCCTTAGATCGCGGCATGATGTGTTGCTTTTTGAGATCTTTTAGCCGTCTTCATGGTGTCAGACACATTCTATTTAAGTGATTTCTTGATTTTACAAGTCTTGTAGTAATTTGGTGTGGGTGTGGCTAGTGAAATTGAACTCAGCTTTCCAAAAAATGTGGTTAATCACAGTTCACTCACAATTTGATAAGGGGGGGCAATTACTTTTCACGCAGGGCCAGGTTGATTTGAATGGCATTTTCCCTTAATAAATGAAATAATCATTTAAAAACCGCATTTTGTATTTACTTGGCTTATCTTTGTTTGATATTAGAATTTGTTTGATGATCTGGAACTTTTAAGTCTGGAAAATCTGCAAAAAATTGAGATAATCCATAAGGGGGCAAATACTTTTTTCACAGCACTGTAAGTGAAGCAAAGAAACATGTTACTCAGCTTTTTTAGCAACCATAGCTCCAACTTTGTCATTGTAAACTTTGAAGTCTCGCTTCTCAGGTTCTGTGTTTTACCTCTGACTGAGGAAATCGGATGATCACACATTCTATATACTAAAGGGACTTTAAAAGTTAAACAGGTGCATCCATCTACACATCGAACTGTAACACAGAAGGTATCTCTGGTCAAGATGCAGCCTGTGCTGTCAACCACAGAGTCAGTCACAGGGGACCCAGGAGGCTTTAAGCTTTGCTGTGCAGTAATACACACCCTTTCGTTTTTATCACCTTCCTCCTCTTCATTTTGTGGTTTGTGGTCATGAGTCTATGTCTTGTAAAATATGTTGCCTGCCCGGTGAACCTGTCTCCTCTGGCCTCCACAGGCTGAATTTGTAACACTAAAGACATGAAGATAAGATAAGAAGAACTTAATTTATCCCAGAAAGGAAATTCAAAATGAATGTACTTTAATGAGTGTTATGGTATTTTTTTAATCTCCACAGTATTTGTCAATAAGCACTATAGGGCCTGTAAAATAAAGAATGAAAACTACTACCAAAACCCTGAAATCTTTATATCTTGTGAAAAAAGGATCTATTGGTATTTCACTATATCAGTATCACTTTTAGTATGTGTGAAATCCTCCCATCACCACTTCACTTTAATTCTGGATGCGTGCATTTTGTCTCTTTCTCAGGGAATGAACAAATCGGTGGACAGTGAATTGTTGGAGTATAGTGTTCATGCTGGGGTTCAGACTACACTACAGGTATGGGCCTCACAGTATGTCCATTTCACTTACCAGAAGTCCCACTGTTGCATTTTTTCGTTATCCTCCTTTACTTAGTTAAGTTGCCCTTGAGAAAGATTTTGGAGCTCCTTAAATCACTTTTTGTTTCTTTTTCAGGTATTTATCATCCACTCTTCCAACGTTTTCCTTTTGGAGCCAGCCAATGACATCAAGATCCTTCTAGAGGAGCATGTTGATATGTGCAAACGAGTCCTGAACATCTACCGCAGCCTGGTGATGCATGAGACTATGGACCAGAAGACATGGTAATGAAAAAACGAGGATTGGCACAGAACATGTTTATTTATTCAAAATCTGCTTCACATTTAAAGTTTTGATCACATTCCTCTCCTCTCAAATGGTTTTGTTTCCAGGGAGCAGATCTTACTGGTCCTGTTGAGGGTTACAGAGTCAGTGATGAAGAGACCCCCATCCATCATGCCCCATGGCAAGAAGAACAACACACTGTCAGGCAGACTGGCTGGACCCATCTTTCAGGTACATTATAGTAACACAATTAAACGGGCAGGATGATCTGTCATAAATGCCAGATGCACAGTTATGTAACAAATGATCCAATAGATCCCCACGTGATAGAGGGACATAGAATAGTCCCTGTTATCATCAAAAATACTAAATGAATCTTCACTTAAACATCATGGCAGTCATAATGGAATCACAACAATTTACAGAGACATGGTTTTAGAGGGGGCCAGGCTGTGACCTGAGTAATTTACCCTCTAGACCTCAGTGAAACCATTATAATGTGGCCTCAGTCAGCAGAGATACTTAAGATAAATGTTAATTTACTACAAATTCCTGAGAATTTGAAAAAGGAAATCATCCCAACCTCAGTTTTAAATGTGTGGTATAAAACTTTGCAAACAAAATGTAAAATTGCATTTGAAATCCAGAAAATAAACACACATCTAGCGAATGTATATGAGGTACTTATTATTGACAACAGTTATCTACAAACTGCAATGTTGAAATTGCGTAGTTGCCTAGTTAGTAAGTCATCTGGTATCCTCTGTTTGAGGGTGTTCAGACATATGCTGCTTTTATATCTTTTGTCCGAAATACAATAATGATTGTAAACTTTCATGCTTGCAAGGAAATGTAAAACACTTAGATTTATGTCATTTTAAGAGTTGGACTCAATTAAGAGTTAAATATAGTCACCTATATCCAGTTCAAATGTGCAGCTTAAACACAGCTGTCTCTACATCCTCTTCGTCTTGTGCTGCACAGACTCTGATAGTTGCTTGGATCAAGGGGAACCTCAACGTCTACATCAGCAGAGAACTGTGGGACGACCTCCTTTCTGTTCTCTCCTCTCTCACCTGCTGGGATGAACTAGTCACAGAGTGGTCACTCACCATGGAGACACTCACCAAGGTACACCGCATTGTTTTACTCATGTAATATCTCAAGTATTAGATTGTATATCAGGATGAACAATCTTGAGACTCAAAATATTAGTATTACATTTTCAAATTCAGTCGCTGACATCCACTACAAGTGAAAACGAGTTGTTTCTTTCTTATGTCTGGTAATTTTGCCTCTCTGTTACTTTACCCTTGCTGTGACTGTTACCCTCAATACATGTACAAATACTTCTGTTATATTCAGCTTTTTGCTTCAAGCTGTTTTTTCAGTCTGCATTGTGATGTTGTTGTCATCTTTAGCTGTATGCTGAGCTAAGTTGGCAAATGTTCAACCAGTCTTGACATCTTTGTGTCTCAGGTGTTGGCCAGGAACTTGTACAGTGTGGATCTGAATGAGCTCCCTCTGGACAAACTCAGCGAACAGAAGCAGAAGAAACATAAAGGAAAAGGTTGGCTAGTCTTCATAACTACTATATCAATTAATGATGAATGTGGATCAAGCATTGTCTCCCCATTTGTGCACTGATGAGTGTTTGGGCTTTTGTATCACTGACCATTCAAGTGTGTATGCTACTAGGTGGCAACAAGCACAAACAAAGCAGGTACTGTAATTTGGTATTCATGCTTTGTCAATGATGCTAGCAAAGGCTGAGGTAACTTGTTTTGTTCACAGAAAGGGTCACATGATGAATCTGGAAAAACATGATGAACCCTAATCAGCAGATGATGTAAATGTTCCCAGAGTTCCAGTTTCCTCCCTTTTACTCTTAAATTTAATCCAAGAGATTTCAGGCTTTTTTTGAGGGATTTCAGAAGGATCAAAATGTCTCATTTTAGCAGCTCTAAGATGCTGGAGTACTGTTTGTTGTGACTTTTATCAGTATGTATGGAGGTGGACATAACCTTTTCCAGAATGCCATCTTGAGCCATCTGATACAGCCTTTATATCCATATTCTGAAACTCCTAACTACATATTCAACAGTTGAAACATGTCTAACCTTTTCTGTCAGATATTGAGCTTGAAAAGTAAAAATGCAATAACAGGCCAGAGGGATTCTAGAAAGCATGAACATATATTCAAATTATCAGGTAATTTATTTCAAAAGCAAAATAAAAGGTATCAGTGAAACAAAAGGAAGAATCATGAATATGTAAGACTACTACATTTCCCTTGTCCCTTTTCTTTCAAAAAAGAATTTGCCCAGTCTGGAGCTAACACCAGCTCTTAAGCGAATTAAAATAACTGTGCAGTAGAAATTATGTCCCACTTAATTCTGTTTTACCCCAGGTATAGGTTCAGAGGGCCAGCGGCAGATTGTGGATCGGTCCTTCTCCAAAGGCTGGAGCAGAGACCAACCAGGCCAAGCAGCAGCCATGAGACAGCGCAGCGCCACCACCGCTGGCTCACCAGGCATCGAGAAAGCCAGGAGTATTGTCCGCCAGAAGACCGTCGGTCAGTATCCTCGAGATGACTCCCTTAACTTACGTGTAAAAAAACATTGAAGAGTTATGCAGCAGGAAACATCTGGTGCCCTGTCTTTCTCAGGTGCACTTCAGATAGCATCTTGTTCAGTTTTATTTGATGTCAGATCTGTTATATTTAATCTGATGCCCCCTCCTCTCCTTTGACAGGAACATGTTGAGCAAAGTTTATGCAGGTGTTTCAGATATGGCTGCCAGTACGACATCATAAAAACTAGTGAAAAGACAGAGCACTCACAGATTGAAGTTCATGAGGAAAGGAAGCTGTAACACTCATACTCACTAACAATATAATTACCAGATATATAACAACATTTTATTGTTCTGATCTGTGACTTGCTTGCCCTTCACATTACACTTAATTGTATCTTCTTGAATTGCATCCATCTGGATTTTATCTAAAAGTTAAGGGTTAACTTTTTCACAAAGCATTTTCGCCCTAAAGGACGCTTTTAAGGTGAAAAACTGTTAGGAGTATTTAGCAGGACTTTTAAAAGCCTCAAGAATTTCTCAAACTGAGAGTGAAACAGAGGAAAGGAAGTAATACACTCCAAACATTAAATGCTGATAGGATTGGGCAGTGATCATGAAAGTGCTTACAAGCCGGCGCAACATGAACAAGTGTGAACAAAATGTAGTAGTTTAGCTTGTGATTCTGCTGTCATGACGGTTGAGCCTAGTGGAGGAAGGCTTGTTATTAAAGATGGGAAAGCATCAGGAGGTGCAGAATAACGCTCACAGCTACAAGCTGTGAAATTATCCTGAGATGTAATGCTAAAGTCCAGGCATTTAAGGAGAGATAGAAAAACAAACTTCTCTGTGCTTTATCTTTTACAGAGGGGTGCAGAGTGAGAGCAGATCATATTCAGTAATTAAAAAGTGTAAATGATCAGCCTGAGTTTAAAGTCAAACTATATGTGTGTAACTCTGCTTTCAGCATGTGAAGAGGTTACAGCACAGTCAGCATGTGCAAATTTACCAACTCAACTCTTTCGTCCAGCTGTTCCCATTGTAATTAAAAGAGCTTTTTTTCAGTTTTTGTGGATCGACCACCGTGCTTCAAGCTCTTGAAAGAAATTTGTCATTCCTAGCAACAGGGTCAATTACGCCTCCTCACTATAAGAAAAGTTTCTGCCCCAGAGTTGTTATGGGATAGATCCCAAATCTGAGGCTAAAAGTCGTTGATAAAAGTTTATAAGTTAGGTTAAGAGCTCTCTGAGGGAATTCTCAGAATGTTTGCAAATACTGGCTCTTGATTTTAGGGACAAAAAAATAAGAAGTGTTAATGTCCTTCAAAAAGAGATTTCAAAGAGAAGCAGCTTTGATGGACATGTAGTGTGTTTTATATAGATCAGAACCACTTCAAGTTGTTCTGAGAGTAAGCTCTTCCTGTGAAAAAAAAAAAATACACTTGGTCCATCCCATGAATAGATGTGGAGATGTTTTCTTTAGTAACCCATCTGCTCACAAGGTAAACTACGACCTAACTTACAAAAACATAGAATAGATTTTCTGGACATCAGTTGATTTGACCATTTTACAAATACCTTACCTTTAAAAATGCATTTTTTCCAAAGTTTCAACACAACAAAAGTGATGTGAAGAGGAGACGCCCAAGCTCATAAACATATCTTAGTCAAACCTGTTTACAGTACCCTTTTAAGTGACTACAGGTTTTAAATAGTATCTGACTTACAGGTGATGATGTAGATCACCCGTGTGTGGTCTTTGGGGATTTCAGTCGCACAAAGTGGAAAACTGCCACCAGCCTCTCACTGTCTCACTGTCTTCCCTACAGAACTATCCCTGTCCCACTCCTTTTTCACCTCCCTCCCTTCCTTTGTCCTTCCTCAGACCTTCTTCTTTTCAAACTGTCCTGTTGCTTTTTCACTCATTTCCTTTATTCTACCTTACACTATCTTCTCATGCTTTTTATTTATTTTACGTATTAGTTCCATCTTTTTCCTCCATACTCTTTTTAAAGTATCCCTTTATTTTGACCGCCTTTCCTTCATTTTTACTTTTTCTTCCTCGGCTATCTTGTCAGGAGTTTGATTTCTCTTACTCTTTAATTTCACTAACACATCCACCTTCCTTTCCTCAGTCCTTCACCTAACTTGTCCTCTTAACTATATCCTTTTTTCTCTTTTGATGTCTTTCTTCCGGTGTCGTCTTTGCTCTCCTTTTCTGTCTCATACTCTTTCCCCTTATTCTTTTCTCTCTTCTATCTGTTCTTCCCACCTCTTCAGCCCTGCGTAGCTGTTCTACGGGGGACTCTCTGCTGTCCTCAGCCTTTATCCGCAGTGCTAAGAGTGCTCCTGCTCTGGCTCCGCCTCTTCCTGTCCTCCTTCACCACCACCACCACCACCACCCTTTACTACCCCCCCTTGCTGACCAGCTGGCAGGTACACAATCTTTGCACTACCTGTCTGCCTGTGTCCCTACCTGCCTGCAGACTTCTGTGTACATCAGTCGGGAACTGTAACTTCATGCTCAGTATTTCATGTTTGTCTGTCAGTTCCTGTTATCGTTATGACTGAAGCAACAGTTTGCATGTGATCATCAGAAACTACACTGTCCTTCCCTTTTTTACCTGCAACTCGTATGAAGTGTATATCTGAGAAAAGTCCATCCATCAGACAAATCTCTCTCCTGAAGTCGTGCAGTGATGTCATCAACATTGTTTGACATTTGCATGTGAGAAATGAACGATCAAAGCATGTTCAGCAAGCTGTTTAAGGTCTTTCATTTAAAAGAAGCAGAGATATTTGTGAGAAGAGTTTTTGGTGACAAAGTTGGACCACTTTCTGTCTATTAATGCTGTTCAAACTGTTCCAATTTGAAGCACAACTATGTTTGTTGTGATTGTATACACCGCAAAGCTTTCAGCAAATGATATTTTAATTTATTTTCTATCAATTGTTGATAAAAAATATCTCAAAACTTATCCAGTAGCTTGAACACTTGGTGTTAGAGTTTTGTGAGAAAATGAACTTCTGTCTAGGGGTGTCCCGATGTGATATTGATATCGGATTTTGGTCCGATATCAGCAAAAAAATACATATATTTATCGGATTATATCGGCCTGCATCTAAAATCTCTGATATTAGCACTCCAATACAAGCAGTTTATTCCAGACTCCGCTCCGGCACCTCTAGCTAGCAGTGCCCTGATCCAGCAAGCTGAGCCCACAAAATCACAACAACATGTACTAAGGTAATAATAAAGTCGCAAGGATGTTGGCCTTGTGGCAGTATTTTTTAAGTCAGAAAAAGACATTGAAGCTGAATGGGAATCGGATCAATATCAGTATCAGTCAATATTGAAGGTTACAGTATCGGTATCGTATTGGAAGTCAAAAAGTTGTATCGGGACACCCCTACTTCTGTCCTGTATTTCCTGAAGAAGGTTTATCACTTTGACATTTTTCTGAGGAAGATGGAAACACTCTGTGTCTGTTATTGTGTCTGTCATATATCTGCATGAGACTTGACCAACCTGTTTTTCTGTTTGCAAGACTATTATAAGATATTTTTACGTAAAAGTTTCCGCCTGACTGCATATCTGCATGTCTCTATTACACCTTTCAGCAGGTGTCACAGTAATATTATTGATAAAACAAAGCATTTATTACTTATTTGCCCTTATATGGTGGTACTTCAATGACGGCAGATGTCTTTGGGTTAAGGTCTTTATCTTGCTGCTGTGGGCAATGTGGAGAATTTGATTTAAGCAGATCCCTGGTATAGTATTTTCCTGTCTGTTGTGTGTCTGTGTTAGCTCTTGGTGTTTTTTATGATAATTTCAAAAATGATTACAGCTCTGTCAATTTACCCATTATTCATTATTTTACATTAGATCAGATCGAAACCTGTCAAATGGGCATAACAAATGTCATTTCAGATGCTATGATATACGACAAAAAAAACATTTGTTGGCATGGTCCATTTATGATTTATGAGGAGTTATTCCTTCTTACATTTAACATCATGTCACTTATTAATGTTTTATATTATGACTTGTAATCTTTTAACACATATGGCACATCGTGGAACAAAGAGTTCAATAGAGATCCAAAACTGTCATGCAAGTTAAGTCCAATATCAGGCAAGAATGGGACAGTTTCAAAATTTCAGGAACCGGTATCATTTACAAAAATCAAAATCTGCTTACTGTCACTTAAAACATGGTGTTATTTGTTGGAATCAGGGTCAACCATGTAAGTCAAATTTGTCTTTCAAAAAGTTGTAGATACAAAACACAGGCGTACAGACTCGGGAACAAATGACTTTGTATTATACTTTCTTATATATTCAGTAAAAAACTTGGAGTCATTGGACCCACGACTGAAGCTCCACCCTGTTCAGCTGGTAATAAACGTTAATGAGATCAGCATGAGGCTTTAAACATTTGTTTATTTGAGATATAAAGTAGATCAACTTGCCAGACCTGTTATTGTTGGTTTGTGTAGTCAGTCTAAACTACCATCCAAAGAGTTCAAGCTCAACATCTCTATACTGAGGATTAAGGACACTACTTAAAGATGTGAGCCTTAAAGGTTATCCTCCAAGAATGTGAAGCTTCACTTACTGGTTTCTTTATGTTGCAGCCTGTTGTTTTCACCACTTTGGACTCCATCATGGCAGGAACCTACTGCAGCCCACAACAAAAGTAGCTCCAGTTCAGGGTTTATGCATGTCATATGTTTCTTTTGTTTCGTCTACAAGTCTTTTTGTTCATCACGTTTTCTATATCTGTCTGGTCTGTCTGTGTGTGGGTGGGTGTGTATCTGTTCTCACTTGTTCCCCACACTGACCTTGTTCTCTTCATCTCCCTCCTGTTACCAGACCTGGAAGACCCGCCAATCACACTGACTTCTCGCACTTCTCGGATGCGCCACTCCTCCCAGAGCGACGAGGCTCCTCCAATCTCATGTTCTGAGGTCTTCCAAGGAGTGGCTTGTGACTTGGATCCCCCAGCACCATCTTCCCTCGCTAGGAGCAGCAGTGCCTCTGACATCATGGAGCCTTTCATCGCTGAGCGGGTCAAAGGTGAAGACCCCCAGAGGGATCCCAGTTCAATCCCAAATCCACCTGAGCACCAATCCACAACCCCTTTCTTACCTGCAGCCAAAAGCCACGCAGCTCAAGCACTCCCACACACCCCCACCTCACCCTCCCCCACCCCCTTTACCTCCTCCAATGGTGTTATCTCCTTGTCTTCAGAGGGACAAGATGATGGTAGTGTTTATGACCAGTTCTGGCAGCAGATAGGCTCTCGAGGCCAGGGTTCAAGTTCTGATTGGGTAAGCGACTGGGATTCTGCCTTCACGTGTTCATCTGAGAAGGAGATTGATACAGAAGAAGCAGAAATTGGGGCCGGGGTTGAAGAGGATGATTTATTCTCCTCCATCAGGGACTACCTCACTCAAAAAGGAAGTGAGAAGAAAGAGGAGGTAGAAGAGGGAGACAGTCCGAGTGTAGATGTAGAAAACAGTGCTGTAAGTTTACCGGTGACAGTGCAAACTGGAATAGCAAGAACACAAATGGAATACGCAGGACAGGTAGGAGAAGCAAGACAAGTGGTGAGAGAGGACAGACAGGTAAGTAAATCTGTGAGGCACAGCAGCGTGGATTCAGCTGAGGAAATTGAGGCAGAACAGCGTAGTATCTATGAGTGCCTGGAGTTGCAGTGTCAGTGGCCAAATGCAAAGGGAAGCAGTAGCTTAGAAAGGCATGCTGGGGAGAAGAAGGGAGGCGGAAACACGGGAAGGGCATCAGGGTGGGAGGGGACAAGTGATGTTTGGAGAGAAAAAGGAGTAGAAAAGCAGACTGATAAAGAAAGGTTTCATTTCATCAAACAAGAACAAAACTCCATAGAGTCTAGCACTGAATCAAGTCACACCCCCCAAACTTTAGACTCAAGTAAGGCCAAAGCCTCACGAAGCTCCAAGAGGCATCATTTGGGGGGTGTGCATGTCAGTTTTAGACCCTCAACTGAGTCAGTCCAGTTCCACAATCCCCTCGAGAGTAAAGAGGCTCACTGGAAAGCCAGACTACGGCGCCTCAGTCATTTTCACACACACAGCCACTCAGCTGGGGATAGACCTGGGGCCGGAACAGGGGCAGGGTCAGGGACGAAAGTAGGTACAGGGGCTGCAGGTAAGTTTGCCTCCGTGGCTGGAATTAGCCACAGAGCAGGGACACATGAGAAACTAGTTGCTGGGACTGTTATGGATAATAGCGGGGCAGGGAACACAGCGCTCACCGGAGGCTTGGAAAACAGGACTGGGACTGAAGGGGACAAGCATCACGCAGGGTCCAGTGTGGGATCCAACACAGGCTCTGAGCCTCACTCAGAGTTGTCGTCAAGCAGCTCAGCAGGTTTCTCTGGCGTATCATCAGGGGTGCGTGGCCGTTTGGGACGCTCTGCCTTACGATCTCGAGCCTCTCGCTCAAGATCCCAGGAGCCCGGCAGCACTTCCTCAAGGCACCACCAGGGGGCTCTCCTTGGTGGTGTATATAAGAGTATGGTTCATGCTCTGTCCTCCAAGCCCCGGCCTAGAGGTCAGGGGTCATCCCAAGGCTCATCGCCACAGAGGCAGGGCCGGACAGCTATGGGCGATGCTTCACTAAGAGACCTCTACTCCCATGTCCTGGGCTACTTTGGACGAAAGACGACCCCGCCAGGTGAGGATTGCAACAAATGAAGTGCTCACAGAGGACACAAAAGTTCAGCAGCAACTTTGGAAAGCCAGATTCTCACCAACACACAAACACCAGCAACTCTCTTTTCCTTTTTGGCTGTTTTAACTGGTTTGTTATGATGGAATGATATTTTTTGGCTGACACTCATCATCTTGCTGCTGGACAGAAAATTCAAACTCCCTTTTGATGTTTATCTCTTGAGTGAAGCCCCTCCTCCAGCCTGCCTCCTGTCAAGGATCCCCCTCCTCCTGCTCCCATACCTATCCGCCTGCTCCTTCAACTCGGATGTCCCCCCTCCCTCTTCCTCCTCTCCTCTTTCTTCTAAGGGCTTTGGGATTTTAACCTCCTCTCCCCCTTACCCTCCTCTCCATCTCCACCTCTTCCCTCTCCTTGATGTTGCATGCCGCCTCCTCGTACCTCCTTCGCCTCCTCCCTGGACTCCGGCCCCTCTTCAGCCAATCAGGAAGAAACAGAAAAGTACAAGAAATGAAGAAATAAAAGCTGAATAGAAAACACTTGGATAAACATAAAACCTCTCAGGAAGCCCTCCAAATGTTTCAGAGCATAATTGCATTAGATTTAGCATGTTCGCTCCGAAGATGAGATCATAAAGACAAATTATTCATCAGAAGAGAAATCGCTTCATTAATAGGAAGTAGAAACAATATTGCTGTGGTTAATTCTTGGACCACTAGAAGGCAGAGTGAAACTGTATGTGATCTTGACCCTCTTTATTATAACAAAATAAGCATGATGTCTTAATACAAAAGAAAAGTAATGCATTTCAAATTGGCAATCTGTAACTGTTGTTTGCCTTTCACACTGCTACAAGATCATTCTTGACATGATGGTTGTTAAGTGTGCATTTAGATTAACCTTTTCTCTAAAGGCTTCTAGACTGCACAAATGCTTTTAATTTATTTGCCATTAGACTCACACAATTGATCAAATCACAGTGATTCATCACCTGAGCCTCCATGATGTGGACATGCTGCTATAAACAACCTCTAGGTGTCGTCCTTGTGTTAATTTCTTATTCAGGTCTGCTGCTTGCCAGTTAGGTCCAAAAGGGGCCGTCAACATTGATAGCAGTTTCACCTTTTACTAAAAGAATGAATTTGCATATTCCAGTTTGGGCTGCACAATATCAGATAAAAACAAAAATGGACATTGCAATACGTTACTTTTTTCTGCGTTATTTATGTGGATGAATAAAATGCAGGAAATTAAACCGTACCATTATAGTGTCTAAATTTTAAAAGAATTTAAAAATCATCCCTGTTATAATTTGTAACCTAAGTCTAGTTTCCCTGGACAAAAACAAAATATATCTCTCTCTTAGTGTCACACTTGGTTGATCAAAAATGACTGATCTGGCCTACATGATATGATAGATATGCAGTGGTGATCACAATGTTAAAGACAGGACCATCAATTATAGAGAGAGACTGATTAATGGGGTTGATGAATCACATTTTGGATTGATCAGCACTGGCTGCTATCTGCGGCCATAAGGCTGATTAATTATGCATGGAATCACGAGTGTCATTATAATAAAACTGTTTCTTATCAAACACAGAGAAAAAACAACAGCATAATACCAGCATCATGTATTGGCCATTGGTTGACCTGCTCTCCAGTTATTGGCCTTATCTGTCAAAGAAAAAGTGTGCATGTTAGCTAAAATAACTCACAGTGTCAGTAGTCTGTCTGCTGTTCTTTATGTTTTTGTCATTGCCTGTGTTTGCGACACGTGTCTCCTGATCCCAAAATGCATCCAAAAAATTATTTTTTACATCATCACCAATTAATCTGCGTTTAGCTGACAGCTGACTAAAGCTTCACTTGACTGCATCTAAACAGTATAAAAGCATGGCCGTAATATCCAGTGCTTTATCTAAAAGTTGGTAAGAAAACAGTGATTGTACTCATGTAATGATTAACTGATTTATAGTGATATATGAAAGCTTTAACATTGTGTTCATGGCAAACACTCATGCTGTGATATCAATGTTTTTGCAATTTATTATGCAGCCCTAAAAGCAGACTGAAACTCAGTGTTATGTGTTGTTACTTTCTGATCGTCTGTCTGTTGACTTGAACTCTGACTGCTGTTCACACAACACAGATGTAGACTTCTGTTCATGTCACAAGCTAAGAGATCAAACCTCAGATCCAAGCACTGACACTTTTTTGATATTGTTAATTTTAAAATAGACTAAAGTAAGGCCATACAAGGACCTATAGAGTGAAGACCTGTTTCCATTATCATGTCTTTGCAGCAAGGTGAATGGGAAAGGTAATGTGAGGGATTTTACAGCAGCAGAAGTGCTCATGCTGACTGCTGTACTGCATCTCTAAAAGTAACTGCTGACTTCCTACTTATTATTCAAAAAAATGTAAAATTTAGATTTTAATTTTTCATTTCTCTTTTAACAGACTTTTGATGGAAAATGTAAGAGTTTAAGAACATCTACATGTTGCTATTTTTCTGAACAATTATAAGTTTATATTGTACCAGTAGGCATCTTATGAAGAGCTGCCACTACATAGACTGTGCTATAGTCGTGCCTCATTATTAGGACAAAAATCACTGCATTATGAGGCTGAGCCCAAACAAGACTAGGGATATTTGTGCAAGAATTTGTGCAGTCTAGATGTCAAGTCCCTGTATTAAAGTCTCTATACCTGTTGTCAGTGATGGCTTAGCAAATGACCATTACGGATGAATAGTCAAAGCGTGGAAAGAGTTGTATAAATTACACACTAATGGTATGTAGTCATTTAAGATGTTAATCACAGTTTTCAGTGTTGACTATGCTTAATTTCTTTGCCGCTAACTACAGCCCTCCAGTATGATCACCACAGATTCTGATGTTTTGACAGGAGGTCTGACCTCTGCAGTTTTTTAAATGCACCTGTATGTCCCATATTTACGTCCAGGAAAATCCGATCTATACACAGTTTGTATCTTTGTATGCAGCAGTTTTTAGCTGTCATCAGCTAGGTGGCAGCAAAGTAAAGACTTTCTTTCTGTGATCAGGTTATTGATCCGTCCAAAGCCCTGGTGCTGAGCTGAACAGATAACCCGGGTCTGTCAGCTTTATCAGCCTCAGCTTCAGGAGTTAAACGACAGAGAGACAGATTTTTTTTTTTTTTTTTTTTTTTTGTATGTCATTTTTGGGACAAGAAGACACTCTCTGCTCTCCAAGTTTACAGTCACACACTGACTGCTGTCATTGCTACCTAACAGCAACTTCACTCATAGAAATATTACTGCACTAATCTAGGCCTCTGACATGCTGCCTGTTTGGACTAAACAAGGTGATACTTGGTCTCGCTCTCTGTGCATGGTGTGAATTAACTCTTGCATTGCTTCTCTGGTGGGTTTGCCTGCTGTGTTGTGGCTTTTTTTTAACAATCAGTCTTTTGCTAACTTCAGGGTCTACAGCACATACACATCAGGACTGTTCTTAGTGACCAGAGAGAAAAGCTCAGTTGTGACATATGATACCATTTTAACAGACTACAATCTCAGAATCCTACATTAAATCTGATTGATTAATACAGATAATCTAATCATTGGATGGACAGATAGGTGGACTTAGTTATGCAGCTTTCCTAGGAAGCCTTAAGAGGTTTGACCTCATTTGTGTGAGTGTGAATCTTGTGACTGTCTGTGTGTTTGTTGTTTCTTGATATAAAACACATGCAACATCTCACCACCTGGTAGGGGGATTTGTTGCTTGTCACTACCTTTACTCTCCTTTTTTTTTTGTGTGTGTGTGTGTGCGTGCGTGCGTGTGTGTGCTCTCTGTCTTCGACTGTCATCTTACTGTATATATGCTTTTCTGTCTGTTTCTAGTCAACAAAGAAGAGGTGGTTCAGAAGGCTCGTCCAGTCTCAAGTGATGTAGGGAGCAGCAACCCAAATTTCACTGACCTCATGGATGAATTTATCCAGGAGAGACTGAGGGCCAAAGGGACAGCGGTGAGAACAACAAACACACACAGTATTTAAGGATGGATAGTTCACTTTCAGAGAAGCTAAAATTTTAAGCCCTCTTTTTCACACAGGGTCGTCGTGGCAGCAGCCCAGGAAGTTTAGAGGTTCCCAGAGACCTTCCTGAGCTCCTGGAGGCGGGACAGAGTCCTGGAATACGACCCTCAGATGATCTCCGTCCTATCGATGATCCAGGGGTTCCCTCTGAGTGGACGTCTCCAGCAAGTGCCAGTGGTTCTGATGTTGTTAGCTCCGACAGCCAATCAGACTCTTTTAATGCCTTTCAGTACTCCTCCTGCAAGTTTGAGAGTAAGGAACGAATCGACAGTTTTTTTTGCTTTCAGATGAAAACAGTTTAAACCAAGAGTTAGCAGTTTTTCAGTTAAAAAAAAAAATATATATATATATATATATATTGCTCATTGTATGTTGCTGTTTTAATTACTTACTATATTACTGTGCATTCATACAGTAAATGGATGGCTTTATAGGGTCTTGTTGGGAATTCCACTATTTAGGCCTTTTAGGTTTCCAGACTATTACCACAGAAAAAAAATACAGTTTTCTAAAATAAAAAAGGTATTTCCAAAAATAGTTCTTAAAAGTAAGGTATGGAAAAGTATGGAAATTCCAACTGTGTAGGAACCCTGTTAAATTACAAAGAAATCTCATGTTGTCAATATCAATCTAACTTTGTCACAAACAGGCTCTGTGTTTTTGTTATCTGTGTCAATTTAGAAACATCATAATGTTGGACTAAATCCTTTTTTGTTGTTGTAGATTTTACATTCAGTTCAGAAGCCTGTACAGGAGGAGCTGGGTCAGGAGGTGGAGGAGGAGGAGGTCGAGGCAGCTCACTGGACCAGGACAGCCTGGGAGGAGGTGTGGCCGGTGAAGAGCATGAAGTAGCAAGTTTGACAACACTTCACCTGGACTCAGAGACCAGCAGCCTCAGCCACACTGTCACTGTCACTGGTACGTACGTTGCATCAAATGGTCTTTTGTAACAAACTGTGTAAATTCAGCAGATGTCAAGAAGTTGAAACTTACCTGTGGACAAGTCATCCCCTGAAACCAGAAAAGACTTTTAGCTCCTGTTTTATTCACGTCATTGTTGTGTGTGCTGTTTTTTTGTGTTTTTTTTGTTAAGGTTCCGAGAGTGCTTCTCCCATGCATTCTCTTGGAGGCTCCCGCTCTCAAACACCCTCCCCTGCCACACTGACAGCAGAGCACTCTGATCACACACACTCCCACTCACACACTCACCTACAGCTGGATCAGAAGCTCCACAACTCTGTCCTGCAGACTCCAGACGACCTAGGTAACACCAACACTCACACCCAACACCCACTTCTTTCACAGCTCTCGATAAGAAGTTGCTGATTGATTTACTGATTGATTCTAGAAACAAGTGAGTTCCCGAGTGAGGACTGCAGTGTGATGGCAGGCGGCTCCTTAACTGGATGGCACTCAGATGTTGCCACGGTAATGTGGCGAAGGATGCTTGGTATCCTAGGGGATGTCAATGGCATCAAAGACCCAGAGATCCACGCTCAGGTCTTTGATTATCTATGTGAACTGTGGCAAAACCTGGCCAAAGTAAGTATTGACACAAACAATGAAGCAAAACATTTTACACTGATTGTGTGCGTGTGTGTTAAAAAAAAACCCTCCTTCTTTCAGATAAGAGACAATTTGGGTATTTCTCTGGACAACCAGTCATCCCCTCCTCCTCCTGTTTTGATACCACCCCTAAGAATTCTCACTCCATGGCTCTTTAAGGTAGGGGTTAGTCATTGATCTCTATACAGCTTGCTAATCTACTCTCATATCTGGTTACAAATTAATTCATATATCATAATTTGGTGATAAGATGCAAAGTTTTTCAGGTGTCAGTTTTGTTTTTGGTACCAGTTGGTAGGTATTTAACCGTGGTTACTTGAGGGTTTTTAAAGGGTTAGCTTGGATCCTACATAACAGAATAACACAAAAAGAGAGAGCAAGGTGTAATTCACATCGGTTTAAAGTTAAAAAAGGGATCTTGCCTTGACAGAATTGTCCCTTTTAGCTTTTTTCTCCACAAATATGTAACAAAAGTGACAAATCCGACCATTAAAACACAACAAGAGAAGATTAGAGGAAGTCATTTACAGGAGCTTCAAACTAGCCAGAGTACATCTGTTTATTGTCTCATCATTTTATCTGATGCATTACTTCTCTAGGCCACCATGCTGACAGAGCGTTACAAGCAGGGCAAACTCCATGCCTACAAATTAATCTGCAGGATCATGAAGAGACGGCAAGATGTTTCTCCGAACACAGACTTCCTCACACACTTCTACAACATAATGCACCAGGGACTGATGCATCAAGACCAGGTGAGTTACAGATAATAGATTTTATCAAAAAAACATTACAATGCTTTGTGAAGTATTATAATGAACTATGGGGTTTTTCTAGGACATCGTGAACACCATTATAAAGCACTGCAGTCCCAGGTTCTTCAGTATAGGTCTACCTGGAGCCACCATGCTGATTCTGGACTTCATCATTGCTGCTTCGAGAGTCACCGCCTGCTCATCACTCAATGTAAAACCTCACACTTGTGCTCATAGTTTTGTGGTGCAAAATCCGCACACTAATTGTTGCCACAAATACGGGCTTTTTATCATTACTATTTCATTTGTAGTTTTTCTGAATTACTCCTCACTTTCTTGTCCTCCTCTTTCCCAGGCTCCAAGAGTAGAGGCGCAGATCCTGCTCGGTTCTCTGGTTTGTTTCCCAAACTTGTATGGGGAGCTTCCAGCCCTCCATCCCACCACAGCTGATGTGGTGCTCACCAAGTTTCCTGATGTAAAGGTAGGTTGATGCAAATTTAGTCTGGCTTGTACAAGTCAACGTTCCTCTGTCCTCTTGGCCAGTATTCATTTCATTCATAATATGATAATAAATCACTGTAGAATAGAGGGAAGAGGAAAAAATGTACAGGATTGTTTTTCAAAGAAACTTAAATCACATACTTAACATGAGCTACAACAACATCGGGGGCAAACTCTCTGAACTTCATTTACTTTGCCTGGAATCCAGGTCACTCTAAATCTAGCAACACACATTTCTGCTGTCCACGGGGGTCCAAGAAGCAAACTAATAGGCTAATGTCTCATCAGTCATTCTTGTAACAGACCTGAGCCATGGGAGTAATGTTGTTATTGTTGTTTGTGCTGTGTAAACTGCTAATGCCATGCGTGGCAGCATCTCAGGCCCGCTCACTTGTTTCTTACAAGGTAGAAGCTTGTTTTGAATCAGTAAGCGGTCATTAACGCTGACTGGAGAGAACAGGACAGTGAGCATGTGCGTTTGTCTGTCAGTGAGTGGAGTAGTCTATAGTGTGCCTGTGTGCCATACTTACTGCAGCTTGGATTATATGCATTAACACCTCAGAATTTCAGTTATCACTTTACTCATTATGTGGAAAACATGTCTGATCATTCTGTGTGCTCTTTGTCTGTGTACTCTTTGTTTTGTAGGAGCACATTATCAAAACCATTCTGACCTCTGCCAGGGATGAACCCTCTGCCCCTGCAAGGTAAGCTCTGTATTTGGATTTGTGTGGAAAATCTGATTGAACATAGTTCTTCAAGAAAATAAAAGGGGGATACAACTTTTGAACTTAAAAATGCTTTATTTGCTGTGGTGTAAGATTTGATTGAAAAGAACATTTGTATAAGCCACATTAATATAAATCAAGTGATAAAAAATCTACGCGCATATGTTGTGTGTCCATTGATTTCAATGTACATGATGTGTTTTAATCTATATATTTTAATTGTATTACAGCAACGGGTGTATGGTTTGCTCACTGTGTACGTCCTCTGTTTTGTTAGGTGTGTGGCTCTGTGCAGTCTGGGTATCTGGATGTGCGAGGAGTTGGTTCACGGGACTCACCATCCACAGATCAAAGATGCTCTCAACGTCCTCTGTGTGACTCTGAAGGTCAGTCACCAATCTTTTACTGCTTTGATGGCACCATAAAGGATACATCAAGACTTGAAAAGTCAGCCCACTAAGCCACTCATATATGAATCTTTATGGGTCACATGTCAGGACAGCTGAATCCAATGATGTCACTATTGACCTCCATCCACTCTGTGTCTGCAGCCCAAGGTGATCAGACCAAAAAAATGAATCTGTATCAAACAGACTGCTGATTGGCTGTCAGTCACACTGCAGTGATTTCACATCTGGGTGGTTGTTAACACCTCTCATCAAAAAAATCTGCGGCAGAAGACGGTAACAAATCAGAAATATTGCAGATTAATCGCACTCTGATGTCATAAATCACTGATTATACATCCATCCACACAGCTGCTAACAGCAAACCTCCGCATCAGCACATACTGTACATCCTGTAAATAAAAAAAAAAATGTTTCACATGTAAAATTTGAACTCAACTCTTGCTGCATATAAAATATTCAGCTTATGAGGAGGGAGAAAAAAACAGAAATAGGGAGGAGGTGAGCAGCCATACAGAGAGCAGGGCTGTGTGTGTGTGTGTGTGTGTGTGTGTGTGTGTGTGTGTGTGTGTGTGTGTGTGTGTGTGTGTGTGTGTGTGTGTGTGTGTGTGTGTGTGTGTGTGTGTGTGTGTGTGTGTGTGTGTGTGTGAGAGGTTAGGGAGTTGTGTGTACCTATAATGTAATGCTTTTTTTTTTTTTTTTTTAATGGATTAATCATAAAACCTGTCATTGGTACTGTTTTAAAAAAAAATCATAATCCTATAGGGCAAGATATTTCATCACTGTATTATTAGTGATACACTATATGTAATGGGTGCTATGGGTTTGTTATTGAATTGTAAAAGGGTGTTTTAGTGAAACCTTTGGCTGAACAATTTGTTTACAGGTCTCATGCTTCTTGGTTGTCCCTGTATCTGTTTGTCTCACACATTTTATGACATGGATAGAACAAAAATTTAGACTTTTTTTTTTTTTTTAATTCTTCAGAGTGATGGCAATGAAACAATAGAGCTGTTGTTCTTTTAATGTAGGTATAAACAAAAGACAGCATCGAGACAATTGAAAGGATTAAAAATCTTGGGGTGAGAGAAGTGGTTTACTTGAACACACCAAAACATTGCCTGTAAACCAGTTGGAGTTTTGGCGTGTTGAACATGGTGGAAGAGTAGAGAGCCAAAGAGCGATGGCCAAAGTGTGGAAATATTGTTGGAGATGAGTGCTGGTGTTGGAGAAATAGCCTCAGTATGGTTGTGGGTTTCAGGCCACTAGACTGGGAAGGCCAGTGGATCCAAATAAAACAGTCCAACATTCTCTGTCTCATCTTTGGCCAAGTGGCTCTAGATGAACACAGAAACACACACAGACACACACACATACCTTTTCAACCTTGGAATCCCTAGCTTGTGTATCGGCAGCCAATGGCCTGCTAAGATATTACAGCAACACACACTTGCATTCACTCACTCCTGGGAGCAAACCCTGGACTGTCAATATGTTTGGTCCTCCTTCAGATAGGAGACTAATCCAAAGGGAATGCTGCAAGCTGTGTCAGAGCCACACACTCTTCTGGTATCACACATACACACACATCTTGTCCACTTTTGCGTCACTTGCCTCATACTAGCAGCCAGTAGCCTCAGACATGGGCAAGATGACACACACACACACACACACATACAAACACACACAAAAAAACCTTGAGGTATTGTCATATTTCCATGTAGAGCCAATTCTTCCTGTTGTCCTCTTTATCCTTCTGAGTTATTGGTTATTTTTTTTATTTGTGATGTCGCTGATCCTCATTATGGCCTGAATGATCTGCAAATGTGTCTTTTTACTTTGTTGAATCTTTTAGCAATGATTGACAGTTTTAGTTATTTAATATTCAAGAAGAATTAAAGGAGGATTGGTGGTCAAAATGAAAAGCCACCTCTTGGGAACTTGATTTATTATGTTTCATTGCATCCTTTTTATAAGTCATACAGGTGTGTAGTAAGACGTAAAGTTACTTTAATAACATTTAATTGTATCAGAGGTAAACCATCTAATAATCTACCATTAAACCATCTAATAATCTACCATTTAAAACAAAAAAAAATTACTTATTTATAGACCAAAATTGTAGGGGAGTAAGATTTTCCCCCCACATCATGTAAAATCATATTTTTTTTACAAAATTAATTGTTGCAGTGTAACCAACAGCTTGAACTAGAGAAGGGACGTTGACTGTACCGATCAGGGGTGAAATTTCTGAACATTTTTGCCACAGTTTCTGTCAGTATTTCACTCTGCAGATGGTTCTTGGATACATAAGTCATGGGCTTCTGTGCTTTGAAGCTTGTGATTACAACAGTGCACAAAATCTACGGTATGGTTCATATCACGGTTTGGTGGTCACGGTTTATGGTTCGGTTCAGTGTATGTTACTAACTGGGAGATTATACTGCTTAAAACATTTGCACTGGCAAAGCAAAGTCTGTGATGTGACATGACTGCTTTGTACTTACACCTGACATGTTATCAGTTGATGCTTCATTGATGATTGCCACTGCAGCCCCTTAGTTGTCCATGTTCAAGTATGTTGAAATGCATGGGGTCATGATGGCAAAGTAAAATGTATTTTAATTCATTGTGGTATCTCATTTTGTGTGGATTTTTTTTTAATTTACAAATTACAGAGATGATATAATTCTTTTACAGACAATAATTGAAGACAGGCTAGAAAATTATGTGAGGTACCAAATATAGTCCCTGATAAACAGGCCTATTGCTTTAAACTTTAGTGTAAAAAAGATAAAAGTTGTTCCTTTTAAGTGTACCTTTGAGTCATCAAATTATTGGAGTCACCTTTAATGTCAACATGTGGTTTTCTTATATTTATTGTCTTGATTAGAATCACAATATGTTACCTATATTTGTGAATTCACATGAATACTTTGTGTGCTTCTCATCACCCAGTATCCTAACAAGAATGTAGCACTGGTAGCATCAGACATCCTTCACCTCCTGATCAGTCATGTGGATTATCTCCAGAAGTTTCCCCCTGACACTCCAAAGAAGATCGTAGAGGTAAGAAATCAACAACTATTATTGCTAGTTTGGTTTGGTATTTGTCTGGTCTTTACCAGCGTGCCCATACAGCCTGGTGGTTTATATAATCTATCACTTTATCACAACCAGGGGCACTGTAGAGGGGAGTAACGTTGGGATGTTTTTAGGGGCCTGTGACAGACAGGGTCCTACAACATTCTTGGTTGTGATGTGGTGAGGCCCATAATCCCTGATGGCGCCCTGATCATATTTACAGCATGGTTTTATGTTCTTCTTTTTCAGATTTTGATTGCCACCATTACATACTTGCTGCCTTCCACTGAATCTTCTCCTCATGAACTGGATAAGAGGGTAACATACATATTTTCAGTCTAATTTCCTCAGTATAATTCTCATGCTAGTTATAAAGTAACCTTGTATCTGTGCACACCTGTCTGTGTTGCAGCTGGTGGTGTCCCTCTTGTTGTGTCTGCTGGACTGGGTGATGGCTCTCCCTCCAAAAACTCTCCTTCAGCCTGTGCAAACAAGAAGCCCCCCAGAAAAAGACCAGCCAACCAAGACTCTGCTTAGCTGTATTTATAAGGTACGCGTAGTGTTAAAGACATCATTCCTCAGCCTGTGAAATACACACAGACACTCTATCTAGGTATTATTTAAGTCCAGAGAAGATGCTTTCATTTTACTTCGCCTTGTGTAAATTTTAAACTAGTAATAAAAATACTAGGATGGAAGATTGTCCTTCTACTTCTATTACTTCTGTTTCTTCATCCTCAGTCATTTTGGGGCTTTATTGAATAACAAAAGGTCACAATGAAGTGGGGGATGGAGCCTTTTTTAAAGAACATTGGCCAACTTTGTCTGAAACCATTCCTGATTTCACAGTTTTAAAGACACATTTAATATTGGCCGCAGCACTGAGGTTTGACTTGCTTTTGGCTTTTAAATAGAATCGATTATCATTACAGGGAATCTAAAAAACTTGAGCAACAAAACCAGTTAGCTCTAGATTAATATACTCATATGGCTGCTATTACCAAGACAAATATAAGAACATTATGACAAAAATAGACACAGACTATCACAGGTGGTTCATCTTCTGTTTTTTTCAAACTGTCTAGGTGCTACATGGTTGTGTGTATGGAGCCCAGTCTTTCAACATGCCTAAGTATTACCCACTGCAACTGTCGGACCTGTTAAATCCAGACTATGACCCCTTCCTGCCATTAGAGAGCCTCCGAGAACCAGAACCTCTGCACAGCCCGGACTCTGAACGCTCCAGTAAACTCCAGCCTGTCACTGAAGGTATTTCATGAAACAACAGAGACACACTTTGCATATCTGTAGATACTTACACATTAATTATCATTTGTCCAGTTTACGTTTCAGCTGGGATTTACATACTCTGCTTTTGACATGACCAGAAATATAGAACGGATAGATGTGACTGGAAAGAGAATAAAAATATGATGCCAAGTCAGTATATTTGCCATCCATGTAAAGTAGGGACAGAAGTGCAAAAAAATAAAAATGTTAAATTTTGAACAAATGACCCAGACTTGTCCACCAAACCTCTGCCACTTAAGAAAAGATGGGACAAGTAAGGCATGTTTGTGCGCCTGTCTGTATTCGTGGGCGGCTGTGTATTGTCCCCTGCTGTGGCCCACCAGAAGATAGTGTCTGGTCTAATGACTGGAGCACCTTTACAGACCATGCTTCTCTTCTCTTCTCTCCTTTTCTTTTCTTTTCTTTTTTTTTTTGGTATCTTCTTGTCCTCAATTCCCATCGTCTTTTACTCTTGGAACATCAACCTCTGCTAATATTCCTTGTGCGTCTTTCATTTCGTTGTTTCTCCGTTGTCTTTCCGTTCCTCTCCTCTTTTCCCGATCTCCTCCTGTGCTCTCCTGAGGTTCAGGGAGTCGTTGAGAATGTCTGGTCAATACATATCTGTACTCCACACACAGCCCTGTCAATATAGGGCTGGTGGAAAGTGTATGTCTGTCACAGTGTGGGTGTAATGATGTTGATTAGCCAGGATCTGCTGGCAGCACAGTGTGATGGCATTGGCTTCCTCTCAGCATGAGGCAAACTATGTACTGAAGCTGGAAGTGTGTTTGCACTTCTGACTAGTTTTTACCGCAATTCCTGAAGTTCAGCAGTAACTCGGAGCCGTCATACAAAGTCAGAGTAAGAGTTTTTGGTCTGTGTAACGATAAGTGTGGATAAACATAATCCTTTTTTTGAATAAACTGAGTGTATTTGTCTTTTTTTTTAGCTTTTTGTGATTTATGCAGTAACTGTTTGTGGTTTTGTCTCCCTGCAGTTCGCAGTCGTATTCAGCAGGGCCTGGTCTCTATCGCAGCAAGAACAGTCATCACTCACTTGGTCAACCATCTAGGACATTATCCAATGTCAGGAGGGCCTGCTACTCTGTCTAGTCAGGTACTGTTGTGTTTTTGATTTTTATTTGTTGGTAAAAATGTAGTATAGTATAATGTTGTGTATTCAGCGATGAATTCTTGTTTTCTTCAAAAAGTTTTAAAACCATTTAAATAGATCGCAACATTTTGCTTGAATGAAGTGTCATGTTTTTTCAGGTGTGTGAAAACCAAGACAACCCATTCTGTGACAGTGCAGATCTTGGACCGGAGCTTTTCCATTCACCAAACCTCCAGTTTCTTGTCTTGAACGGCTCAACGCTGCTCTCAGTGTACCAGGTAATCTTAACTGGAATTTAGTCGCCTCATCAAAAACAGCTTTCATGATTTACACCCAAATCACAGACATGCTGATTTTATGTACACCTTGTCTAATTTTAGTGACGCTGACCCCATATCAGCTGCATTTTTAGTCATTTGAGAGATTGACGTGAGTTAATAAGCTCCATGGCAGTGGATGGCAGAGGTTCACTCTTAGCTCAAAGCCTGTTTAGCTTTAAGGCTAACAATTCCCCTCACCCTAATGGCCGTAATCGATTGTGAGCTAAATAAAGCAGCACACCATTTGCCCATTTTAAGGAATATAGGTTGTATACCTCCAACAGCCATCAGGCTATATAACTCTTATGTAAATAATTTATAACTTTTATAGGCATATTCCGTGAGACAATCGACAATTGAATTTCCCTTTGGGGATCAATAAAGTTCTTCTCATTCTTATTCTTATTCAAAGCTTTTGACAAAAGAAGATGCACAGATCTGATCAGGTATCACCCAGGTTTGTGGTTCTGGTTCAGATTCACTTTAAGTTGCTGTAAAATATTACAAAATTAAGGCTGTCTGTCCCAAAGTAACACTTATTTTTCCTTAAATTCCATGTCTCTTTTATCTCCACCCTAGATTAGCCATGGCTGCGTCTCTCTAGACTTAATCCTGCCATGATCACTCTTAAATGGCACGTTCCTTCAAAAACACTTCCAGACAGCTCAGTTGACAAGTCAACTGAAAGATGCACTTTGTGTTAGATGATATTAAAATACTTCTAAAGTACACAGAGTTTGAGTTACCACCTACAAGATGAGTATACAGGTGTATCTTATTAAATAGATGCCAGGGAGCAACCACACTCAAAAGCCAACAGAGCATTATTATTTTAGAGTGCAAATCACCAAAGGTCTGTGGGTGAAACCACAGCACTTGCCAAATGTGACTGCAGGCCAGCTGACATAAAAAAACAACTTGAGTTTTAGGGACATTTTTAGGTCGGCATACTAAGACCAGCCATTTACCTTACTGTTACATACGTTAACACTCGGGCCTACAGAGCTCCTGAAAAATGCAAAGGCTGTTGCATTAACCAGAGACCACCAGGCATCAGTGAGAAATTGGGATTAACTTGACATGACTGCATACCATATTTACACTGTTTGGTGTTTTATAATATACTCTTGCATATTTCTTAATGTGTTACAGTGTCATTCTTTCAAAAATTAGAATAAACAATGAAAAAAAATGATGGGTACTTCTCAGGGTTGCCTCTGGCATCAGCATCAGAAGATACGGTTCAAATGGGTGTATGTGACATATAAAAAATACTTTGAATGTTCAAAGGGTAGAAAGTGCTTTCGAAACAAGGTCCATCTATTGCACTTGTTGTTTCCTACATGGAGGTGAAGCTTTCAGACCACACTGGTATAGCAGAGCAGCAATAATTTGGATAATATGTCCTTAAATTAAGGTCATGAAATGTATTTGTTTGATCACCAAATCATGACACCTGTAAGAATTGCTTTAATCCTTGGTAAGGAGATCACAACCGTTTTTGGAAATGGAAAAGAATAGGATATTAAACATGTCGTTCAAAATGGGATTTATTGTGATCGACTGCTGCAGTGTTTGTTTTCTATTTTCTGAATTTCTGAGCTGTGTGAGATACTGAAACTGAAGCCCCACGTTTCACTGATTTGATTTTCAAAATTTCATTTGTAACATACTATAGGGTTTAACCAGTTACAAAAAGACGCAGCAGCTGGGACAACAATACCTCAGTTTGACTTTAAAGATTGATATCTGACCTTTTTAGTATGTTTAGTTTGTTAAAAATTGTCCCTTTTCTTTTAATATTTTCCAGATCCGGTCAGAGTCTGGCGTCCCAGGAGGTGGAATGACAGCTGGTTTGTCTTCTGCCCCTGCCTGTGTCCGTGTCATCATCCGAGATGTAGCTGGGAAACACTCCTGGGACTCTGCTGTTCTCTACGGACCTCCTCCATGTACCCCCAGCAGCCCAACACACACTTTTTTGTCACACACACAATCCCCCCACAGTGGGAATCTTCATTTACATACTCCACCAGGAGGCCCGCTGAAAAAGATGGAAGTGAAGACAGAGGACAGCGAAGAAGAGAGACAGGGGGAGAGAGAAGCAGAGGAGGTAGGAACAGGGATGGAGGCTGAAAGGCAAGAGGAAGAGGAGGAAGAAGAGGAGAGGAATGTCAGTGAAGAGAGGAAAGGAGGTGAAGAGGACGAAGAGGTGCAGGGAGAGGAGAACAACGAGCAAAGGATGGACGGGGTGGAGGATCAAGGGGAGTCTGGCTTTGAACAACCTCTAGCTCCACCATCGGCCAAGCGGGTTTGTCGAGAGGCAGTGCCAGCGTGGGATTCACTGAGTGATGGAGAAGATGCACTGGATGAAATGCTGCAGTATCTGGGATACTCCAGTCCTGAGTGTCTACAGAAACCAGGTAAAGAAGGCTCAAGCACATCTTAATTTGTACTCTGAGGCTAAAGTGTTTTAAGTGAAGATTCAAAGTTTCAGCATTATGTCTTCTTAAATGCGAATGACAGTGGATTTTTGACTGTCTAAAAATAAAGTTGTCTACAGCAGTTTGCCGTCTGATCTGTGACTTTAGGAACGCCACTCAACATCCCGGCGTCTGCTCCAGCGTGTGTCTCAGAGAAGCAAGAAAACGACGTGATCAATGCCATCCTGAAGCAGAACGCTGCTGAGAGAGAGTTCGTCCTTCATGTACGTGGTGTCCTTATTCATATAATTAGAAGGAACTGATCTTCCTTAATGTTAGAAGTGTATCCTCTAGCATGTCCTGCTGTCAGCACTCAGATAGGTTACATATGAGGCATTCACCATGTTGAATTCTGCTCTACAGCATTGCTAAGGAGATGAGGGTGAAAAGCAGTCTGATTTTAGTCAAACACTTTTTTAGTTTCATGCCTTTTTTTTCCTTTAGTGTAACTTCTTGACAACAGACACTGTCTGTTTGACTGGTATTTGTTTTCTTCACTCCTTCCATTCATGTCATTTGTTGGACGTTTCAGAGAGGTGAGGAGCTGAACATGAGGGCGGTGCAGCAAACTGAACCAGAGACCCAGACACCACAATCAGCCTTCTACTACTGCAGACTGCTGATCAACATACTGGGACTCAACTCCTGGGAGAAGAGGTATGAGTACACACGGATGCATCCACAAAAAAACATTGGAGGGTCCTGTGTCTATATGTGATGGTTTTTGGTGGTTTATTCCACTAAACTTGGCCCTCTAATCTTTGGCAGTTAGTACCAAACATTAGTTTTCTCCATAACCTACCACTAAAAAGTGGTAAAGTATCTTATTTGACTACTCCAACTGGTGTTCTCAAGACAGAATGAGTCAAAAATATAGATTGGAATTAAAATATATTTTTTTCGGGACTTGTATCATTATCCCCAGAATGGCAAATCTTATCCTGATCAATTTTTAGCCCATATTGTCTTCCCTACTTGCAGCTGCTTTTCCAGAGTAACTGATAGCTTGAATTTAAGATCATAATTTTTTTGTCCCACACATTATCAGTGAATATTTTGTGTGTTGGTGGAGTAAAAGAAAAAGCAAGACAAAAATGATTTTGTGACACTTGACCAGATATATGCAGATATACACATCTCGATCCAGCCTCTTTTTGAGACCAGTGTTAATTGGTTACAACATGCAGCAGCACAAGCCAGTTTTAAATTTATTTTTCCTGATCACAGAACATTATCCTTTAGATGCAAATGTAACAACATTACGCACCAAGCATTACTCTGTCTGAGTTAGACACACTTTTCTCTTCCTTTATCATCTTCCTCCTAAAATTGACCTGTGTCCACTCAGAACTGCCCACCCGGCAGCTCATCCTAAAGTGGATTTTTGATCATTAAAAATGGACACAGCAAAAGTGGCACATAGAACAGTGTGGTTGTTTTGTTTTTTGTTTTTTTGTGGTATTTTTCCATTAACTTGATGACTTTGTGTCCCAATTCATGTCGTAAAATTCAGCTGAACAAAAGTCACACTTTCAAATTAGGTTTGTGCAAACTGTATTGTTTGAGAGCTGCTGTTCAGATACACTGAAACATCTTTGTCTCTGTGCTTTTTTGTTCTCTTTTATGTCTTTTCATTTTATCACTTTGTCTTGATGGTAACAAGAGTCTATGATGAAAAACACTAGATATATTTATTAACCATGCTGGGGACATCCCAGTATACTGGGAAAGATTCATAGAAAAAGCTGTATTTGAAACCAAAGAAAATAGATTTGAACATAAACTCTATTATATTTTGTCCAGAGTTCCCTGTTATATAAGTCTCATAGAAGATGTAATTCTCCTTCTCTCTAGAACAAACCGAGTACATCTTGGATGCAAATGGGACAAAAATTTTATTCATAGAAATATTTTGTGCTAATTAGACACTATGGTCGTCCATTCAGACGGCTCAGCATTTCATCTTCTCAGTGACTCTGTGCTGAAATACACAATGTCAAGGTATCACTTTAAATGCATCTGGCCAGCTAATGGACACTCATCACTCTTTATACTTTATCCAGGGAATTACACCGCCTGCATTCAGCCTGCACAATAGACTTCTTAACACACCGCGATCACGAGCATGTGTTGCTGTGTGTCTTTGTGTGTGTGCATGTAGAAGAGAGTGTGATAATGAGTATGATACTCTATTGATCAAACTCAACCCATTTGGAGTTAGAATAAAAGGCAGTAGTTGAGGTAGAGAATGACGGCGGGAGAAGTGGCATATCAGAAAAAAACATGATGAATGAGCCACATGAGGGAGAATCAAAAACAAAACACATCAAATCTAACAAGAAAAAGTGAGTGAATGTGCAGAGAGTGAGGAAGAAGAGGCTAAAGATACTCTGATGTTGGGGAGAAAGAGGATAGACAAATGAGAGTCCCTTTATGTCACTCCAGGTATTCATATGGGACATTACAGACACTCAGATACTGACAGTCACCTGTGTGCATGTGTGTGTCCCCTTTTATGCTTTTCCCTATAATCCAGGGTGTAAATGGAGTCTTTGAGAGCAGAGAATGAGGCCATTACCAAGTATCAGTTTAATAAAGAGCAAATTGCTGTCTCTCTCTCCCTCTCTTTATCTCCTGCTCTTTCACTCTTTTTTTCCCCCTCTCAAAGAGTGAAAAGAATGACACTTCATTATCAGTCCACTCTGTGCCTCGCTGCTCAAGTCGTGGTTTTATACCACATTGTGGAGGTCGGTGGCTGGTCGAGGGGACATTTTGAACGGCCTCTGAACTTGGTAGTACGTTAGAAAAAAAGACCTTTGTGTTGATTAAAAAAATAGAGCTTTGTCATATATCTCGCCGTGGTTGTTCAAGAAAAAATTGGGATGTCTACGTTGTGTAATTTCCTTTCTATAGGCCATTTTTCTATAATTAAATGGTTGTCACATCTCACTATTCTACATGATGGCCAGTTTTCACAGGGCTCTAATTCTTTTACCATAAGAAATCACTCACCTTTTAGCATGATCCGATACAATTTCACACAAACCCACTGTTTAAGAATTCCTGGGGCTTAGGTGTTCCTTATATTTTAATAAATTCATTTACAAACATGAGAGGACGAAATTTGTTGTACAGTTTCCACAGACACCCACTAACACTTAAGTTAATTGATTTAAAGAACTATCATCACCTTATATCAACAGAAACTGAAAATGTAGGAGCCTCGTAAAAGTAGAGTTTATCATATAACTTTTAGTGTTGGGTTTCAACAGCTTCAGAATGTTTTGGCTGTCCAGTGTTTGTGTTGCTCTAAAACCTGTAGAAATTGTTAAGCATCAATGATGACATCCCACATGTCTAAACTACTCACTTATGCATCACAGTACCATCAGGGATGCAGGCTTTTGATCTGTGTACTGGCAACAAGTGAAATGGCCCCTCTGCTTTGTAAAGTGAAGAGTCCATGATTTCCAAAAAGAATACTAAGTTTTGATTTATGGGACCACAGGACAGTTTACCATTTGTTGATATTTCTGAAGTAAACTTCTGGTACATGAGTAAGGTTTCTCATCCTGCTCCTGGATCAAGGCTTAAACATGAGGATAAGACCCCCAGTGTCATGGTCTGAAAAGTGACCATGCAAACTTGCAACTATTAGCTGAATCATAATGTGGTTGTCATAGTAACAGGCTGAAAATTCCCAGTTTTCTACCGTAACACCATCTGTTACTACTGTTGCTAGCATACACAGTATAACAACACAAAACAGAAACAACCACAAACATGAACAATTCTAAAGTAGTTATCATTATAACAATTTGCACGTGCTGACCTTCTTGTGATTTTTGATCCATGTTGTGAACCAGGAAGTGGCTGACTATCAATGTTAGTTGTGATCTGATGTAACTGTGATCTGAGTTCATAATTTGCCTTCTTATCTCTGGCTAAAGACACTGATTAATTGAACTTATTAATTTTTTTTCTAAATTTTGATTTACATTTTCGGCGACCATTGTGGTCCACCATACCTCTAACAAAGATAAGGTTGAAGTTGTTTGCAAACCACCATTTTTTGTCAGCATTTGGGGTTGTTCATTTCCCTAAGTAGTTTATAGGCTTTTTGACAGGAATGTGTAATCTTGGGGTTTCTAAATTGAAATTAAATGGAACACGTGATCTCTTTTCAGATAACCCCCTCCCAGGGTATCTCAGGAGCATTTAGACTGAATTTGTTCATGTTTGTGCCAAAAGTCCACTTACACTCTATGATCAACAGATAATTCCTAAAGCTTCTCCTCATATGATTCCTAACCTCTACATAATTTTTCTTTTTTGTCTTGCAGGAGTAATTTTCATTTGTTGAGGAAGAACGAGAAGTTACTCAGAGAACTGAAGAACCTGGACTCACGGCAGTGGTAAGAAATAACAAAAAGTCATCTATGTCTACTACTCCGGCTTACTTTCTCATCAGCTAGGATTCTGTTGTTTTTCCTAAAAAGTTGTACCATTTAAGATTATGGTGTTCATTTTAAATGCACTTGAAAAAGTTATCTACTGAGGGTTTATGCAATACAGTGATGGTAATGCTGCATCCTGATCTAACACTTGTGGTTTGGACCCCTAACAGATTCCAGCTTAAGTTTGTGAAGGAATTACACAAAATTATGTCTTGACCCAAAAGCCTGAGTGATGCAACTGTGAATGTTTTTGCTTCCTCTAAAGTTGTGGTTAACTGAATCTCAAACAATTTTGGAAAACTTAAATGAAAGATGGTTGGGGATGTGAGATTGAGCGCAATCTTTGGTTCAAATAGCACAGAGGGAACACCTACCCATTCAAATCCTGACAAATAGGCTTGGTGCATGGTTTCTCTTTCACTGTCTGCTCCGGATATTTTGCACAGGACAAAGCTATTTGAGCACAGCCTCTCCTAAAAACTCTGAGGTAATTGAGTAGGGAAAGAATTGAGGAGGAAATGCATGGAGAGAACATTGTCAGAATTGGTCGAAATAATGTTATCTTCTAAAGGACCTGTTTTCCAGTTGATGTCTTGTTGGTAATAAAATGCTTCTTTCTCCTCTAGCCGTGAGACTCATAAGATTGCAGTATTTTATGTGGCTGAGGGGCAAGAGGACAAACACTCCATTCTAACCAACACAGCGGGCAGCCAGGCTTATGAAGACTTTGTTTCTGGACTTGGTTGGGAGGTAAGAACATGGTTCTACAATAATTGTTCATCAAAAGTCTAGGTTTAGAAATGCCCCCGTAATGAAGGATAGGATTACATCTTTTATCTAACAGGTCTTATCTTATCTTGAATTTCAAGTTTACAGCAAACAAAGACTCTCCTGTTTATAGGCTTCAGGCAGTAATAGGCTGTGAATGGAGTTAGTATAATCAATGTTTTCAATCTGTTGCTCATGTACTTATGTCTGTGTATGCTCGCCCCTAAGGTGGACCTGACCACTCACTGTGGCTTCATGGGAGGTCTTCAAAGGAATCGCAGCACAGGCCTGACTACACCTTATTACGCCACCTCCACTACTGAGGTCATCTACCACGTCTCCACTCGCATGCCCCATGACCAGGACCACAACCTCACCAAGAAGGTAACACTCTCTACATAGCAATCATCCACAGGGTTTTATTGAAAGGGAGACAACAAATTTCAAAGGGTTTTTTTGTATTCTATTCAACAAGTGTAGGATTGAATGACCTTCATTCTCTCTTCTCTCTCTAAATTTTTCCGAATCTGGGTGTAAAATATTTATTGTGATAAGAAAAAGCAACTAATTTTGCAGTAAATGACTGTTACATAACTAGCTCAGTAATGCTGCATTCCAGTTGTACTTGGAAGTCGGCATTTCCGAGCTCCGAGTCAGTCAACTCCGAACAGAGAAAGCTCTCATAATGTATTATTTATTTGCACTTCTGTTTTGTTTTTGTGAAATTGAATAAGTGGTTTATGTTGTACTGCCCAACATCTAACTGTGGACACAGTGCTATAGTGTTTGTAAGAGTAAAATACTGTATTATGCATTGTTTACAACTGGTATAGCTAATAACAACTGACAACGGCTAATGACAGCTGACAATTGTTAACAAGAGTGAACAACAGGTAACAGTAGGCGTCCATCTTGGTTTTCCAACTTGTTTACTGGAACACCGTCAACCCAGGTGTAACATCATTCCCAGCTCCGACATCCAACTTCCGAGGTAACTTGAATGCAGCACAAGACTATAGATTATATTTTGGTTAGAAGTTACTCTTCAGAGTAATTGAGAGTAGCAGTGTCTGTTAAATGACATTAAAATATAGTGATGAAGTTTTGGCTGTTTTTTACTCACCTCATCCAGCTTAAATGAAGTTCCATGATGTTCTTTAGTGTCAAGGATATGCAACAACAATTAAGATGGTACCAACATTACCACTGTGTTGATGAACAATTCATAGTTTCACCACTTTAGTCCTGAAATACAGGTCACATCATGTGTCTGATCTCTGTGCAGTCACCCTGTTTGACTGCCGTAATGCTAAAACTGTTTAAGTACCCAGATGCATCACTTTGGCTGTTTGTCCTCCAGGAGACAGAGATTAAGTTGTATGGTTGTTTCTGATTCACCTCAACCGGAAAGCTACGTAATATGCGCAGGCATGTGGATGTGAACCTGCAGGGAGGAATTAAGGCTGGTGGTTTTAGCTCTGCTAACGGTAGTCACACTATAAAAAACCAGTTTGTCATCTTTTACCCACAGAAATTTCAGTCTCTGTTTCAACAGCTGCTTTGGAGCATCCCTACTTTGTGCATTGTCACTGTCAAACTAAATGAGTTTGTCTCTGTTTTTGTCATTGTTGATATCAAACGGCTTTATAACTGAAGAGCAGCCCTTTGTGTCGTGTGAATCACACATAGATTTGTGTTTATCTGGACAGTTTTAAAGAAAATGATGAAAATATACAGACCTTTAATGTCTTCAGCTTTACTCCTTTTTATTCAGTAAGTGGAAACAGGCAGTGAGACAAGGGAAGGAAAAAATCATCTGTAGTTATCTGTCTGTTCTCTATGAGATTCCTCTTTTCTTTCTTGCATGGGATGACATTGCGAATGAGCAGAGTTTGCTGCACACACACCTAGACACACAATCTGTTGATGTTTAAAAAACACAAATAATTCTCAGCAGCAATCATGTCCCTCTTTGTGCGTGTTGTGGGCTCGTATCAGTGTCTAGGCAGACAGGTTTATTGTCTGTATGTGTGTTTCATTTAGTGTGTGCGTGTGTGTGCACACCTGTCAACCCCAAGGCACTGGGCGCTCTGCACATGGCCTTAATGTCCCTTTAATCAGATCATACTTCCTGCTTCTCGGCCTATCACATCGCTGCAGGCTCCTGATTGGATTATCAGCGCCTGGTCCGACACCATCCGTCTCCCTGATCAGCTGATGGCCCCATCAAACACGCATACTCAAATACACACACACATACACACACAAAAACACACAGAGACGATACTAAACCTGTTTAACTTTACTCCAACACACATCCACAAAGAGCTTTATTCACATCTGTCTGCACAAATAACCACAAACTATAAATTTGTGTTAATGTCGGACACAGTAACACACACGCACAGGCTTGCACACACACACACATACACACACACACACACACACACAGACAGGCTTCCAACAGTTTGACAAATGTGTCCACAAAGAGGTTAAACTGACAGACATACACATGTCCATACTGGCAGGCATTTATCATCCATCCTTCTGTCACACACACTCGCACACACAGACACACACATACACACATAATGCAGGGGGATTTTAGTCTGTTACAGGGCGTTTGTCCAGTTTTCGCTCGTTGCTGTGTGTTCTACTCCCTCTCATACCACGTCTGCTTGAAACATGATTAAAAGGATTAAAGCTGAATTACACCAAGTGAATGTGGCATCAGAATTCAATGTAGCATCACTCCTATCATTAACAGAGACTTTAAAGTGAGTATTTCGAGCACATCAACCTTTAAAACTCCACTCTCCTTTTCTTTTCCCTGTTGTTCTGATATTTAAAGTTTAGTCACATGGAAAGGGCCTCTTTAAGAGATTTTTGGAACAGTGCTTGAAAATCTTCCATCTTTACGTTTCTCCATATAATACATCAGTCTTATGTTCGGCAAATTGAGGACATGTCAGGCTAATTAAACCTAAAAACTTTTTTCTTAACGACATTTTGTTCTGCAAAACTCCAGCCAAACGGATTACCCTCAGATTTATTTTAAAGATGTTTGTGTCCAAACAAAATGACATTTCATTAACTACACCATATAATGCGTATCAACAGCTGTTTTGGATTGACAGATTTCATAAGTTATCAGACGCTTCACCAGTAGAGTCACACTTGAGGGGTGCAATGTTTCATAAGTAATCAAGACTGAAAGATACATTTGAAAAAAATAAAATAAAAAACATCATAAGTCAGTGGGTATTTGGTGGCTTAAGTGTTTTGGATAAGAACTGCAGACTCAATTCAGATTGACCAATAAACTCTGGGTCCCAAAGTTGAACACTAACATTAAAATTAAGGTTATGATTCAAAAATTATTTAGTTTTTTAAAATGCAGTAGAAATAAAACATGTATGTACTGGATATTTTAATTCACATTTAATGGTATCATGATATGTCATTGTTTATTTTGGGTGTATTTTAAAGTATAGAAAGTACTTAACTTGTTAATATTGTTACCCTCAGGAATAATGAGTTTAAACAAAAAAAATATAAGCTGAATACTAATATCTGATCTTTTCTTAACTATTTGTTGTGCAGGTCCAGAATTTTCAGACAAATATGTTTTTAGAGCTTCTTGTTAACAACAAGCTTATCACACCTACTTATAAGCTGATCATAGACAACAAAGCTACCAAAGCTGATATGATTGTGACCCACAGGTTTCTGGGAGTATTTTTATTAAAAGGCCATTAAAGGGAATTGATTTAAAATGACAGATATAAGTTGTTTGAAATTTTGAAGCAAATATCTCTTGTCCCGCACAGACAAAAACATTGACAGGGGGGAAAAAATAGAAGGCTAATTCTAGTGAAAGACCCATGGACAAGGAAACATCTGTAATGTGTTTGTCTCAGGGCCAAGGCCCAGAGTGTCAGAGTCCTAAAGGCAGACAAGCACAGAGTCATGTGTATGTGTCAGGTGCGCATGCTTGTGTGTGTGTGTTTGTGTGTTTTGGCAGACATCAAGGTTAATGACAGAGCTGTCACCAGTCCTGACTGTAACCACCGAGTGAATGTGAACCACACACAAAGACACACAAATAAACAGACACAGCACCACACTTGATCCCATCTGTCTTCCAGCCCATACTCCATCTCTCCACAGCCTCACTCTGTCTTCTTGTCCACTCTCCATCTTCACACACTCGCTCTATCACCCCAGGGCCACCTATAGCGCACACACACAGTCACAAACCTCGGGTTTATGATGGATACATCCCATCCAACCCCTGTCTGGTGGTATGATTGGCTTTGTTTGTGTTGTTTCTACTACAAAAGAACAAAATGCCAGTTGTTAATTCATTGCTATCCGATTAATTTCTCTTTCTTTGTTTTTCTACAGCTAAGGCACCTGGGTAATGATGAAGTCCACATCGTTTGGTCAGAGCATTCCAGAGACTATCGTCGCGGGATCATCCCCACAGAGTTTGGAGACGTGCTCATCGTCATCTACCCCATGAAAAACCACATGTACTCCATCCACATACTCAAAAAACCTGAGGTAAACACAGAATTAAACACACAAACTCCCATTTGTCAGTGTCAGCTGGGTGTTAATCTCTGCATGACAGTGGCTCTCCACTTATTACTGCACAAAGTGACATTTTAACCCATCACTAGAACTTAGGATAATTCAGTCTCCCTCTGGTCTAAACAGAAATAATGAAACATCTCACCTGTTGTGAAACTGTAATTGTAGCAGATCAGAATGATTTTTAACCATGCATGTCATCCATCCAATCTTTCTGAGATTTCATTTTTTAGCTCTTTGCTCTGTCTGAATTCACAACAATTGCTAGAAGCTACAACAAACAATGAACCATGACGTTTATTTTATGTTGTTTTATACAGGATAGTGTGGTTAGTTTTAGTGATGTTGCTTCAAATTGGCTCCAGCCTTATCTTCAAGTTTGTATTGAAGGTAATACACTTTTGTCGCAATTGAATATACTGAAATAAGTGAGTGTGTGACACAAAAAGGCCAATTGTGATTTGGCTGAGATGAAATATATTTGGTAAGTAAATGAAAAATAGATTTTTTGTCTACCTGTTATATTGGCCAGTGAGTTTAACTGTGGATTTCAGACCCATTGTGCGTGGTAAAGCCTATTCATGTGAATTTGGTTTAAAGCTAATTATTGAGCCTGAGACATTCAGTAAAAAGATGATTAGTCATCAAAATCAAACAGTTCAGGAACATTGTACAAGGAGTGATGCAACTCCTGACACTGACATTAAATGTATTTATATGCTGAATAATAGGACCTGTTAAAATGTAGGACATCACATAAGATGTCAACATAACAGCTGTTTAATTTTATAAAAAGTAAAGATTATGTTGTTGAAAACGACCCAGTTTTAGTTTTTACTTGGCTCAAAACTTCTGTCCATGTAGTTAGGAAGCGTTTGATCAGTAATCCAATAAAAATTCCTGATATTCTTATCTAGGCAAAGGTTTGGAGTCAGAGCTGGATTTCAAGAACCAAACATGTAAAAACTTATAAGCAAAGTGTGCCATTGTTGATTAAAAAAACAAATAAATAACCATGCATGCAAACAAATAAAGATATCAAGGTTTAGAATAAGTTAATGCATATTTTGTCCCCTTAAAGAAACCCTTGAAATACCTGGCATTGTTAGACATTTTTGTTTAAAGAAAGTGTGAGAAATTTTCAAATAATTATATTTAAAGTTATAATTATATAATTATATATAAAAAGTTTGTCACTGTATCAGGTTGATTCTCTCCTTTTCTTTAAAAAAAAAAAAGTAGAAAAGTAAGTCAAATTTTCTAATGCTGCTCTTTCTCCAAACAAACTGAGGTCTGGATATGAAGAAAAAAAAGGATTAAGATTGTGAACATGCCTGATATTTTAGTGTATGATTTTATGTGTCCCACCAGGCCTCTGGGATGTTCACTCAGATTGACAAACAATCCTTGAGAGCGTCTTGCCTTGAGTCTTGCTACTCTGGTTAATGTTTCAGTCTAAAACACACAGACATTAATACCACAGCACTGATAGCATAATTCCATTTTAAACAAGAACTAACTCAATAAAACGCTGCTTTTTCTCTATGACATAGATACCACAGCACTAATAACATAACCTTGTTCTGTTTCATTCATTCTACGAGCAAAATATTGAATTATCATAAATCCTAAAACAAGTTAGATAAGATATTCTCTGTGTTCTCATCCTCAAAGCACTGTATTCAGTCACAGAGTGCATGGCATGGAGTCCTGGTCTCCAAATAAATTCAATAAAAGCCTGGCATTATTCTCTTTGGTGGATTCCTCAAGCAAAGTATAGGATTAAATCAGAAAAGCATCGTCTGAATCAAAGAGTGGATGACTATGAAACTGTCGCTTCAGTCAGTGGTTGTGTCAGACTTAGTTATTGATCGTTATTGTAATAGACAAGGTCACAAAAATGTCTATCATAATATTCTCACTTGTCTTATTTACCTTTGTTTGAGATTTTTCAAACATTACACTAACGTTTACCAAACAGTAGAACAAACTCAGGCTTTATTTTCATAAGGCAGAAAAACCGAACAGAGACACTGACTGTGGGGTCACGTTTAATCTCCACACCATGCCAACCGCATGAAGGATTTGAAGGTGCTGGTTGAGGTTTGTAGATGGCCCTAAGGCCACTTTTGTGCTCAGTCTCATCTGGTTTCTGCTTTTCCTTGTATCATCACATGTTATGATAGATCCCAATCAAGACAACATTTGAAAACATCAAGAGATTTAGAGAGTGCTTCCAGTCTTTTGTATCATCCCACTGAGCGTGGTCCATGATTTTTAAAGAAGAACAAAAAGAAGACTAAAAATTTAGAAGAGCTTGGAGTCACAAGCATGTCCACCATCAAACAAAGAAAACAGCAGCTAAAGTTTTGAGTTCTGAACATGTTTATTTCATTTGCATTTATGTCACCAAGTGGCACCTGTAGTAACCCAGTGATTTCAAATGCATAGATCTGATATGACTAACTCACAAAAGTTAAAATGCTGAACAATAATCAATTGTTTGAAAACTATTAAAACCCTTAATTTTACACAAAATAGTGCAAAATACTTGCCTGACTTAGTTGCTTAGCGGTTACAGGATCTCCATTATTGCATTTTTGGTTTCATGTCTGTGTATTAGCCAAGTAGCACTCCAGCTCTTCTGCTACATAGCGTCTTTGAGCACCCATAAAAGCACATTATAAATAAAATTTATCATTATTATTACATAGGTATGCTGTTTAAATGCATGTAGATGGAAGTTTGGCATTGTCCTGCCAGAACATGCAAGGTCTTCCCATAAAATGCGTTTTCTAAATGTTGCTCCAAAACCTGTTTGTAATGTTCAGCATAAATAGGTGTGTTTGTCATGGCCAATCAGTGTTGATTTTTGGCCTTTTCAACTTTGCAGAGATTTCTCAAGATTCCCTGAAGATTTAAGTGATATTATGTACTTTAGACAATGAAATCCCTGATTGGATTTTTATGCTGAAGAACATTAATCAAAGATTGCTGAACTATTTTTTCCTCTTTTGGAAGAGAGACAGGAAAAATGGGGAGTCAAGAGCTGAGGACTACAGCCGCAATATGTTGGGGGCTCAAACTGCTTGGCAATCAGTGCTTCTTTATTGACATTTTCAACAGTGTCCCAACTTTAGGGGGTTGTATTTCAAAAACAGCAAATCACAGAACATTTATTCATCGTTTCATATTTGTTTGGACTCCTGCTCCCACGGTACCTGTAAAGAATGTGTATCCCTTTTTTGACCTCCTTGATGCAGCTTGCTTGTCACTTTCTCCATAGTTTAACTCCTTTCATCTAACCATCGACGGGATGATTGTGCAAAATCCCTCAATGTTAGATTTAGGGATCTTTACCAGGTATTTGGGTGGTAAATCACAGTGGTTTGCTTTCAGTCATAATTCAGTTAATTCCTTATAATTGTCTTGTCTATAGGTGCCGTTCTTTGGTCCACTGTTTGATGGAGCCATTGTGGACATGAAGATTTTGCCAACCATGGTCAGAGCCACAGCTATCAATGCCAGTCGAGCCCTTAAATCCCTCATTCCTTTGTACCAGAACTTGTATCCTTTTTCACTGCTGCTCAGAATTGACAAAAACATGATCAGAAGCCAAAGGTAGGTCACAAAATGCCTTTTTTGTTCCTTTTGGCCACATGCTAACACCTCACACTCAACTCTTTGAGAGTTAGTTTTAACAAGGGATCTCTTTCGGTTCTGAAATTCCAACTTGTAAAGTATCTTCTGGTTTTGGAAATCTATGTACATGTATGTGAGAGCGAGAATATGTTGGTAATCACCTGCTGGAGTGTTAAGAACAGTAAATCAATGTCAAGTGGAGTTTGGCTCTCAGAATATAAGTGCTGGTTTGATAGAGCTGTATTTAGTTGGCTCTGAAGTGCAATATATCAAGTGTGTGTTGGTCTTGTACAAAGTTAGGTGTGTGTGCGTGCGTGCGTGCGTGCGTGCATGCGTGTGTGTGTGTGTGCAAGAGAGAGGGAAACAGACAGATGTGTATACAGTCTGTCTGCTTGATCTGATGCGATGGTACTTTGGTTGGAACAAGCCCAGCGGTCAATACATATCGATGACTCTCCTCTCCAATGCTGTGTCTAAATGAGGGGCTGTGCTCTCTGGTCTGTCATACACACACTTACACACACACTCACACAGAAACAAAAATGGGAGCACACTTCCACATATTCTCATCCTCACAAACACAGAAGTTACACTCCTGAAGATATAAACTCCTCAGATGAACAGTGATGAAGGTGATGACATGCAGATTTATGTACAGTGATTAACTGGAAACACACAAACTCTGTCTCGAGTCAAACTTTTTCATCATTGAACATATTTCTTACCAGCACTCAAAGCAACTTGATTTCCTAATGATCCTGTTTTAATTCCTTTGAGCTCAACTATCACAACTTTTCTCCTTCCTCTTTATTTGTTTCTTGTAGTCAAATAAGTTTCAGTGAAGGAGGTCTATTATGCCCATATTTAAATAAGGACATGTAATGATAAGATTTTGGATTGTTTGTATTGAACCTCGCAAAGCTTCACAGCATAAGATAAATTGTAGCTTCTCTGAATGGGTGGCAAGTCTGATTCATGGCCCCCCTTTTCTTTTGTTCAGCACTTTTTTGATTAAGGATATTTGAAAAAGTTTCCAATGAGTATTATTGTGGTAAAAAGACAGCTGTTTTTTTTTACCCTGGGCAGAGGCTAAAAGGCACCAGAAAGAGTTTTCATGGGTGTCAGTGGGCAATAAATGAGTAATTTTAGCTGCACACTGTCTAAAGCTACCGTATACGTTATAAACAGAATAGAAAATGTCAGAGGTGGTGTCTTTTAAAGCTTTTCGTTCCACTCAACGTACCAGGCAGTGAGAATCCATCAAGCAATGCTTGTGTTTTTAATTGTTACTGTCCTTAGAAAACTGCTGCACCTTCACTGTCAAAATAGTTTGAACTTCTAACCATATTTATCATCTGTAATTTATTACCTTAAACTGTATTTGCATTTATTATGGCGTGTGCTGCTGACCTCTTGACCAGGTCACCACTGTAAGTGAGATTCTGTACTTTTCTGGTTAAATTAAAAAAAATCTAAAGGTGTCCCAGACTGACATAATAAGAGGTGAAAATGAGAGTTAAGGTGCTCTAATGTATGTCTAAATGACTGCCAGAAGCTATGCTATGCTGTGGAGTTAACCTTTATTAGTATTGATTTTTGCCAGCTGTAGTCTTGAGATAGAAATGCTTATCAGTTGAAATAACATAGGTCATTGCAATCTTTAGTCTCAACTCCCCTAACAATGCACCCACAAGTGTTACTGTGGAGGAATATTTGTACTCAGAGTCGAGAAGCAAAACAAGCTTTCTTTGGCTTTATTTATTTGATTGGACTTTGAATCAGTTCCACTTTTACTACAACCCCTACCACTGTCTGTGAGGACAGGTATGCTGACAGACATTTTGATATTTGATGATTAAGAGTTGAACAAAAAGTGAAACGTGTCACTAAATGCTGTCTGATCTCTGACTTGGGTGGGTAAACCCAGGCTGTCACATGGAGCTGTTCAAACTTACCTCCGAGCCTCGGTTGCTGGTTGGGGGTCCCTGCAGCTCACTTATGCAGATGAGTGATTACTCACAGGGGCAGTTGTGGTGTAGCATTTAAGTCACTGGTCTCTCCAACAGAGGGGCTTGATCCCAGGTCCTGCTGCCCACATGCTGAAGTGTCCTTGGCAATATACCTGACCCTAATCTGACCCCATGGGCTGCTTGTGACTGGAGGTGTGATTGAACTGGTGAAACCTGATGGTGCCTTATATAGCAGCCTCTGCTGCTGGTGTATGAATGAGATTGAGATGTACAATGTCAAAGCCGTTTGAGTGGTCAGATGAGGAGAGAGATTTCTTTATCAGCATAGTCTCATTCCCATGTACCATGTACAAAATTACCAGCACACTTCTCAACAAACTCAGCCTGCATTTTGTTCAATTTTGCAAACATATTAAAGCTGCTGTGAGGAAGTTCTGGTTTGTGTTGGTTCTGGCGCACCCTGAAGACTAAGTGGTCACTCTTATATCTTGTACTGCACATTTGAAAGTAAATAGTGTCGTAAGTAGTGTTTTCAGACAAAAATCGTACCCTGTTTCCTTTCAAGAGTGCTTTAGAGGCATCAGTAGTAGTTTTAGTCTGTTTTTCAACCAGTAAAAAACTTCTCACAGTGCCTTTAAATCAGCAGTTTGTTTTCAAAGTTACTGCTGAGTCATATGAGGATCATTTTTTTATTGTGATCACAAAGAGCATTTACAGAATCACAGAGCCCTCTTGTTTGTTTTTCAAGTCTCTGAAAAGTTCAAGTGCAAATTGAATTTTCCCAAAGTTAGTTTTGTGATTGCAGAAAGCGACAAACACAAATTTTCTTCATTGATTGTATTACTCAAGTTCACCGTTCTCTGTTAAGCTGAACAGAAGTTGTAAACCAAGATCATCCAAAATAAAATGTCTTATCTTTCGCTCCCTGTTCACAATTATTGTTCATTTTTAGCCGCTATTTTTGGTTTGGTTTTCAGCAATTAAACTTCTATGTGCTGCTGCTCTGGTTTCCACTCTGTAGCCTAACTTTACAGTGGAGAGTGGTTTGCTTGAAATCATAGGAACACTGGTTAACAGCTGGAGGAACCCTTTGAGAAAAAACTGCTTGTGCTTGGAAGTTCTTTGTAGCCTTGTTGACAGGTTCTCTGTCAAAAATAACTCTGAAGGTACTTTGAAACATTTTGTGCTCAAGGAAGTAATGGAGGAGCTGCAGTTTCTGAAGTAACAGTGAAATATGTAAAAAATCAAGTGTTTGTCCAAAATATGTGTGTGATAGGGCTGGGTGAGAAAACAAAAATTTACCGATACTAGAATTTACGACAGTTACCGACATCATTTTGCCTATATCAGTATATTTGGTTTCAAAAAAATAAAAGTTGATTTTGGATGTGTGTAGGTAGGCTATGGTCTCATGTCCCTTTGAGAGGCTGTCCTACGTCAGAGACGTGACTCCACCCCATCCAGTAACATCCTTAACAAAGAGGGAAAGACAGGTGAGGAGATGGAAGACGGTTCAAAGGTTCTAGCGGCTGAAGAAGACAAAGTTAATGTGGGAGGGGGTGAGCATTTATCGTTATCAAGGTGAACTGCTCAATATATCGTGATACTGATTTGAGGCCATATCGCCCAGCCATAGTGTGTAAGGTCATAGTAATCTGTGCATTTTTATCAGATTTAATCTCAGTGACTAAGTTATGCCATACCCTTTCCTTGTTTCCTCATTTCCTTTGTCTTTCTTTCCTTTTGACATGTATTTTACTCTATTTTCTTCTCCAATCCTCTGATCCAAACCTCTATCCATGTTATTTGTCCTAAACACACTTTCAATCCCATTTCCTCTCCAGTTACCTCTCTGTCTTTGCGTCCATGTCATTTGTGTGTGACTTCAGCAATCTTGAGTATGTGTACAGACATGTCAACATCTCCACAGCAGTGTTTCTTCATTTGTGATGCTCTGTGAGTCCATCTATATACTGTATGTGTCTTTGTGTCTGTGTGAAGATGCACACTTCCACAATGATACACGTGTGGTGCATGCTTGTCTGGAGGTGTTTGTGTGTGTCTGCCAGTGTCCTGGTGTGTATTGATTGGTGGTAGCAGCAGGTCGATGCCTCTGACAGGCTGAATTACAGTAATCAGTCATTATTGACTCCCCATCTCTGAGCTACACACACCTCTCTCCACTTCTGTCTCTCCTCTTTCCCTCCTCATACTCTGCCTTCTTTATCTCTCACTCTTCCTTTCTTTCCTTTTTTTTTTTGCGTCTGTCTCTCCTGTCCTGCATCTCTTTCTGAACATCTGTCCACGTCTCCTTGCTCTCCAGTTTTTCTTCAGATGGTTTGCATCACTCAGTCCTCCTCTTTTCAATCACTAATTCTGTCCCTGTATTTTCTCTCTTGTCTCTCTAATTCCTTTATCGGAGTGGGTCTGCTTCTGCTCCACGGTCTGTTTTTGCTCTTTTTTCAGATGTCTTTACTTATCAGCCTTCATTCAGTTTTTATACTTCTCAATTTTATCTATCGTCCCAGACCTAGAGAAGCCCTGACATCATGATATTATTACATCTTAAAGAAATGGTTGTAGCAGTACATCTCTAAAAGTTGATTAATGTTAAGAACAACATGAGGAGGCAAGATGAAACACTACAATAAATACACATGGACAAAATACTGTTATCTCTTTTTTTTTTTTTTTTTTTTTGAGTTTCAGAGACCTGTGACCAAAAGTCAGAAAACTTTACAAAAGAAACTGAAATTTAGTACAAATAACCATGAAGAGCATTGCTCTTTGTCAAATTAATTAGCTGCACATATATTTTCAATTAATTGAGAAAGTTTTCATGGTCAGTAATTTGCTGATGGTATGCAAACCTTTAACTATAACGATGCATTTAAAAGGTAATGATGTACAAAAAAATGAGAAATGACTATAATGAAAATACATTTCAGTAATGACTTGTGTTTAACAAGTTAAGATAGGTTAATTGTGTGGATGGTAGATGACCGTGACCAACTTGACAGGTAGTGTCAATATTATTCAATAGGATTCTAATACAAAATACTAAATTTGACACTTGGAGTAGATCTTATGCAGACTTCAAAAGTCTGAGATGGAAGAATTTAGACTGCAAGTCATGCTGTAAGAATATAAACTGAATTAAAGTTTTAATGGTAAGGTTAGTGAGTGCCATTTTATGTGCCTATTATACAAGGAATTTGCAATTTAAACTCCTGATGTTCTGCAAAAACAAACAAGACCATATGTAACAACAGTGACCATTTTAATACTGTTTTATTTTTTGCAAGGGGGTTGATGTTGGCCTAGATGATTGACAGCTTGTGTGAAAAAAAAAATCTAATTTTCAGCTGCAAATATTCTAAAAGTGTGACAATACTGACGAGATGTTTGGTCAAAATACACAATGTACACATGTTAAGGACAAGATCAGCAAAGTGATAAGATTAAACATCACACAAGGGGCGCCAAAAATCAACACAAATCACTAATGTTCCACTGTTGCTGTAACTGCTTTTACGAATCACTTCAGATTTTGCTCCATACAAACTTATAAAAAAAAAGGCCTGCTCCACAAGCATTGTGGTGTCAGTATCTTCATACAGAGGCAAAAGAGAGAAAAGACCATCATGTAAAAAGGCTGGCAGGGCTAAGTGTGTCAGCGTGTGTGTGTATTAACTGGCATTCTCTCCTCTTTCTTTTCCTGTCCCCCTCTCTTTCAGTCTCCCTGCCTCCCTTTCTCTCTGTCTCTCTGTCTCCTGGCCCTCGGGGCAGTCCATCTGCCTTCTCTCTCTCTCTGATCTTTCATTCACCATGACTAGAGCCTTCCAACATCACACACAAAAACACTCAGTGCCAGGCTGTTGGGGCAGCTGTGTGTAAGCACAGCTCTATCTCACATATCAGCTCATTGCAGCAAGAAAAGCAATCCAAGACTCCCCAGCACACAGGCACGCACACACACACAAACACACACACACTCTGTCCTCTTTTCACATTGCCTTTTCTACACATGTCACAACAAAGTGAAGCACACTCCCATTATTATAAAAAACTTTTGCAATGACAGATGGATCAATGGTAGATCAAACCCTCTGAGAGTAACTACATTTTAGGTACGGGGCAGACCGCTGGTATATGTGTTTTTTTTTTAGCAGAGCTCTGAGCTCATGAACCTGATGCTGCATTTTAGTCATACCAGAAAAATAGCAAAATCTAAATTTGTATCAGATGAAGAGGCTTCTAAAAACAAATTTAAAACTGAAACTCTCCAGTGTTGTTGCTGACATAAACTCAGGATGAATCATTTTGTTTCTTGTAAGAATGAAAAATTTTAGCTGTAAAATCATTTCCTCGCTCTTCAGCTTCTTTGTATCCCATGACAAGACTATCAGTTAAACAAGTGGGCTACATGTACTGTAAAGCTACTTTAAGAACTAAAACCTGAAAATAACTGGAACCTGGAGTTGTTAGAGATTTGTAACCTTGTCAGGCATTTCTGAATAGATTAGCATCTCAGTGGGAGGAGATGTAACAGCAGCTGTATCTTCTGCAGGCTTTAACGGTGTAATCTAAGAAAATATCTTATCTCGCTGACTTTTCACAGTCAGATGTATGACTGAGTGTGAATATTTATGAGGAAATTGTAAAACAAGGCTGTTTCTTCAGCTGCTTGGCTGACACCAACCCCCCTTTCTGGTTTTAGGCAATAAAGGTTACGATATAAAAATCATCAGTCTTGTTTGCTTTTTGATACCATAAAAAAGTATATTGTAAGTTTCAGCCTATTTCATAGATGTCAAAAAACTCCTCACTGGAGCTTTAACCAAATTTAAAGTTATTAAACCTTGAATTGTTTTAAATGATAAGCAAAATTTGAAGCAGCGTGACGCTGTCTTTGCCTTTACCATCTGTGCAGTACACCACCTGTATGTTATCCAACACCAAGACACACAGTGCATTATGTAGGCTATACATCTATATCACAAAACACTCAGAACTCGCAGGAAAACGTTTAATTTATATGTAGATTACTGTCATCCTCAGTGTGTGCAGCTCAATAGCACTTTGGATTCACTCAATGTTGGTAACGCAGTTTATTAAGCCTGTGGTCTGCAACAGAGTACTTGATCTGTGCATCATAAACACTGTCAGTATATGTCTGTATACAAGTCACAGACACTTACTGACAGTGTTTTTATACTGACAGTCCTGTCCAGAATTTAAAGTTTCTCATGAAGTGTGTAAACAACTTTTTATGTTCATTATTTCTAAACAAAAGCCCTGGGGTATATAAGGGTTGTCTCTTGAAACTGTTGTCTAATGTTTGAATGGAAGTTTACCACTTGATGCTGCATTGAGTCAGTTTTCTTCCACTGTGACTATAAATATTCTTGAAAACATGTTTCATGAGAGGATTTTTTAAGCTGTCAATATTAAATCACAGTCTAATGTCCTCAAGTACTTTCAGCAGAACCACTGTGAAGTGGACAACCACTGTCTGAGATTTAACCAGCCAGATCTGCTGCAGCCGCTCTTGTATATTATCATGCAACACTGGCTGTGTGAGAGTTTGAGAAGTGTTTGAATGTGATGATAGGTGTGTGTGTGTGTGTGTGTGTGTGTGTGTGTGTGTGTGTGTGTCTGTCTGTCTGTGTGTGTGTGTGTGTGTGTGTGTGTGTGTGTGTGTGTGTGTGTGTGTGTGTGTGTGTGTGTGTGTGTGTGTGTGTGTGTGTGTGTGTGTGTAAAACAGCAAACTGTAACCATCCTCCATCTGCTCTTGGGTGATTGTTGTTCAGGGGAACAATGCTGGAGCGACGTTAAGCCATAGTACACACACACACACGCATACACAAGCTCCAGCAAGTGTGTGTGTGTGCATGAATTTTCAAATGTATACCATCACTGCGTTTACCCTCATGCACATCGTGGCGTTTATGTTGTGTGTGTCTGTGTGTATATATTTCACTCAGGATTAGAGCTATTCCATGAGTGTGTGTTTGCATGTGTGTTTGTGCGTGTGGGGTGGGGGGATATCCCCTCTAGTAGTTGATTGGCAGAGATAGCTGTACTGAGGCTGGGGTCAGCATATGGCTCACTGCGATAGCGATGCTGTGTTTGCGTGTGTTTTCTGTGCGTGTGTGTGTGTGTGTGTGTGTGTGTGTGTGTGTGTGTAGCTGCCTTTTCCTTGCTTTCACACTCTGTTCCCAGTGAAATGATGGCAGCTCTGGGCATGTAGCGCTATTATCCCCCCATATCCACACACACACACACACACACACTCAGACACACACACACACACTCGTCCTCACCAAGAGCAGCCAAACGCCTAGCGGCCTGCCTGGCTCCTCTCTGCCAGCTCCCACAATAGAGCCTATTGTCCCGGTGAGGCCACAATCTGCTGTGTGTGACAAGGAGTGTGTGTTCCTCACCACGGTAGAAAAGGTGAGGGCAGAACCTTACAAATTGAAGACATTTTGTTATTGCTGATGTTGAAATGGGGTCATGTTATCCTTAACCTCTCAGGAGCTCCAATACCTCCATCGCTTTCGAAAGAGGACTTTGTTTGACATGAAAGAAAATGACACCGCTACCTGCCTGCAGGTTGCATCCTCCTCTGTTGGTTAAAAATTTGTATCAACATCTTAGAGAAAAATATTTAACAACTACATATACAAATGCACTTAAATCTTATGTGTGGTGTTTTAAAGAAGAATATTTTTAAGTTTCTAAAATTCGCGAGACATAAATTAGACAATTAGAGTGAGAAAGAAAGACTCTAAATATCAAGAAAAAAAAACATTTTAACCCACCACCTACCATTCTTTATTACGAACTCGAGTGTCTTCATGCCACATGTTGATGCCAAAGACAGATTTAGGGTGAGGTTCAGGATCTAAAGGGATATAAATCTAAGCGAATTTGTGCAGAGGGGGAGGTGACTGTGGTTAATTGTTTCCCATCGGGTAGATAGAGGAAATGAAAAGAAAAGAGGAAGGAGGAGGAGGAGGGGTCATGGCTAATCTCTTTCACTCCTCCTTGGGGAAATGCTTGTGTGAGTGTTGATGTGTGTGGGATACTTCCCGAGGCTACTTCAGATGCTCATTTTAGCCCTACGATTCTTAACACTTCTTTAAATGGATTATTTAGATGTTTCTGTCAGTTATTTTCTACTATAGCTGTCAAACGATGAATTTTTTGATAGCGTCATATTATAATTTTAATCTTATGTTTAATATCATCTGTAATGTCCCATAACTTTTCCCTTCAGAGTAGTTTTTGAGTCCGTATTAATGGTGTTAAGCACTTTTTTACCAGCATTTAAATCTGGGGATCAAATGGATGTCATAAAATTAACTTCTATGGTCTCAATTTTATACTCATTTTCAAAATAAATGCACTAAATTTGCTATTGTTATCTTAAATTATTATTTTATTTCTGAGTTACCCCATCACAGTGGCACTGATGTCAATAACTTGTTTCTAAGTCTTAAAACACACGAGAGAAAGGTTGAGATCATAATCAGAAATTTATGACCATAATGTTACTTTCTTCTTGCATGGCTCTCAGGGCTTCCTAGATGCTTTTCAAGTTCTGATGGTGCATTTCGCCCTTGCTGGACAGCTGGAGAAAGATGGGGAAGTGAGGAGATTATAAAGAATGGCCAAGAGTCAGAGCAGGAGCTGCGGGGTTGAGGACTGAAGCCGCTGTACATAGGGCTCAGGCTTGCATCTGCTGAGCTTAACCTGCTCCCCGGGGCGTCCTTAATTTTAAACTTTACCATCACAGATATATCAGAGAGGTCATAGTTGAGTCAGAGGCTTGAATATCCATACGTATGGAGGAGATCACTGTCGCAGATTTAACTCCTTTTCTATTGTGTGTTTTTGTCCAATTTTGGAAATGTGTTGCTCTTGTAATGACTAAGTGTGTCTCTGTGTGTGCACACGAATGCGCCTTGTCGCAGTGAGCTGTGCAGACACATGAGTTGTAGCGATCAGCGGCTTGATCACATCTTGTTGGAGCAGACCCCCCTCTGACTGGTAAACAAGCTAATCTTTGATGGGTGTGTGAGTGTTTGTGTGTCCGGGGGTGTTAATGTGAGAATGCACTTTGTTGCGAGGTGTGTTGAATGAGAGTATTTTCTTGTGACGAGGTGTTTAAAATTCAGGGTGGGCTTTCACTGACAGCGGAGACCACAACACAGAGCAGCATTGCAAACTGAGAGTCAGACACAGCAAATTAGGACAACAGTGTTCATAACCTGGAGATGAGGGTTCATATCAATAATTAATGATTGATTTTTCACCAGTAATAAATTATTAGATAATCGAAAAAAATGACTCCTTTTTTTCCTGATTTAGTTTAGCAGGAGTCAGGTTGTCAACATTTGTCCTCCTGCAGTCAGACTTCTTTTTCTGGTACGAGATCATCTCAGATTGTAAGGACTACCTGGTATCAGTAGGCTGAGAAATCTTTCAGTTGGCTCTGGATATAGATTAAAACAGTGAATATAAATGCAACACAGACTGTAATATTCTTTTTTTTTAAAATAAGTTATCTGAATACATTTCTCACATTTGCAATGGATGCGTTAGAGCTGAAAATATGTTCTCACACTTATGCTCGCACCTCTGGCCTGAAATTTGTCAATCCTCGGTTGCTTTTTCAAAGGTACAGTCTGGTAATCTTTAGCAATACCTAGCAGTCAGATTCTAGATTAAAAAGTTCACTCTCTCATTCATGCTTTTAAAGAAGATAGTCACGGGACAAGAGGCTCCAGTGATGCAGGATTAGAGCGATTCTTCATTTGTCCAGTTCCTACAATCAATAAAGATCATGTTACACCCAACAATGAGCAGTTGATACTATTGTAGAAACATGGCTGCTTTAGCCTCTGTGGATGGAGACCCTCTCTCATGTAGATTTCAAAGGCTCACTCCAAATTAACAAAAACAAAATAATGCATATATTCACGTGATTATACTTTTTTTTTTTTTTAACACATCTACTGTTATTATATTCCAAGGCCAAATTCTGCACATTGTACCTCTTAAAACAAGAGCTCCTCTTTCCCATCCGATGCAAACAATGGAGTAGAAAAGAAATACTTTCTGGCCATGACAATTGTGAAGCGAACATATAAATATATAATTTATTACAAGACCACAGATCTCTGGTGTTTTCTAATTCTTTTTTAATTTTTTTGATGTACAGAGAGAAAGTACAATAAATTAAAGAATCCCTTCTACGTTCTTCAACCTTACATTTAAAGTTCCCCAAAAGCCTAGAGGTGAAGGGAATGTTTTTTTTTAATGCTGTCTTTCAGATCATGTTGCATCTCGATGAATCTAGATGAATACATGCATAAGGGGTGAAAAATACTTGATGGTTGTATAGCCTGCAGTAAAGAGCCGGATCTGTCTCCATAATCAGAGAATTATTACCCCGGTCTCTGCCACATTCATGCAAGACCCCTGTTATGTGTGTGTCCTTTAAATAAAGCACTGTAGCTTTAGGGCTCTCCAGAGGTTTCATGGAGGAGGGTGTTTGTGTGTGTGTGTGTGTGTGTGTGTGTGTGTGTGTGTGTGTGTGTGTGTGTACACGTCAAAGAGTGAAATACAGGGGTGACAAGGGGCCAATTAATGTATCACGCCTGTTTTCCTCCACGGTCTGTGTTTCTGCATTAGGTTAAAGAGCAGATGAATAGGAATAAACACAATTGTAAAAATGTTTGTGTGTGTATGTGTGCGGTTCCCATGCATGTCGGTCCTTAGCAATAAGAAGTGCATTAGACTCACCTATCTCTGTCCCCATCTTCAGCTTACATGGACACACACACACACACACACTTAATGAAATCACAAAGCCCCCATATCATTGCTATCACAGAAAGATATAAACCCATTAGCTTGTTCCTTTGGGCACAAACACACACACATAAACACACACGCACAAGCACAGGTTTATCATTACACGCTGTAAAGCTTTTCCAATTGTATTATCCCTCTGATGTCCGTCTCTCTGTTGTCTGTTCCAATGCCCGGGGTGCAGGGGACAGATATGGTGGGTGTGGGTGAGTGTTTTTGTGTGTGAGAGATGCGGAGTAAGATATGCTGTGATTGTGTGGGCGTGTGTGTGTGTGTGTGTTGTCTGTAAAAAAGCTTTCGAAAATTGACAGAAGTCGTGTTTTCAGTTTTTCTACTGTACTGTGAGAAACTTCTATTTTATCTCAATCGGGACATCCCGATGGACAGAGAGGAACGTCTTGTGTCTTTGTTAATTAAACCTGTAAACATGGCGGTAATATTCAGGGACCGGAGTCAAACCCTCAGCAGTCTTTTGAAGGTTGAACACAAAACCCATTCAGTCCTTTTTCTGTAGGAGAACAGGCTGTTTTGGTGGAGTTAGTGGTTACAGACATTCAAAACAACAACAAAAAATAGGGATTGGTATTTTTGCTGGTTGTCATGTTTGTGTTTGATTGTCATTGTTGTCATTTTCTTGGAGGTACAGTGCCCAGCATAAGTCAGTACACACCCTATTAAAAATAATGCATTACTCAATATCTAGATGAGCAAAAGTACAATTTCAAAAGTTTTGACAAAGCTGAGTTTAACGTAACATTTTATTTACCATAAGATGAAAATAAGAGTGATTTGGTAACTAAAATTTAGTTCTGCTCCTAAAACTTTGATTGGGGTGTACTCATTTTTGCTTCCTTGTTTTAAATTGAAAAAACACCTTTTTGTATGCACCTAAAAAAATCTGTTTTTTTACATTTGGGGGAGTATTTCGTTGCATAGTCTGACAAACAAAATGTTGATTTTAAAGGAAACTAAAGGTTTTCCTGACAACTCTAAAGGGGTGTACTCATTTGTGCTGAGCACTGTATATCAATAACAGTCTGTTCCATCACTAGCTCAAAACTCTTCACATGAACTGTAGATATGATATTGTTTTGTGCTTCCCGTAAATTAACGTTAACGTCGCTCTCAAAAGTAGTTTGAAATCTACGTGTGAATCTGGAATACAGTGGAAATGTTTTTTCTGTTTTGTGTTTGAGTGAAAAAAGAGTTCAATTCCTCTTATTCTTGGCATGCAAAAGGAAATATATCAAGCCCTCTCTCTTTTAATGTGGATGGTTTAAGTTAATCACTCATGAAGGTCAGATATCCTGAGATCATTAAAAAAAAAAAAGTATTTAAAACACAAAAATTTCAAACCTTTGAAAAATACGGTCATTTAGACGCCCAGTACTTGGGCTGCTTCACCACAAATCATCTCTGAAGCGCAGCATGTTTTAGAGCCAGTCAGTCTTTGGCACTGCTGTGCTTTGTGACTGAAGTCCCTTTGGTGACGGCCTTCATCATGTCTGCATTTTTTAATCAGTGTTTCTCATCTTCTTCACAACAAATATCTCCATAGAGTTCAGCACAGTAATGTCATGGTCAGCAAACCAAAAGGTCGACATTTGGCACCGTGGGCAGGTGCTAAGTCCTGCTTCTCTCTGGATAAGAAGTGGTTTTTATTTTGGGAATGTAACAGCAAGGAAAAAAACTTTGAAATCAAAACCCTGAAGTTTTTCACCAACTAAAATGAGATTTTCTTCTTGTCGAGCGTGATGAGTATTTCCTCAGTTCAGATGAAATAAAGAGTTTGTTTGTTCTCTGTAAGACCACAGAACATCATTCTTCAGATTTTTCTGAGAAAATTATAAAAAAGGAGCAAGTGAACACTGCCCAGAGATCAGTCCAACCACACCAGTCAAGGTGCGCAGTTTACTCTTTTATTGATTTAGTATTTTTATTATTTAAAACAGATCCACTGAGCATGTAAACATGGAGGCCACAGGCAGAATTTTACTTTGTCTAACTTTATACTTTTTATCTTTACAGTCCTTGAGGTCGGCATGTCCACCTTCTCTTCTACACATGGTGTGAAACACGGACATAACAGCTTTCTAAAAGAAGCCAGCACTTCTTACTCAGACCAAGAGGGTCCAGGGGATTTACAGGATGACTGTTCCCACTGGTCCAGGAACATTACTTTAGTTTGGAGAATAACAGTAAAGATGCATTTAAAAGTTAGCACACAAAAAAAAAAAAACATTGAAGTTTTAGCTGCATCGTATTCCAGCTAACTTCAGTGGCCTCACCAGGGCGGCTGGAACTTTCTATCCCTTCTGACCTTATACTCTCTACCAGAGGTTTTGAAATCATCCTGGCTTGAAATAAAACCTGAGCTGTATTCCTTTACTGGGTGTACTCTCTGCTTGTAGTGAGAATCTCTTAATTGATGTTGAAAATTGAAGATTCCTGCAGCAGTTTTTACTGGATTAGCAGAAGAGATGGGGGAATGGCAAGAGGAGTTGTTCTAATAATCATTGTACTCTCCAGAGCCACTTTGCTTTAAACCAACATCATATTAGTCGACTAAGCACAGAGAGACATCTGCTGACTGCTTCTTTTAAAACAATAGAGGTACAAAGATTTCAGGTGAGCCTCAGAAACATATCATGGTCACCAGAGGAGTATCAGATGTTGGATATTTTGCAAGTCATATTATCAGCATGGTTGAACACTCTCAGTAAACAGTATATTTGTGAAGAGCTTCATAATATCAGCTACAAAGTGTATAATTTATTAACATCATGTCCTACGTTCTAGTTTTACTCCCCACACACACGCACACGTGTGACCCAGCGGTGGGCCCAGCTTCTAATGTGCTAACAAGCTCCCTCTCTCCTCCCCTCATCTCCTCTCCTCCCTCAGCCCCCATCACTCTTAAAGTGATCACAGGAGTCAGAACACGGCCACAATGAACTGCGCGGCAGGAGAGAGAGGGAGAGAAAGGGGATGAAATGGAGAGAGAGAAAGGGCTAGAGAAGGCACGAACACTTCACTCTGTCCTCTCTTTTCAGCCATGCACAAGAAAATGAGTTTCTGACTCCACACAAAAGAGCCATTTTATCCGCCCCCTCTCCTCTATCTCTCCCCTGTCTCCCTCTGCTTTCTCTTTTTTTTCCCCTACACATCAGCCTTTATCCCTCTTTCTCCCTTATAATTTTCTCTCTCCTTTCCTTTTCTTTCTGTATGAGAGAGATATTTTGTGCTAATGACTTAACAAGAGAAGCCATCTGAAATTCAATTACAGTAGATTTCGTACTGACGACTGCCGTTTGTCAGAGGGAGGGATGGATGGAGTTTATTTTCTATGACCTCTCACTGGTTTCTACTTTTTGACAGGAGTGCTAACTCATGCAGAGGCTTTACAGAATACAAATACACCAAATAGGATTAAAATAAAGAAACTAACCAAAAGAACAACATGAAATACTAAAGGTCATAATCTGAAGGTCCAGAACGGCTGTGAAATGTCAACTAGTATCTCCAAGGTTCAACATGAATCTGTCATTTCAAATTCAAAAGACACTCTGTAACTACAAAAATTAGAATAGAGCATACAGGAAAAAGTTTAAAAGAGGGGAAAAAATACAGACATAGTCAAACCTTATTATTTGTGAGCCATGCTTCTTTTTCCATTTAGTTCTGGCCTGTGCATTTCTCCTCTTGTAAGACCAGTGGTGTTTGTTTTTTGTGCACAGGTGCTAAACTTAGCTTCCTGGTACTTCCAGTGAAGTAGCTGTTTCTTCTTAACCCTTACACTTATCATTTCAGTTGCGGTGTGTTTTACTGAATATATTTTATTACCACTTGTATTGTCACCATGTATCAATGAGCGAATCCTGTATATCTGACATCTGTCTCGATTTATGCTTTATGTTTACTGTCATTGCCATGGTTGCATTTGTTGTGCTTCCTGCTTTGGTTAGCTCTCTAACCAGTTGGGTATTGAGTTGTTCCACATGACGATGGACAGCATGCACGGTCGGCCGTCCTCGGGGATCCTCTAACACATATGGATTTCAGGTCATAAATATCAAACATGTTTAAAATCTATGATTCCAAGTTGGGCTTCTCTGATTTTCCTCTGCATTAATCGGAGGAAAGAAAATCAACTTCCTTACAACAGACTGATAGTCGGGCCTTTGCTGACTTTAGTCTGATGGGGGGAACAGCCCCAAAATTTACATGATTAATCTGTAGTGTGTGCTTCACTTAAGCATGTTTAAATTTAACCCCTTGTATAAGGAATTGTTTTGTCTTTGTTGACTTTGAATGAGCCTTTAATAGTTATGCTGAAAACAGGTGAGCTTTTACAGAGGCCACTATCTCGCACAACTGTGACAATGGAAGCTCATACTTATTATCACAGGAGCTTCTTGTCCTCCAAGGCTACTGTACCTTAATAACAGAATGGGTAAGCAAGGGAGTGTTGTATTCAACCAAGAGAAGTCACTAAATATTTCCACAAATCAAACCTGTGACTGGACCTTAAAAAGTTCTCATGCGACAAAAAATGCAGGTACTACATTTTTACAGTGACATAGATGCTACTATGTCACATATGACAAGACCTGCTCACCCTGCTATTTTACCTACTCACTACACTTTCAAGCAGATTATTGTGAATCACTATATTTAATGTTTCAAACTTCAGCCTGACTAGAAGTATAATTTGAAAGACTGATTAAAACTCTGTGAAGTGGCTGTGAAGTAATCCAACCATAAATCAGGATGTACTCATCGTGTATGAGTTCTGTATCAAGAGTCCCACCACCGCTCTCCTCATGTAGCCTCTACCTAGTGGGGAGCCAGGTGTTTGTGACAGACTGACATCAGGCTACTGGCAGAAACCCCCGCTGAGGAGAATAAAGAGTGAGGGCAACATAAAGGAGGCAGGCAAAGGAAAAGTGAAGGAAAGAAAAGTGATGGTCCTGTCATTTATCTCAGTGGTGGCACCATTACTGTGTATTTATTTCTCTTTCTTCTCCTTGTTCTTTCTGTCCGCTCTCCTGGCCTCTATGTACTTTTTCTGTTCTTTAGGTGAAACCCTCTCACCTCCTCAGAATTGATGGTACAGAGTCCTAAATTATGGCGATACTCTGATGTTCTGTTCTAGCTGTTGCTTCATGCTCCAGCAAAACATTCAGATTTATTTAAAAAGAAAACTGTATTTTTCTCTAGAATAGTCCAAGGGCCTTCTTCCATTAAATCTTACGCATCTCTCCCTCTCACACAAACACCTTGCTTTAGCACAGTGGGGATGTGCGATACAGGGGAGAGGGAAGCAGGAAAAGGCAAACAGTGAGTTCACATAGAGACTTGGTGTGAGACATGCAGGCTTGACACTCGGTGTGTTACTGCTACTCTCTCCGGGAGATGAGCACACACCACATCATGTTGTTACTTAAATATCCCTCATTCACCCGGCTCACCCACTGTCCTTGCCTCTCACCTCATCTGTGACTCACAGAAGGAATCTCACTCTTCTTCCTCTTCACCCTTGCTATTTCCACCTTTGTTTTTTTTTTTCTTTACAAGTTGCCTTTCTCCCTCGGCATCTCACCTCTTCTTTGCACTTTTAACCTCCATCCCTCCTCTCTGCCACCTTCCTTTTCCCTCATTTCCTTTTTATCAGCATGGTTCAAGGGAAGGTTTGAGTAGTGTTGAAGAAACCATTTTCTTCCTCTTTTTAGACATTTAAAGGGAGTTTTTACCTGCTGATGAAAAAACTGACACAAGTACTGATGTCTTCTTTGTAATTATGGAACCATGGAGCATGCAAAGAATGTTTATGCCAATTTAGGTCCAACAGAGATGTAAACATGATAGAGTGATTCGATCCCAGCGACATCGTCAGGGTACGGTAGTTTGACTTTGAGAAACTCAACTTAGTGGTATTTCAGTGGGACTAATATGTTTACATGTATTTTAAAAGTCCACTTTTAGTCAGATTAATGCAATAAATCAAATAACATAAATCATATAATTTGCTGACCCTACGATGACAAGTCTTTAGAGCCATATGTGAGGTTGAAAGACACATTTTCCAAAATCAGAACACAGCTGACAGTATCAATCAGACACTTATGAGTGAAACACCATTTTGAAAATCACATACACAACGAGAAACAAGAAATGTTTGTACCAAAGACAAGGATGTATCTACTTCCAGGGTTTGTTTTGCATGTGCTAAGCATGAATGGAATAGCCCTATGAATCAGAAAAGCGGAAAACCATTGGAGTGGAGTAAGGAGTAGAAGGCCTGGCTCACCCAATCTGACAAATCTGGAAGATTCAGCGTTGATAGGCTGTATTTGTCTTTTAGTCTTTTGTTAAAGCTACAGCAAGGAGTCTTTAGCTGGTTATGAGACAGAATAAAATCAACACTTCTGTTTTTTTGTTGTTTGTTTTATGATGTCGGAGCTGGAAATGACGTTACACCTGAGTTGATGGTGTTCCAGTAAACAAGTCGAAAAACCAAGATGGACACCTACTGTTAGCAGTTGTTAGCTGTTGCTAACAATTGTCAGCTGTTGTTAGCCGTTGTTAGCTATACCAGTTGTAAACAACGCATAACACAGTATTTTACTCTAACAAACACAGTAGCACCATGTTCCGAGTTAGATATTGGGCAGTACAACATATACCACTTATTTAATTTCACCAAAACAAAACAGAAGTGTTAATAAATAATACATTAAGAGAGCTTTCACTGTCACTCTTTACTGTCTACACTGCGCTGCCATCTTGGATCATGACGTTGTCAAGTCTGGGTTGGTGAAGTTCGTCCGAAAAGTCCAAGTCGGAAATCCGACTTCAGGGGGGCGTTCCAGATGAATTTCTGACTCACAGCTTGGATATCCCGACTCCCGAGTACAAATGGAATGCAGCACAAGACCATCAGCACATAGATTCATTATTTCCATATTGTTATTTTTGAACCTGAAGCCACTGGTGGTGGGTAAATGCCAGTGCACTTGTCATGTTTAGCTTTACGCCCCAGAAACAACCTCTGAGCAGAGATTGTCAGTGGGTCAGATAGGTTAGAATAAAGAACAGTGACAATTTTTAAGCAGCACTAACTATGTGTAAGACAAAATTAACGCAAGCTGCAAGTTCTTCGCAGGAGCTTTAACCCAATGCTAATAACATTATTAAGGAATTTGGCTCTTTATCCCTTCTCTCTCCCCCACCACACACACACACACACACCTCCTTGAGTCTGCCAGCGCTGTCTGTCCCTCCACTTTAAAGGAGCCATATTGTTGTTATTATCATTGTCTGTAACTGGATCAGTTACCATTAGACCTGAATCTTTCTCCTTCTGAGGCCCATAGACCAGCTCTCTAACCCAATAGAAAACCCATGGGTGCCATTACAGATGGCTGACCCATTCACAACACACACACACACACACACTTGTACACGCAGACACAAAATGAGGCACAAACACAGATTTCATTCTGAAGATTCATTGGCCTAATCCCATCACACACTGAAAACAGGGACCCATGCACTTACATACACACATTATCCCTGTCCTCCACCAATCTTTTCAAACACAGACACACACAGCCGCATTGTGCTCTCATTGAAAATCCTGTGTTATTGGAGCTCACTGAGCAAATGGTATTACTATTGGGAGATGATGGGAGTGAGTTGTGTGTCAGAGAGACTGTAACGGCTGCATATGACTGTCATTATGGGTGGATGTATGAGTGGGACTAAGGAAGAGAGGGTAAATGTCATTCTATCAATGAAGTTATCTCTAATAGATGGACGGTTGAAGTCCTGGTTTCCATTTACTCTCCTCTCAGCTGAATCGTTTGCCTTGCAGTGAATTCATTGCTGAAGGCTCTAATAGCTCATGATAAAAGGGCTGTGGGTTCTTTTTTTTTTTTTTCAGGAGGAAAACTCGCTACCCAGAGTTAACTAGCCTGGCTTGGTCACAAATGGCCTTTTGAATACAGAAAATGCTGGGGGGGGTCTTATTTTATGATGTTTTATAATTACCCTCTCAAGTTTGATTACCTTTCATTCCTTTTATCTGCATTATTTCAGCTCTGTTTTGTAAGGTTATGTTCTTTCATTCCCCCCTCTGCTCTTGTAATATTGTTTACTTGTGAGATACATTTCCCATAATGCTATCTGTTACTACCTCCCTGCATTTTAAAATTGGATGACTTTGTGTGTCTATTATAGAATGATCTGGAGGACAGTTTAGAGAAAGTCCAAAGTTTATTGCTGCACTTTCTTCCGATTTCATCTTCCTTCAACCGTTTTGACTTCTTATTTTTTGTTCCTCCCTGTGTCTTCTTTTTGGTTTAAACCTTGACCTTTGACCTCAGTTATGAAGAGCGAGCCCGATACTTGGAAACTATCGTGCAGCACCACCAGGAGCCGACCACATTCGAGGATTACGCTGCCCGTGTCTACAGTCCTGCTCCCTGCACACACCTGCCCTCTGACACAGGTAAAACACAACCTTTTCAGCAGCTCACATTCTGAGTTAGTTTAGTATTTAAAGAGTTAAATTTCACTGATCCTTCTTTGCTTTCAGATTATCTCTGAGGGATTATTCAGCAATTTATTAACTATTTACATGTCTGGCATACACAAAGGAGTTACTCTCAAACTTTTTACCCTCACTTAAATCTGTTTAATCCTGATCTTGTAATTTGTAGTCAAAGATAGTGTTTGTGTTTTTCAGTCCGTTATATACAATAGTGTATATAATGATAAAGTATCTCTGTGTGACATCTAGGTCTGTGATAGTAACATATCAGTGTATCAATGTGGTAATTTAACCCTCAAGTGTGATTGGAGATGTCTGGATAAGTCAAATGTTTAACTGTATCTGTTTTGTTTTCATGGCAACTGCTCCTTATCTCACAAGCTACTGTGTCAAAAATGTCAATATTTACTCAATAATAATAATAATCATCTTGCTTTGAGGCTGAATAACACACAACCTGAGATGCAGTTATTTTACCACAACGGTCTTTTACTGTAAGTTAAATTGTTGAAAGCAGAAGTCACATAGTGCTTCTTGATTCAGCGTTTTTAGGTTGTCTGTGTGTTTTCCAGCCTCAAATGTCATTTCAGAGCACAAGTTGAGAGTTTGGAAGATAAAAGGACCATCAAACCTTTCCGGACCTGTGATTTTTTAGTACCTTAACATCCAAATTTGACTAATTTATGAGTCATTATATGCATATCAAGTCCAAAATTCAAAGGATGTTTTCCGCAGAAATCTGGACTAATAACGCTGTGCTCTGAAATACACTTTGCTTAATTGTTACTGCAACCCTCCCAACAGGTCCCCCTCCCTTAACAGCCCAATGATCAAACATTCTTCTCTCTTTCTGTTGTTTTTTTCTTCTAAATTCACCCACTCGTTTTTTTTTTTTATTGTTTTCTGATTTTTTTTCTTTTGGTCCTTCTTTTCTTTTTGTCCCCTTCCTCCCCCTCCTTTAGATCGTAATGTCTCACTTGCCTATAGCTAAAAAAAAAGGTAAGCCTGGTCACATGATGACACACCCCTTCTGATTGGCTCTTCCTACTGACATTTCAGCCTAACCTTGGCTCCCCTCTGACTCCTTTGGTACAGTGCGTTTTCTCCTCTGTGTTCTTTCACAATTCAAACAGGTCTGCATGTGTTGATAATTACATGATGGAGGAAGTGTTATTTTCTGTTCATCTCTGAGTGCATTGGGGTATGACTCACTTCAGATGGCTAATTGAACCTGAAGTAACCGTGGACAGTACAAAATATGGACTTCGCACATTTTTTTTTTAAATTTTTTTTGTTAGTTTTTTATTTGTAGTGTTTCTTTAAAAAACACAAGAAATCCCAGTAATAGTGGATGTTGTACTAATAATGCTCAGCGCTACCTTTGGGTCGACTTAGACATGAGCAGTGAGTTTGAGCTACAACATGCTCACTAGTTGGTCTTTTTGTTGTGGAGCTTCATGGAGGTTCCTCTGCATTTGGAGCCAGTTTCAAGAAACTACAGTTTAAATTTGAACTTGAGTATTGGCTTTATTTTTCAAGATTAGCAGTTGCTGTTTGGCTGCTCTAATAATTTTCATCATTTTTTCCCAACGGGAAATCTTGAGGCACTCTCTGTTTTTCTTCAGTCCCCCCTGTCTTTTATTGACCACCTTTAAGTCGCAGCTCTGATTGTTTAACTTGTGTGCTCTTGTTTTAAATCATGGCATCTTTCATGGCAGAAAAGCTGTTAATAAAAAGCACACACATTGTAACATCATATAAGATGAAAAAGGTGAACAGTTGCCTGTTTATAAAGAAGAGCAACATGAATTTTATACACCTGCTGTATTGGTACGTTTGTCTCCTTCTAGATCTGTTCTGGTCTCTACCAGCTCCACTGGTAATCTAAAGGTCTTTAAGGTCGATGTTTTCAAGTAACTCTCTGTGTGGTGCTGTACTGCTCTTGTGTTTCCTGTTGTGTTTGGTTCTTGTTAAAGTTTGCCTTCAGCACTCATGGGAAGATTTTCTTGCTGATTTTCAAGAGGTACAGGACATCACTGTTAGGCAGGCATGTCTGAAAACCAGTGTTTGTTATTTGATCTTTTCTTGAAGAGTTTTGGTGTCTAAACCTACCACACTACAAGTTTATCAGTGTGACCAGTGGCAGCATCAAAGTTTTAGCCAAGCAGCAAAGCAGGATAGAAAAAGGAATAACTATTCAGGGAAAGTCAAGTCACCTCTCAAACTGCTAAGTAAACTGTAAATCAGTGCGTCGATCTGCTGTTTGCTGATAAGCAGGAGGTGTGAAGTGTGTTTTCTGTTTCTACTCAAAATAGCTGCCAGCTGTATATGGACTTAAAGTTGACTCTAGCAGTGGAGCTTCGTGTAGCTGAGGGGACCTGCAGAGTGTGTGAGAGTTATGACAGTGTGAATCAATCACCAATGAATATTTATAGAGCACTATTTCACAACACGTGTTGTCCCAAGACACTTAACAAAAGCTGATCCAGACCACACTCATTTACAAAGACCCAATAAAGATGGGATGGGTCATAATGTTACGAATATTAAGTCATGAGAAATAAAGCTGTGGTATTACATGATAATGTCATAATATTGTGAGAATAATATTGTTCCAGTTATTTGTGAAACCTACTCTAAAGTAAAACTTCAGATGCACCGTCTTGGCTGCTCTTATGGGGAGCCACTTCACAACATTAGCAACATATAGACTATTAAGTGACTAAATGACACCTTTATCCTTATATCATTTATTTTTATAGCATAGTGACAAATACTCTCAAAATACTACAACCTGTTCTCTTAATGTTATGATGTAATCCTCGTGATATTACAACTTAAGGTGACTTGAAGACTCTGTCACACTAGGTGGCTCTAACCCAAAGCCTATAAGAGTTGCTGGGGCAAAGACTTGTGACCCACTTGTCAGACTGCACCTTGTGAACTGTCATGAACCACTCGTAAGATTTAAATTCTAATAATTGTACGTGCATTTCGAAATTCTTAGAGGATTCACCTTAAAGGCTTACTAATTAAAAGTTGTTCCTTACAATCTGCTTCTCACCAAACTGCACCCAGTGACTTGCTGAAAATGACACTTCCTTTTTTTAACAGCGCCGTGTGATTTCCGCTCTTCCGTCTGTTCAGTCACTCATTGACTTTCCTGAATGTTCTGTTAACCTGTGACTTCACACTGACCTGCTAAAATTTAACCTCTTACCTTCTGTATGCTCCTCTCTCCTGGTTCTGGTATTGTGTAGAGCTGTAGCACTGGGCCCACCCACACACACACACACACTGACACACACTGGCACACACTTTAAAAGCGTTTCCAATCTGTAACTCCACTAACATTGTAGTCTGTATATTGCTTTATTGAATAAGAACATGTCTGCAGCTGAATGATGAAGTACTAAATAGTGCTGTCATGTTATCTTTGTCATGTGTGTATATATGTGTGTTGTTTTTGTATGTTGTCATTATGTTTGTCTATCACTGTTTTTCATTCTGTTTATGTAATGTCTTTTGTTCTCATCTTCAGATGTCTTGATTTTTTTATTCATTCATCCTTTTTTCTCCTTTCTTTTTGTCTTGCACTGCTTTTCCTTTTTTCCTTTTCCCTCTGTTTCCCTTGTTTTCTTTGCTTTTACTCCCTACCTCCGTTTGGTTCCTCCCTTTCTCCTTACTTTCCCTCGTATTATCCATTTGTTCCCTCACCTCTTCTCCTCTTCCCTCTACTTTCCTTTTGTTTCCCACTCCCCCTCTCCTCTGTTCCCCCCACATTCTGTGTATTTCCTTGTTTGATTCTCCATTTCCATACCCGTTCTCCTCACCTGCTCTCCTCCTCTCTAGAAGACAATAGCTCCATGTATTTGATGATTCCTAAACCTTTAGACAGCTTTAACCTGCTCAGAGTGAAGGGGAAGGGTCTGAAGCAGAAGGTCCTTCATGCTAGCTGTGAATGGTACGCTGTGAAGCTCAGTTTAGGCCCTCGCCCTCCCGAAGTGAAGTTTCATTTTTAACACCCACGGATTTCTATTTCTAGTTGTAGCCAGGACTCAAACTGTTTCTGTAGATTTTTATTGTAGACTTTTTTTTTTTTTTTTTTGCATTTTTTAAAGCTCCTGTGATTATCTTTAGGTTGTGTCAATATGGTGCCCCCTCTCTGGGAAAAACATGGCGTCTAACTTCTTTGCTTATTTTGCCTGATGCATTTGACACTTATGTTTTCATCTAAAGATTCTCCTCCAGCTTTCTGAATCAGTGATATCTATCACTCTAGACTCTTTGCTGTGAAAAACAGGCTTTTTTTGCAGAGTGCACTTTAAAATATACCAACAAAGAAGTAGGAGAAAGACAATACCACTTTTATACTAGTCCAGCCCTGTAGACCGTTTACAAGGAGCTCCACACTGCTGCACAATCATTAAAAAAATAAATCAAAATTAACAGAATCAGATGTTTTAGGTGCCCAGAGGTTCTTATTTTATTGCAGTGGTATTAAACAATGTTGATTTTGTTTGATTTGAACTGTATATACCAGAATGAGATATAAATGTTCACACTGCTTATCATGAAACAGCTACACCTCTCTTTGATAACGTGATATTTCAGTATTCTTGCCTGAAGAGTTTAATTGCATACCTTTCAATCCAGGTGACCTTTCAGTAAATACTACACACTTGAAAACAAGAATTGCCCCGAAGCAGCTTAAAGATGATGCAGCCATTTTCATAGATATTTGTGATTTAGCTATAATGCAGTTAAATAAATTTAAAGTAATGTAATGAAATATTATGAAAGGAGAGAAAACTAGTAGCAAAAGTAGCCTCAAAACATAACTTTTTTATTTTATATTCAGTTGAGCACATGTTCCAGACAGACACCAGACAATATCAGGAGAAGTGTATTTATAGCGTTTTATCAACACACACACGTCACACAGGGACCCAGGAGGAACATCCTGTCTATTTTATCTGCCTGTTCACTTGGGAAGCATCTTTCCTGTTTAGAATTATATGAAGAAGGATTTATATAAAGTAGTGTGATTTTTACATAGGATGTGTTCTGTGTCAAGTGTAAAGTAAGAGTAGAGCTGCTTTGTCTCTTGTCTCTCTGGCTGTCCCTTTGTCTTTTATGTCGTCCTGACTGTCAGTGTGTGTGTGTGTGTGTGTGTGTGTGTGTCATCCTGTCTCTCTGTCTTTGTCTCAGTAGAAGTTTGTACACTCTGGATCAGGGCAACATTATCACAGAAGTGATTAAATCTGGTTGGCCCTTCTTCCTTTTCTGCTCTTATTTACCTCCCCCCTCCTCTCCTGTATCCCGGCATCCCTCACATATCCGTCCCTGGCCCCCTGTCCTCACCCGTCCTCCCTCCACACCCTGTCCTCCTCTCTCCTCAGGCTCCTGCCTAGAGATTCTTCGGGGAGAAAGTCCGGCTCTTGGGGAGGCCGGGAGCGACTCGGCGTCCCCCATGTCTCCTCGGACTAGCAAGAGCCGCATGTCCATGAAGCTGCGGCGCTCTTCTGGATCAGCCAATAAGACTTAAGATTCTTCAGATTACTCAGCCCAGTCAAAACTCCACTCCATGTCACATCCAGTATGATTAGACATTTAACATTTAGCCCTAAAATGTGTCTTTAGAGGAGATTTGGTCTTGTTAGAACGGTTGCACATTTAAATTAAATTGGACAGCGTCTTTACCAGTCAGGCGATGATTTGACTTTGCCCCGACGCATCCTGTCATCTCCAGCAGGCTGCCACCATGAACAAACATTGCCCTCTTATCTGCTCATTGTGATAATATTCTGTGGACTCTCTCATACAGTAACTTTATTCGGAAACTGCTCATAGCTGCTGATTATACCCTAAGCTTTGCTGTTTGTCAACACAGGAGACTGTTCTGTGCTGCAGCATGCTGGTGTTTGTCACAACAGAAACATTTGATCAAGTGCAGCCTCAGCGGTGCAGTATAAGCTCAAAATAATCTGTGCCATGTTAGAAATTGTGCAAAATGAAACTGTCAAGGACTGCAAGAATTCAAATGTGCTGGAAAACAAAAGTACATAAGTGACAGTGTGTGTTTAGTGTAGAAATTGCTATGGAGAATCTGTATATTTGTATTATAGATGCTGGGGTGTGTACAAACAAACACATGAGTTTTGATATTAAAAGAATGGAGCTGAAAGTTGCATGGAGAAAGCAGAAAGAGATCTATTTTTGATGTTGATGAATGCTAGATGAGGGGTCGCTTCCTTTTCAGTCTTCACAAATGTAAATAGAAAGTCTCATTTCCCAACAATAAACAGTTAATATTTTTAATGTGGCAACACCGTCAAGCCAAAAATGTCCCTTTCTGGAGTTCATGGGACTGAAATTTGACCCTGTGGAGAAGAGTGATGTAAGAAAGTGTTACACCCATATCGTAGGGAGTATTGTGCTCTCTAAAAAGTAGCAGGTCAGTCTTTGATAGGTCAAAAAGGAGGCACTTGTTATGTAAAGTTTTGGGTTGCTCACGCTGTAAAATGTGGTCAAGCACTGATGTTATTGAGTTTATTTTTTTTCCTTTGGCTGTAAAGGTTGTTTTGACTTGGACAAGAACCTTGCTGTATTTTCAAGTTCAGTGTCACTCCGTCACCTACAGTTGAACCACAGCTTTTCTTTTTTATGTTGACTTTACATTTCTGTTTTCTGTTTATCTATACATGTATGAGTATAAATATATATATAGTAGATATATGAATATCTTAAGAGTGTGTACAGTGTGAGAAGGCTCTGTGTGTAAATACTGTTGTATGACAATAGCTGCCAAAGCCAAACCGTGGTTTAACCTCAGACAGCATATCTGCTTCAATTGTGTCAACACTACAAGATTTTGTGCTTCAATTATTATTATTATTATTTTTATTTTCCAGTTTGCACTCCGGTCTGTTGTAATTTAAACCGTTATTTCATTGTAGATAAAAAAAAAAAACTCCTGTTTTTGTATATGAAACCTAACTACTCTCGGCCAGATTGAGCAGTTCAAGAAAAGTAAAAGATTTAGATTTAATTTTCTGGTTTTAAACATATTCATCATAGTAGACAGGGGGTGGAAAAAGTCACTGTAAAAATGAGAGGACTATAGATTCAAGGCCAAAGAGGGAGGATGGACAGAGATATCATTGTATCACATACATGTAATGGTTTTGTGTTTCTTTTTTTTTCTTTCACTGCTTGTGTATTTAGACTCGTCCCCAGTTCCCAATCTGGATTTTGGGGATCCGCATGTAATTCAGAAGTGTAACACTACCAATACAACTCAAATAAAACTGACAAGGTTTCAAATCAGCACATGTTATACATACTGCAGGTTTTCTTTAGAAATAACACAGCTTTGGTTTGACAGAGTGTATCAGAACAAACTTTTTTCCTTTTTAATGAGTTTGTTTTTCTTACAGCTCCATTGATGTTTTTGCCATGTAAAAAAAAAAAAGTATTCAAAGGGTATAATTTAAAAATTCAGATACAGGTTAAAGATTTTGTTATCATGGTAGGTGAATTCAAAGCCATCTCTCCCACTTCTGATTATTTTTGCAGAGAGGAAAGGGGTGTATTCTTCTATTTAGGACCATCTTTAAATTGAAAGGAAAACTAACTCAAACCTGTACTGTAATAAGGTCGTTGTCAAGTCACGTCATGGTGTGACTATTCAAAGTCAGTCGAAATTTGAGTTTCCACTGTAATTGATGCTGTTTAACTATTTTTGATAAGGTTGAAGCACAATTGATCACTTGAGGCAGGTGGTCGAGCAGCCTCACTGCACTCTCAGACTGATCCACATGCTGTATGAAGACCACAGCCCACATACCCCTCACAGACTGTGTTGTGGTTTGTTTTGGATTTCTATGCCAGTACATAAACTCTGCAGCAATGTCCTAGCTACTCTCCCATATACTTCACCTCTGACTCAACATGGTTGAGGGAGGCATGATGCTGCTTTTATGTCCCATTAACAAAATGGGAACTTTTATTCTCGAATTAGTTTTACAGATATAACATTCACATGAAGATTTGTGCAGGTCAATAGACTGAATTTCAGGCTTTCAGAACTTCATAGGCGTCCAAAAATGCCTTTTGACCCATGAAAAACATGAGATGATTGTTGTCTCCTGCCCCTTCATGATCAAACATTAGGATCTTCTGTGCCAGTGTCCACAGATGCTCTGACAGTGTGGCTGTGATGGATACAGGTTCAGCTGCTGTCCAGGTGTCGCTTTGAGATGAGACTGATGTTTGTAACTACTGACTGTACATACTGCATGACACCCAACCAGTACTATCTGCATGTGTTCATCATGTAACGGCTGTATCACAACACACACATATGCACACATGCACACTCCTCCAAAAGTGTTACTGTCAGATCTGTAGTATGTAAAGATTTAGAGACTCTTGAGAACAGAGTGTGGATGTGCGATAATGGAGTCTGACAATAAATGATTCCGACCACTGACTCTTGGACCAGTTTCTATAGTGTGTGTGCGTGTGTCAGCGTGTTAAAAAGTCAACAGGGCAAGTCTCAGTGAGCAGAGTGTATTGACATTTAGATGATAATCATTTCAAATGAAGTTCACATTTAACTTCAGACATATCAAAATATTACTGTACAGGCTTTGCAGAACCACAGTTACAGTTGAAGCATCATGAAGGCATTTAGTAAATATTCTAACAGTGAAGACAAATATGTTTCTTATGAGCAGAACTCACATTAAATTCTACCTTTTTGTATGAAAATATTTATCACATGACAGGTTTATCATCAGATTCACTATAAAAAGTTTGTTGTGGTCTACTTTATTGTTTTCTTTGCTAATGTACATGAAATAGTCTTTGAACAGAGTTAGGACATTGATTATGTCTCCAGTTCCAAAGGTAAGGAAGGTCACTTTCTTAACGTAATTACATGTCACTTCATATTAAGCCAGAAAGTCATGTAACACTCTGTTCTTGAGCTGCATAATTTAGTTTCCTTGACTCTGATTTGATAGGAATATTAGAGAAAACATAGTCACTTGTTAGGGATTATACAAAGAAAAACGTCAAACACTCCTCATTTGTGTTGTGCCATTGGAAAGCCTAGTGTCAGACTTAGTGGTGTGGGACCGTGTGAGAAAAATAAGACACAACTAAGTTTTGTGTTGTAAGAGGAAAATAGACTCAAAATCACAAGTTATAAGACATGGTTGTTGGTTTTGAATTGTATGTATTAACATAAAAGTACACCGTACATACACCGTACTTACATGGTACTATCTCTTGTACTTTGTCACGATAAATATTGCAGACAGAAAACATGGGATGCCAGTTTTTCAACGTTACAGTGCAGCTCTACCATGAACAGAGTGTATTAATGCGTGTTCAGTTGGACGTTTACATAGTTTCAGCACCACGGAAAGCTCCCGCTGAACCTCAAACTTCAATTCCGTAAGTAGCAACGTTTGGTTTACATTTGCCTTTGAGATTATTGTGTAATTATCCTGCAGTAAGGATGCGTAATACTAATGACCTTTGACATGAGGCAAGGTCTCCAAAGTTAAGGAATAACAGTTAATGGATAACTGATTGGTTTCTGCTCAGTAATACAGTGAAAACCTTTTTCTTTTACAGACTGAAACAGAGTTCAGCCCAAATTCACAACAGAAGCTACATAAATACATACTTTAAGTAACTAATCAAAAGGTTCCAACTGTTAACAAGTTCCCAGATAATTGATATTTTATCATTTATCGATATAAACTTCTATGTTTGACTGTGTCTGTTTTAAGGTCGCACGGTCATCTGCAGCAGCATCACTTGACGGTTCTCGGTTGGATGTGATTTGTTGATGTGTCTTGCGAGCCCCGGAGAGCTGAAGAAAGTGGACGGACAGTGCTTGCACGTGAAGATCTGCTGCTGTTCGCAGTCCCTCGTGCCGCTCTCTTCTCCTTGCGAGTGGAACACATCCGGTCTGAGTCCTCCTCCCAAAGCTCCCACCAGCAACTCATCCCTCATCGCGTGCCACAAACGGTGCTTGTCCCTGATTTCAACTGACGGGAAGCGCGCGCCGCAGAGGTGACACAGGAATACCTGGCTCTGTCCGCTACCGGACTCGCGCGCTTGGCGGTAAGAGGCAGGGGGTGGGGTCGCTCGCGCTGTTATCTCGTGCGCAGCCAGGTGTTTCTTCAGGTATGCTTGTCGGCGGAATTTCTTGCCACAGTACTGGCACTCATAAACTTCCTCCTCCGGTAACGACTGAACAAACGGTAAAGGGGGGTGAGGGAGGGACGGCTGCTGCTGGTGGTGGTCCGCGCGCTCCTCCGGGCTGCCGTTAAGTAGAAGAAGGTTCGAGGGAGGACTGTCCGCTGCTCTCATCTGTTGCTGGAGGTCCAGACAGTTTTCAGCCGGATTCCGGTAATGAAGAGGGTTGTCATAGTGAGGGGGCGCGAGACTGTCGCTATCGGGGCTGTCTCGGGTCCGACCGTGGAGCAGCAGCAGGGATGGCTCGCGCCTGATGCGGGAGCTGTCCAGCGTGCCGTGGTGCTGGTTATTGCTCATACGCAGCAGCTCGTTTTCTTTGCCCTCTGACTCTACCGGCTGCCTCTCGTGCTGAATGAGTCCTCGCGCCTCTTTTAAAGGTTGACTTTTGTTTGGGGTCTCTACGTGGTTGTTTACCGGACGGGGTTTGTGCCAGCGACGGTGGGAGGCCAAGTTTGCGGGACAGCTGAAAACTTTGTCGCACTCGGGACACCTGTACTCCACGCGCACTATGCGGGAGCACTTGTGCTGCGCGAGGGAGAACGGGTCCGGGTACTCCTCCTTACAGAGTTGACAGATGAACTCTCCCAACGGTTGATTTCCACCGGGGACTGACGACTTTTCCCGCTGTTTCCTCAGCTCGGGACTCTCCTTCTTGATCCGCAGACCTAAAACCGGCGAGGTCGTGACCTCATCTTCAAAGTTCAGTTTCCGGTTCACTTTGGGTTTCTTTGGCTGGATGCACGCGGGCTGTTTGTTGTGCCTGTTGTTGTGCTGTTCAAATAACGAGCGTTTTCTTGTTGCCTGATGTTGCTCCGGGTTCATCAACGTCAGAGGAGGGAACAGGTGCACGTGCCCCATATTCGGTTCGTATTTATCACCGTGGCTGTAGGATGGCGCGTGCCGGCTGCTGCTCGCGAGGAGCCTCTCGATTGAAGCGGACACTGCGGTCGGTGTTGAACTCACAAGGAACGGCAGCTCCGGTAACTGTGACACCGGGGATGACGTTAAATGTCTGCCGGGAAACAACTGCTTTTTCTCTCCTTCCTCGCGCTGCTCTAGTAATCTCGTGCCGACAGGTTTTACAGGGTCACAAGAGTCACTCAACAACATGTCCCGTGCAGGAGGAGGTGAGTAGAAACAGGGGAAATCACCATCAGGAGTCAAAACGTCCACTTCGCTCACCTGCTCCTCTGTCTCCGGTAACTGCGCGCGCCGGTCCGCCTCCGCCTCCAGCGCGGACTCCACGTGCGGGCTCCACGCCTCTCGAACACCGGTGGAGTCCTCGCGGGGCACGGGGAGCAGTTCGTCGGTCCGGTCAAAAAGCAAAGCATCGTCGCCGTCCCTTTCTGCCTCCTGTTTGTTCGCATCAGAGTTACCACAGTTGTTTCTGCCACCACTAGATGTTACCGGTTCATCACTGCTGGTGTTGTTCCGTGTCCGGTATGACGCTGAACACCGCCGGTTTCTCTTCACCAAAAATCCTCGAGGCATGGTGATGACGATGTTGCGCGTGTCAAGACCAGGCGAAAAGAACAAGAACTCTTGTCTCGAGCCCCCTTTCAAGTATAGCTTTGAAGTGAGAGAGAGAGAGAGAGAGAGAGAGAGAGAGCGAGCGAGCGCAGGTGTGATGAGGGCAACAACATTGTCCCGATCTTTACGTCTGTTTTAATGCGCTCTTGTACACACGTGTGCGCAGAAACACTCAGAACACCTTTTTCTTGAGACATAAAAACTAACAATAATTGAAATACCCAACCGGGGTTGGTTCTCACAGTGTCCATTATAGCCACTCATGTGTCATCGCGTCTATATTGAGTTTTTAGTTTGATGCTATACATTCTTCTTTGGCCACCTTTTGAAACAGACTCAAAATATTGTGGTGATAAGTTATTGAGTGCTTTGATTTGAGCCCTTTTCGGCTACCAGTGAAGTCAGTGAGGCTGCTGGATACACACTTGCTCAAGTTAGGTGGCTTGTTACAAACAGCTGGACATTGAGTATGCTACTTTCAAGATTTTCTTTGAAACTTAGGCTACTCCTAATATTTTTGTATTTTGATAAATCACTTAAGTAAGATATGCAGTTGACATATAGCTAACCCTTATGATAGCCTGTGTGTCACTCCATATGGTCCAAAATGTTTTTGATAAAACGTGAACATACATAAATGCACAGAATCATACACAAAATAAATAGTTTAATCAGATTGTCCCCTTTATTTATATAAAAACTAAATAAGTTAGCTTTTCACGATGAAAGTGTTTCTAGCTTAAAGCTCCTGTGAGGAACTCTCCTTTTGTCTTAATTTTGACACTTCCTATATGGACAAAGCTGCCTCTGCTTATCCCTTCTTCTTCATGCTTGAGTTGTGACCTCTGCAAAAAAAAAAAACCCTCAATTTTCATGTTATTATTTATTAGTTATCATTTATTGTGAATACTAAGAGTGGACATTGGAAAAAAAACAGGACTTATTTTCAGCTGCTTAGCTAACCTACCCCCTCACACCTGATTTAGGTATTAAAAGTAGGGATATAAAAATCCTGCAACTGCTTTTGTGTGTCATATATAGGCATTAAAATAAGTTTCACTTTATTTCATAAACATTAAAAAAACTCCTCATAGGAGCTTTAAAAAATCTCAGTGGGTTGATTGTCGCACAGTGTCTTTAATGGTTAACTTGCTGTTCAGATACAAATTTCAAGGAATGACCATAATAAAGCAGTACTGGTCACGAGTAATTCCCTCAAAAGTAAAAAGTGTGACATCTGATCCTGGTGTCCCCTTCACAAATTTGGCAAAATGATACACAGACCCATAACTGACAAAGTTATTCTGGCCAAGTTATTATAATTTATATCAGAGATTCGGTTATGTTACCATGTTATAACTATTTTTATTTGGGCACTTTGACCAGTAGATTATAAGTAACCTTAATTTAAAACAAGTGTTGAATGGTTTAGTTAGTGTTGTACGAACAAGTTTATTTTTGTCATTCTATATCTCAGTTTTCCTAGTTTTAGTTTGTCAGCCTGTCTTACTGTGACTGACTCTGCAGTAGCCTAGTCAGTGGTAGACAGTAACAAAGTAAATTTACTGGAGTACTGCACTCAAATACATTTCTTTATTACAAAAGAATTCTTACTATGAGTGATATTTTTGGGGGGAAACTATTACTTTTACTTTTGATTCAACCATATTTCTGTAAAACTTTTCAATACTTTTGCCCTGAAGTCATCTGATGAATTTGATTTAACTTCTGCCGTACCCGTGTGTCACATGTCTTCATGGTTAAACAGAGCAAACATTACTCAGACTGGGCAGCTTATTTGGTGGTGGTAATGATGGCTACAACAGAAAAGGATGATGATTCTCAACCTGCACACCCACAGATTGAGTTTTTTTTCTGCTGGTTGTAACTTGGTGGTCATTTTAATTCTATGGTTAGCTGTTCCTATCCTTATTCATTTTAGTTTGCAGATTTGAAGCTCTATGCCATATGGGTTCAAAAATATAAATAATGATTTCTAATGAAACATTAGGCAACAATACACATACTCATGTATTCTTGGCTGCATTCATGCTATGGGAAAACACAACATATCAGAGATTTTTTAAAAGTGGTCTCAATACTTGAGAATCTTAAAAAGCAAATACCCCCTAACATAAAATACTTACATTTTTAAATGTTTTCCTGCACAGAGTAATATTTGATCAGGATTTATTTTTGTTGTTGTTGTTGTTTCCATACCGGATAACACGCAGGTAATAGATATAATCTTACTGCTTTAAAGACTAGGGTGTTATAATTATCATTGCTGCTATTGGTATTGATAGTTTTATCATTTTGAACGGCTGAACTGAAATTTTAGCAGTAAGATAGCCTAGAGATTAGCCCTGCTGTTATTTCAATCTGCCATTTTTGTCTGTAGTGTGAATAAATTTAGGCTTTTGTGACACACTGCTCTTTTCCTCTTATTTTATGAAAAGCTGATATGTTGTCAGATGTCACTGTGAACTTGTAAATGTGTGTATTTTCAAAAAGAAAACGTGATTAAATGTGTGTTGTTGGTGGTGTAATTAGAAAAAGCTCCCATGGGGACGCAGATATGGATCATATCTCGGTAAGAGCAATAATGACCGTTTGTGTCCTGCTGAAGTGTCTGATTATCTGTGTCTTTGTTGGGTGGAAAACCTCTTTCCCACTGTGGTTGCGTTATCTCCCCGATAGAACAAAATGAATGAAAGACAGAGGGAGTGATGGTGATCTCTCTGTGCCTGTTTGTGTTTGTGTGTGAGTGTGTGTGGCAAGGGGCTACCATTCACCCCCCATCCCAAGAAGCTGCTCTGGCTGATAAGAGATCGGATGGAGATTCATCCATCCCTCCACCATCCATCCATCCATCCATCCTCTCCCCACGGGCTTGCCGGCCCCTCCGCGCGGGGCCAGACGCTCTGTAGCTCGGCCAGTGAGCCGAGGCCAGGCAGCGTCGCTCTTGGAAATCAATCAAGGCGGATGAGCGTGAGAACGAGCTAGAGGGTCGGGCTGTTGGCTTTATGGGGGTCGCCTGGGGGATTGAAGCGGGAATAGAAATGACATGAGTGGCAGAGGGTCCAACACTAAAACCTAATTAAGCACCAAGCTTCGAGGATCTTTTCTTGCTTGTTTTTCACTGTAATTGTCAGCTGCTAATGTCTCCTACAGAGAGGAAACCTTGACCTGGGTTCAACCTTTACTGACAAGACCCACTGAAACAGTAAACAAGGGATTGATTGACCTCATTTTTTAATCCTTATGGGGTTTAATTTGTTTCACTTCACTCACATTTTAGTGTAACGAAGCCCATTTCTGTCAAGAAAAAAAAAAAGTGACTTAAATTAGATTAAAATAACCACTAAGAGTCAAATTCTTGTAGAAAAAAAATGTGACTCCAATCTTACAAGGTTTCCATACTGTGGTATAAATATGACCAAGCTGTCAAAAAGGTGTTTTTAATACAATGATGTTCTAAAGGTGCTATTGATAACACTATAACTTTATCTTTCTCTACATAATGTTACGCAAACACATTTCTCACAAAACACATGGACAGAGTGTCAGTATACAAACACAAAATGATCATTTGCAGTTACCTAAAGTGCTTTTTTATAATTATTTTGTGTGTGTGTGTGTGTGTGTTGTATTAAATGTCTTAATTGATATAAATAAAACTGTGTAATTGTCTTGACCACATTGTGTCAATTTCACTGAAAAGAGGTTCATTTTCATATAAGCTTCATGTTTCAAACCTTTTTGGTTTTATTTCAGATGACTCTGGTTTATATCAGAATCAGAAATTTCAAATTATTGACATATTACTAAAAACAATCAAATAAAGGATTTGTCATACAAAAAATTTCAGCTTTTAACTATTTTATTAATATGAAGTCCAGGCTCCTTTAACTTGATTTCCACCGAGTAATCAGCCTGTGGCACTGCTGGGGTCTCACTGAAGCCCGTATTGTGTTTAAGGCAGTTTTCAGCTCTTTTATATTTTTGGGACTGATGTCTCTTATCTTTCAGGAAGGTCAACTGAGTCAGATGAGCCGCCAACAAAACAAGTAACACCATGTATAGTTGATTAAACTGTTTAATAGGAATTGAGCAGGCGCAAAGTTCTGCTTTAAAAAAAATTAAAAAAAACATCTCAATAAAACTTACTGACAGATGGGAGCATGACGTACTCTAAAATCTCTTGGAAGATGGCTGGGTTGACTTTGGACTCGATAAAAACACAGTGAACCAACACCAGCAGATGATATGGCATCCCAAATCATCACAGACTGCAGAAACGTCACTCTGGACTTCAGTCACTTTGGAGTCTGGGTCTCTACACTCATTTTACAGACTCTAGGACCTCTATTGCCATATGAAATGAAAGATTTTCAGCAATCACCCCCTGTGGCTTATCCTTCTTGTGGATGTCATTGATTGTCTTTGGACAAATGTCAAGTCAGCAGTCTTCCTCATGATTATCATGGCATGTTCTGTGCTAGGCTGAGAGATACACAGTATTTATACAGTTCAAATAGTAATTCACTCAAAAACAAAATAGATTAAAAATAAGATTAAAGAATAATCCTAATCCTAGGCCACTGCTCTCAAAATTAACATAGAAAAGTTCTTAAGTATAATATGTTATGAAACTATTTCCCTTTACTCAAAAAAGAAAAACAGATGGAAAATGTTGAACTTTTTTCCAACATCTATTCATTGTGCTGCACCCACATGTAGGATAAAGACTTGGGTCGGACACAGAGATCCACTTAAATGTAAAAGTAATTGAACACCAGTCAGAGCAGGAAGCTGTCAGTGGTTAAAATACAGGGTGGATGTTCTCAATCAATGTTCTGTCAAAATATGGATCCACAGAGAGACTGAGGAAGCTGGAGGACAAGAAGTGTGAGAGAGACAGAGACTGTGTGTGTGTGTGTGTGTGTGTGTGTGTGTGTGTGTGTGTGTGTGTGTGTGTGTGTGCGTGTGTGTGTGTGTGTGTGTGTGTGTGTGTGTGTGTGTGTGTGTGTGTGTGTGTGTGTGTG